CCCTGACAGTACAGATTTTTTTTTTAGGCCCACGGGGGGGCGTGGAAACCCTTTCGTGGACAAAAAGTAAACAAAATATGACAGAAAGTAAACTACAGACACTAGAGAGCCCTGTTCCCAGAGAGAGAGGAAGAAATTTCCCATATCTATACAGAGTATATAGGTATTATAGCTATATATTCTCGTATTCGTATCTAATCAGAGCGACAGCCCCGCAGCTGTTTGCGTGTCGGAGCATTTATTTATTTTTACTTTATAACTAATGCCCATTGTAGCGCTCCAAGCTGACCTCATGAATGGAATCAGAGCACTGGAGTTGCTAATTTTGGCAAATGAAAGTATCTCTGCCCGGTGGACAGTGTATCTCTGATTTGTCAAGGCGAGAGATACAAAGATCGGACGCGGAATGAAATGATTCAAGTGGCCGCTTTTACTTCGAGGCTTTGTGTGTGCAGCTGCGTCTGATTTCAGTTTCAATTTATCTTTATAAATTTCAATTTGGCTGCCGGCGATCTCTATCTCCAGAGCCCTTCTCTCCAAGCAGTATCTGTATCTCTGTATCTGTTGTGTACAGTTCGTTCGCCCCATGGCGACAAAATGCACCATGTATTCGTATCTGCTAGATACTTCTGGGGCGGGCCAGCACGTTTTCTTTTGGCCACCGGCCAATTGGAACAAAATGCCGGCAAGGCAGGCAGGCAGACCGACTTCCTGAACGAGAACTTTTACTTAATTTTAGTCTTTTATTTGCATTTCGAATGCATTTAGTTTAGTATTTGTCGTTGGTATCTCTCACTAATTGCAACTTTGCGGTGATTTCACGTTCAAGTACGCGAAACTCGAGGCTGAATCACCGCGATCGCGATCGCCACACGACACATCCAAATATTTATTCAAAAAAGCAACACTTTATTCCAAACTCCAGTCAAGCGAACGAGCTACAAAAATAATACCAACAGTGCCATCATTGAAACACAAACTCTAGAAAATCTGAAACGTGCTAAAAGTTTGAAGAAGAAAGTGCCCAAAGATCTAAGAAAGTGCGTGCTTCGTTTGTGTGTGTGTGCCGAGTCTCTTAATGTGCCACCATCGCCACCCGCAAGATGACATCGCATTCCTACTATAAAGACCGCCTGGGCTTCGATCCCAACGAGCAGCAGAACGAGCACTCGCACCACCATTCCTCCAACTCCAATTCCAACTCGATGAAGAGGAGCTCGTCGCGACAGACGACCCACCACCACCAGAGCTACCACCATGCCGCCACCAGCAGCAGCCAGTCCCCGGCCCGAATCTCTGTGTCTCCGGGCGGCGGCGGCGGCGGCAACAATGGTACCCTGGAGTACCACCAGGTCCAGCGGGAGCAGCGCGATCGGGAGCTGTACAGCAACAATCACCACAGTCACCACCAGCAGCCGTCGCACCACCACCAGCACCATCGCCACTCCGCGGGCAGTGCCTCCTCGCCGTTGTACGAGTCCAGCCCGGCGGCCCCCAAAAAGGCCAAACACTCATCCACCCAGCCCCAGCCGCAGGGTGGCTACGAGGATGCCCTCACCCAGTTCAAAGGTAGCATGTCCATTTGGGATCATTTTATAGAAGATTGGGACATAATGCGTAAGTGGGCGTCAGAGATTTCTAGAAGGCATGTTTCCAGTTGGCCGTTTCGTTCGTTTTTGATGTTGTTACTCCGTTTGTATGACCTTTGACCAGCCTAACAGAGTTTTATTAATTTTAATTAATTAAAAGTGAATATAATAAGAGATAGGAGGAGGTATACACCCTTAGAGGTAAATGGGGGTTTCCAGATCTTAAATATTGAATGCAGTTGGTTGATCGTACAGATACTTTCTGTATAAGTCCAGATATTTCGAAAAAGTGCCCAATTTTTTGTCTTCCTGAAGGTATATGGTGTTCAAGAATGCCAAAGTAATATAGCATTTATAGGATATAGTCCCCCGATTCCAATGAAACTTTATAGAACCGACTATTTGGCTAAAAATGGAATCTGTGGAAAGTCCCAAACATCTATCTTCAAGAACAACAAAGTTATGGAAGCTTTGATCAACTGATTAATATGAAAGCTATATGATATAGTCGATATATGATATACTTCTTTTAAAAGAATTAAGTACTTGTGCCAGGTTTTGAATCTGGATCTTTAAAACTGAGAGACTAGTTAACTTAGTTCTCGGACCTGCTTATAAAGACTCAGGGAAGAAGGGGTTCTCATAAAGGGGTTCTTATGAGGGTTCTTCCCTGAGTCTTTATAAGCAGGTCCGAGAAGTAAGCGAACTAGGGTCTCAGTTTTAAAGAGTCCCTGGTCCCTGGCACTCTTTTATAGCAAAATGATAGTACCCTCTTGAAGGGTATAACCAGAGAGAACCCGCAGCTTTCTTCAAGACTGATGTCTCCCCCAAGCATGTTCCATTTTCGCATTTAGCTCCGCTTACCCGACTATGTATTTGGTATTCCCTGCTAAATCTAACAAAGATTTATTAATTGCCCGAGCGGAAATCATTTGCATTTCAAGTCAGGCTCTTATTCTCGCCGAATTCTCGTTTGTATCTAGTTTGTACGGATTTCAATTATGAATCCGTCGCGGTTTCATAAATATATAAAGGTAGATGGCAGCACAAATTGAGGAAAACATGTTTTTCATTTGCCACGAATGCCGGAAACGAAGCTTGGAAGCGAATTATAAAGGGTCAAGGTCGCGATGGTGACTTTTTCAGCTTAAACCCCTCCACTGGTAGCACTAAGTCTTAACTTGACTTGACTATTCTGAACTGGTTTCGGGCTTACGTCGGAATTTATGCAAAAATTTGAAAGCCAAAGGACTGTGATGTGTGAAAATATTTGCTTTGCAAAACTATGAAATTACCTCACTTTTTAGCAATGCACTTTCATATCTTTATGGCTGACATTGCGGACTTCCCAAGGCCCTTATCTGTCGAGGAGGCCCCAAGTGACATTACAAATTCCGACAATCACCAAAAACTGTTGACATTTCTTGGGCAAATACATTAGCTCGCACCTTTCCTGGCTCGTCAAATAAAAGGGTAGCTGGGCACGACCTTCATCCGATGGCCCGGGATGAGCCAACTAACTGTTTCATAGCCATGATGGATGCATCGCGGCCCCAAAACCTCACCAAACTGGTCTTCTTCTGTTGGCAAATTAACAGAATTCCACGAATCCCAAGCTGAACTCATTTGTCCAACGGAAACGGGTTTATGCTTATTGACTTTTGTAAACATTTATATGGGCTTTTTATGCTGATTGTTATACGTTTTGAATGGCTTTGGCACTAATTTGCTGGCGCCGTTGATCAAAAATAGTTAGAATTCCATTGGAGGGCATTTCTCCAAGCAGTGAGTTCATAACCTATATCGGGAGAGTGCCTTATCGGCCAAACGTCCTTCACAGAGAAAATAACAATAGCAGTCGGTAGTGTGTGCGACATTTCTTCGAGTGTGCTAATCAATGACAATGACTAAATGCAAAAATAAACATTAACGAATATCAAATAAGCCTCTGAGAACTCCGAAACATGAACAACTTAACGAACGTTTAATCGTCGAAAACGAATTCAACTTAGAACGTGACATCATCACGCGCTCCTCAAAGTCCCACACAGACGAACGAGTTCCGATAGTGTTCCCGCCCGGTTCTGCTGGTAGTTGTGCACACCTTTTGCACAATCATTATTTGTGTGAATATTTATGAACTACTCTTGGTCTACCCGCCTGAAAGGTAGATAAAAATAAGCCCGATTAAGTGCTGTGGCATGCAATCGTGCAGAAAGCGGCGAGATTTTGCGGCAAGATCCATCAATGAATGGGGGGGTTTTGTAGGCTCTGAAGGGTCTCCTCTCTGAATGGAGTGACTCAGAGGCGATCGAAACAAGTTCAGTTCTGGAGAAAGGGTATCTGCCACCATCCATCACTGACTTGTCATTAAGCTACGGCCTATCTTCCCACCAATTGTTTATCAATAAACGAGAATCTTTTGTGGGCCATAACTAGGTTAATATTTTCAAGTTGTTAGACTCATTGTCGCCCCGAAGAGTACGAGGTTTAACGCGATTAATGGTAATCCCTTGCCAAGGGCATTGGAGCTTCGGTTCTAGCTATTGGGTTTTTTTTTCGTTTTAGCCAAGTCAAGAGAGAACGAGTTAGTGGGGATCACTCAACTCGGTTTCTGCTCTTTCATTTTTTATCTTTCAGCGCTTTTGTTTTGCTATTTAGCTTCTGGTGTGACTCGCTCTTTTCATTGTTTTCTGCTTACTACGTCTATTGCTTTATTTCTTTGGCACTTGAATTTATCGGGTTTATCAACCGATTTTACTATAGGGTCTATGGCAGTTATACGACCTGCCAGAGCAGCTCTTTGTCGATAAGGGTGCTGCCTTAGGGATGTTTCAAATAAATTATTGCCTTGCTTTGCCATTTCTGCACGAGAGTTATCAGCCTCGAGAGTTTACCTCACTAATTACCTTAAAATGCTTGCTATTTGTGCCGAAATTGTAGGAGAACATGACCATTAGCTTATCTTTAGACGGGTTATTCACTGAAACACGTCATGTGTCAGTGTCAGTGCCAACAAATCAAAGTTTTCCACCCCTTTCGATTTTTTATTGCCTCTATCAGGACAAGGACAAACATTGACCAAAGTTTCAGCCGTGGAGGGGAAATCACAGTAGAAAATCGATTAATTGCCAAGCAGATGGAACATTTGTTCAAACAAGTTAATTAAGGCCCTCGGGCCTATTATTCAACGCCCTCACTTTCAAAAGAACAATCTTTCCGAAAGTGGGCGTTTTCAAAATTTTACATAAATTATTAATTTCTCAATCAGCGATGACGCCACGATGAGTCTCCTTTTCGGCACAAATCTTCCCAGGCATTGCATGAATTTTTATTAATTTTTACACTAACACCATATCTGGATTATCTGAAATATTTTAATGTGATCTTTTTTAATAATCCCCTGTTTAGATGAACGCGATGCCATTCAGAAGAAGACTTTCACAAAATGGGTTAACAAACATCTGAAAAAGGTAAGTTAATGACTGCGAATCGTAGCTAGATGAGGTGATCTACTTAGAAACATGGAATGCAATCCACTTAATATTTTCCCTTTCCCAATCCCCAAACAAAATACAAGCAGCACTGGAAGTATGCTAAGGTATTGCTCAGTAATAGTTTTCTTAATCTTTATAATTAAATCCCTTTATAATATCTTTCTCGATCTGATCTCCCTACCGATTTCAGACCTATACTATGCTACATGTTTGTGTCACCACAAATGGCATACCCTGTTGTCCTCAGTCTGTAAGTCGAGTAATTTTTCTAAAGATGATTTATTTTTGTTATTTTTTGGCTATTTATTTGCTGCTTATCCTGAGGCTTTAAAGAGCTGTTGAAATGTTTGCATGTTTCTTGGTTTTATTTCATTTATTTGCGTATTTTTGTGTTGGCTACTCTCTAATTTATTGGCCACCTTTTACCGGAATCTCTGTTTCCCAACCTCCCCCAACCTGCAGGCCAATCGTCGTGTGGTGGACTTGTTTGAAGATCTGCGCGATGGTCACAATTTACTTTCACTCCTGGAGGTGCTATCTGGCGAACACCTGGTAAGTTGTTCAATTGATTTCTTGCCAGTTTTGTCACGCTCTCGCCAACACTTTTTATTAAATTACTTTTGTTTATTATTTTAGCCACGCGAGAAGGGTAAAATGCGTTTCCATATGCTGCAGAATGCACAAATGGCACTGGACTTTCTGCGCTACAAGAAGATCAAACTGGTCAACATACGGGCCGAGGACATTGTGGATGGCAATCCCAAGCTCACACTGGGCCTGATCTGGACAATAATATTGCATTTCCAGGTGAGTTTCCAGCTAGGTTTTTAGAGCCAATGATATTGAATGATAAATGAATTCATTGATTGAGCAATTGGAGCAAAGCTGTGGGCGCCACTCCGGTGGGCAGAGAGTCAAAGTCAGCTAGACAGCACCGCCCACGTATCCGCGGCTCTTTCGGCTGAAGGTGACCCCCCGGACCAGGTTCGGTTTAAAGCCCACACAGCATTACACCCAGCTACAGTCTTAACGCGCTACACAAGACCCGCAAGCTGCGAGCTACGTCGATGTGCCTTAAATTTTTGGCGAACGCGGTGCTGCCATTTAAGGCAACCAGATTGCCTTCTCTTTGCCGCCGCCGATGAGTGACACACATAATGTTGTTATGTTTGCTGCTACAGTTCGTCAACAGCAAGGCCGAAAGTCGGCTTTCAGCATGGGGGACTGGGGGGCAAGAGTGGTTTAAGCCACCTACACAACTGCCACAACAGGCCTAGTTGTATCTATAAAACAAATATTCATTCTTGCAGATACAACCTAGGATATCCATACACGATCCTTAATTTAAAGCTTTAGATTCTTCCACTCCGATTACTCATCAACGAGATACATTTCCGCAGCATGTGTGTCAAAGTAGTTGCAATAAAAAACCTGGCTATTTCGTAATTTGCGACAAACGCGGCCCGACTCTGACTTGATCGATGGCGCGCATAAATGCTCAATGATGCTGCCAGTTCACCGACCATGAGGCAATCCAGCAACTAGTAGCTGCAACATCAGAGGCTGCCAAATGGCGCTCATTCAATTGAGGCGAACGAATTGTAAATCACTCGACAATGTGAAACTCAATCGCGCTTCACTTACTATACTCACTTTTGTTGTGTCTTATTCATTATTTCTTGTCGAGCCCAAGGACTTGTGTACATTGTTGTGCCGATTGTGGCAGTTGTGGCAGTTGCGGGTGTCTGATGTCATTCGTTTGCGATATGCAAATTATATCTGACTTAAAAGGATATTTCTGGTTTTGCATACGAAATGGCTCACCTTACGGGTACACTTTTCAACTAACCCGAATCTGAATCCAAATCGCAACTGACATTTTACAATTATGACATAATGCTCATTTTGGAACTGGGTGTGACCAAGCATAGCCGTGTTATTTATTCAATTAATGTGCATTGTTTTGTGGGTCAAAGTGGGGAAATGGATTTCAATTTTCAAAACAGCAGCCCCCGGCAGAGCTCAACTTGTAATTAAGTTATAAATTGTGCAAGCAAATCGATCTGATCTATGAACCACCCCCGACAACAGCCACAACACGTCCGTCAATCAGCGACTTTACCTTTACCTTCGGACATAAAACACTATGGGATATGGGCTTTAGAGCTATACACGTGGTCGTGTGCACTTTAGTGCATATTTATAGCGCCTTTTAGCTCAATAATGGCTAACAAGCGTAGAGAAATAAATCATCGACGGGTTTACTATCAGATTAAATTATTAGATTGTTTCTCTATAGAGTTCTCTACAGCTGATGTTTTTCTTTCTAGAGTTCAGTTGTGTTACGCAGCTTACACTTTTTATTGGCCTTTGGCGCCGGGCATATCGACGAGCACAAATCTTGAGGCAACCTCCCTGAGCCGCTCAATTGCTGAATTTAAATAATAAATCGCCGTGCAGCCCAAGGGGACTCTGTGTGCCGAATCATAGAGATCTCGAATTATTCTGACAAACGTTTTCATTATAAGCATCAGATAATTTTCCAACCAATTTGCCATTTTTCATTGCTCGTTAGGCTGATACATAGCATGTGTATGGCTGTCGGTTGTAGTTGGCCAAAATAGCAGAACCGTCACTAGCCGAATAGTTTATCCAAGGCGCCCAGGCATGAAAAGTAACGCCTCGGAAGAAAGCACCTAAAGACTCACTCACACAATGGGGCTCAATCTTTCGAGATTCTCACGTCATCGTTCAAAGATGAAAAGATGATTATTTTTGGGATTTGTGTGTTTTGTTTGTGGCGTTCTCCTCCTCCTCCTGTTGATTTATTATAATACGCCACGGTATGTGTTACAATAAAGTCAATGCCAGCCAGCGACAGACAATTGCTTATAGTATGTGGAGACACAAATAATAATAAAAATCAGGTGGAATAAAGCACGACGTGTATTTCTTATTTCTGGCTGCCCTGCCCATGACATCAGCCAGTCAGCCAGCCAGCCATCTAACCAACCTCCTCATCTGTGTTCTGGCGAAACGAAAGACTTCAACGCAAGCAACGAACTCGAATCGAGAAGCCAGCTGGCTGTGGCTCTGGCATGACTGTGGAGCGTATCAAATGGCCAAAATAGAATGCTAACAACAACTGATGCACTTATTCGTCTTAATTTATGACATTGATGACTGAATTTTTGAATAGCCGAGCGGTGTGTGGGTTGCTTCGCCCCAGAGCCGCGATCAAGATCGAGATCTTCAAGTCTCGAAATCTATCTATAGCAATCGCAGATAAAAACAAACATAGTTTCATTAATAAATCGATGGCTGACCAACCGACCGACCTGCTGGCATGTTCAAATAAGGAAACATTCAGCTCTCACAGCTTCTTTCTCTTTCATTGATCGACTTGCCATCTCTGTCAATGGTTGTTGGTATGCAAATCGTTGTTGTTTGCACTCGAGAAGCGTTTACAAGCGCGTTAGCGTTAGCGTTAGCGATAGCGTGTTTCAAATGAATTGTAATTAATTTGAATGAAAACACACCGCAGCTAGATACATTTCAAGTGTGTAGATGAAATTACAAGCGTTGTCTGGGTAAATAATTCGAGCTATATCGCCAACCGATGAGATGAGCCCACACGGTGATATCCCAAGGAATGCCAGACGTATTTGGACGTGACACCTACACTGGAATAAAAGCCCACCCACTAGTTCCATTCGGAGGGGGGAATAACTAGAACACAAAGCCGATAAATATTGATATCTTAATAAAAATAACCATGACCTTAAATGTGATTATGGTCAGTGCTTGTCAGGGACAAGCTTTAAAGTTTATAATAAAACTTGACCCTTCGGTGAATTTGATATTCGATTTATTTTGACTGTAAAAATTCCTATAAATAGACAGAAAATAGTGGGGATTAGGCCTGGCAAGCGATAGCTACTGGTTCCACTTTGTTTTCCCACCACAAACAACACATTTCAAGTGCAAACCGCCGCTCAAATTACGAATAGTGGCAAACATAAGCCGCAGTTGTTTGCTGGGTTGCATCATATCAGTATTAATAAGCATATGTGCCATACTCGATACCTGTAATGCCCACCCACTCTGCCGTGACAGCGGCTAATTAGATTTGCAATTCAGTTGCAAACACACATTTTCAGCCTCAAGTCTCAAGCCTCAAGGTGTGGGGTCTGACCCACAACTCATCAACCTCTCAGCCATCGTGCAACGCCATCCCCACCATCATCATCATCATTTGTGTTGACCGTATCGATTCGAGAGTGTGTGCGAATCGAAAAACAACTGACAGCCGTTAAGAGCCAAGAGTATTTATTGCAGGCAGCAAATATTCCGGACAACAGTTGTAAAAGCTGCTTTAGCTGTATAGATATCCATCATGCTCGTATTGCCTTTTACTCCATATAGGGCATCAGTCCGGGGGCTCTAAGGCATGTAACATGCTAATTAACCAATGTTGGCACGGCAGTGAGCGCGCGAGTGTGTCTGCTATTTGTTTGTGTCTTGCACACAAAGTTGAATCAGAGCTGGTGGAACCTGGAAGCAACAGGCACTTCCGTCTCAGCCTTACGTATACCCATATACCCATACCCAGATTCCAACACCCACTGGACTTTCTAAGTGCAAGTTCTAAGCTGCCATATTTGGTCCAAAATTAATGAGTGAAAAGCATGCAATGTGTTCGTAATTGCAGCCCTAATTTGCATTAAAATTATTGCCTGCCTTAAATATTTCTATAATTAGTTACATAACTAGTTGTAGCTAGTTACTGGGTACAGCGTATTATGAATACCCCACTTCCTAAACCTATAATGTCTCTCGAGGCACCCTCTTCTTTAAGAGCTTCTTGGCCATTTCCCTTCCCTGGTTTTGCCCTTTTTGTTCTGCTTTGTCGTAAACCTGTTAGCATCATTGGTCATTTTGGTTTTTTGCCGGGTTTTTGGGTCACTCTGCAAACTGTAATGACTTGGTCGTGATGTGTTATGAGATTTAAATTCAAATTGCAAAGACCCAAAAATACCATTCTTCTCTGGTTTAGTCTTTGACTAATTTTAGCTCACTTCCCAGCTTAGCTGAGCTGGCCTTTCAGTTTTTTAATCAAAACTTGTTGTTCACATTCCACTACCGTTGCTGGCTACCAACTACCAAGTTCTTCTTCTGGTTTTCGTATCTATTTTTCGCTGTTCTCCACCAGCTCTTTCTTCTTTTTCTAATTCCCATTGTTATTATACCTTGGCTTGGTATTCTTGTACTGCCGAGTACCTGGCCGGACGATGACGTACCCTGGGCTCTGGGGTTTTGGGGTTGAGAGTTGATGGTCGAGAACTGCGCTACTGAGCTACCACAACAAAATTACGAATGAGAGAGGGAATACTCGGCCCGAAGCCGGTGTTGTGTAATTTAGACTCTCTCCACCCGTTTAGCGAACCTTTTTGTTCCAGCTGTGATGGTATTTCAGATACCCTTAAGGAAGGGTGTCTTTTTAAAACCTTTTTAGGTTTGTTTATATCAGAAATAAGACCATAGATTGATGGTTTTACCTTTAAAAAGCTTTCATAAGAAGAGTTCTTTCTTTATGGCGACCGTGACACTGCTTAGAGTGGGCTTTATTTCCATCAGTTGTTATATGGGGAGAGTACTCTTTAGGGTCTGTTTCATATACCAACAGATATTGTTATTATTTTTTGCTGTTGCTGCCTTACATATGCGTTGGCGTAGGCGTCGCTGCTGGCGTTGCTGTTGGCGCTGCGCTGGCGTTTGCGTGGTTGCCATGGTTGCCGCAGCAAACACAGGTGTTGGTTGCAAATACGTCATCGAAGCGGCGGCAGGGCAGGGGCAGCGCCAGCAGCAGCAGAATCAGGTGGAACGAAGGCAGCGAAGCCAGCAACCCATAACGGGGATGGCAGAGACACCAACACAAACACACACACACACACACACACACTCACGCTCCACACACACGCACAGCTGTCGGCACGATCGCGGTTCCACATAGAAGTCCGACTTGGGACGCCGACGCAAAAAAGCAACAAAAGCGCTCGCCATGTGCCAATTCCACTTTGTTTCAACGTAGATGTCTATTTTGTGTGTTCTCACCTGTAAAAAGGCGACTGCTCTGCCGGCGTAGCAGCTGGCGGCGGCAGCGACGTCAACACCTGGCCAAGCGGCGCACTTTAAGCGTTTTAACTTGGCCCGATCGCTTTTAGTTGTTGTCGAGACGCCGCCGCACACCATTCACGACGCTCCCTCTCCACGTTCTCTTCTTCTGAAAAATAAAAAATAAAAACAAAACACCAATTTCGAAAATCGCATATATGCGTTCCTCCGATCCGATCCGATACCGCGAGAGGAACTCCGAACCCTAAACGCGAGTGTGTGTGTGTGGAAAACCCGGAAAATTGAGTAAAGTTTAGAGTGATTTCAAGAGGAAATCGCCAAGCCAAAGTCCCCAATCAAAGCCAAAGTGATCAAATGTTGTTCTCCAATTAATTCGGCATTTGTATGATGTCAGAATCGCGCAAGACGTTGCGCCATTAGGAGGAACATAATCGCCTCGTTTTGATTTATTAAATGCCGCCAATTCCAATTGATTTCAATCTCATTCGGCTGCAGCAAATTGAGTTCCATTTCAATCTTTCAAACCGTACTCAATTATTTCTTTATGACGAGTTTATTACCAAAGTACTCTGGTGGGGTGTTCGGGCCTCGATTTGTTTCAATTCGATCGTTTGTTCGGTGTTTGCAAACAAACAAAAGTGCCCCAGTAGCTGGACGATAATGGCCCATGCACTCCCCAACCTCCTCCGATTTCATCTCGTTTTTCCTATTCGGTTTCAGCCTATTCGTCACTTGTTCCAGTTCCAGTTCAGAGCCTCAAAAAGAAAAAACAATCACTATTTTCGTATTTTGCAATTTTCAACGCCCCGGCTCAAGTGGCTCATTGTTTGTCGCCGTCGGTGTCGCCTCGTTATTGTGCTGTCTTTGATGGTTTATTAATTTTAATTTATTTGGCCACAAATCCCCAATTTAATGCTCCTCGTCGAGCAATGCAAATTGGCAGGCATCTGTTGGGAGCATCTGAGAGATCTGAGACTTTGCTAAAACAGCCAACAGTAGCCAGTAAGCCAAAATAGGCAACGACCAGATGGAGCTCTAGAGCTGCCGCTTCACAAAAGTCATTGAGAATGTCAGGCTATTAACGCCTCTTAGAGACGCCTCCACAGACACTTTTGAAAGCTGGCGGCCTGGCGGTGTGGCGGGCAGGCAGCCCCAGGTATTTGTCTTCTCTATCATTTTGTGTTTTTGGCATAATCACATAAAAACAACGCTGATCGTTTATAGTGTGCTTAAAATGCTGCAATTAGCATTTTTGGTGTGGATGGTGTGGATGGGTTTGGGTTTGTTTGTCACGCTCATGCGCAGGCGTAAAACGCAGTCCCCCCCACCTCCAGAGGGGCTTTTTGTTTTTAGTTTTCGGTCCAGTCTCCAGTCTCCATTTCAATTTCTATGTATGTCCAATGCAAAACAAACATTCTGTCGTGCTGATTGGTGAGTGGGCGATCTTTTTGGCCTGGCCAACTGCTTTATTGATCTTGAGCTGTATGGATATGGATTAATCTAGAGATTTCCATTTCAACTGCCTGGGGTGTAAGAATAAGTCATTGAGAATTATTATTGACCCAGAAACTGGGTGTTACTTGGGGCTTATTATACTAAGGTCTACTTTGAATTGGTTTAAGCTTTTAATCAATTAATTTTGTGTGATTTGATGAAAGTCAAGATAGTCATAGACGCCAATAGTTGACAACTTTCTTGGACTTCCTGTATATTTGATTAATTCAATACAGCTCTAAAACAAAAGGTGAACAATGTTCCTTTTTTAAAACGTTATCTCTAATATTTTTCTATTGAGAATACCTTTCTGCGACCTGCAACTAGTTAAAGCTTTTAATGAATTTATATTGTTTGCAAATGGCCCTTAATATTTGCCACCTCTGTTGACTTTTATTCAATTTACGCAGTACACAACAGTCCTAAAACTAACGGTAAATCTCAAAAAGTTCCCTATGCTTTTTATGCAAAACAGGGTTTTGTGTTCCAACACTAGTCCAAGCTTTTAATAACTTAATATTGTTTGCTTATGAGAGTCAAGAACCTAAATATTTGCCAACTTTCGTAGACTTCCTGTTTATTTGCTGAGTGCACAACAGCCCTAAAACTAACGGTGAATGTTTCATTTTTAAAACGTTCCCAGAGGCCCACCTCTATGCAAAATATGTATTCAGGTTCTGATACAAGTTTAAGCTTTCAATCAATTAATATTGTTGATTAATGGCTGTCAAGACCCTAAATATTTACCAATTTTCGTAGACTTCCTGTCTAGTATCTTAGTGCACAACAGCCCTAAATCAAACTGTGAATTCTGTTCCGTTTTCAAACCGTTCCCTCGGCTCTATGGCTCTTCCTCTATGCAAAATAGGTTTGCGTGTTCTATAACTAATGAATCTCCCTCCCGCCTCCATGAATCAGAGGCGTACATTAACTTTTTGCCTTCAATGTAGAGGTGGGCTTTTTTTTCTCGTTTTTTTGCAAAAAATTAAAATGACGAGCGGCGGCAGCTGAAGAGAGAAGCGCCAACAAATAGCGCCAAGAGCAAGACCGACAGACAGTTGGGATAATTATGTGTACCTACAACACAATAAATAATTCACAACAACAATGGGCCTAGAGCTGGAGCTGGAACTGGAGACTTCACTCCACTTTGGGGCACAATTCGCGTTTACCCTGCTTCAGTTCTCGATGGGGTTTCCGACAATGTCTAGGGCAGTGCCATAGACCAAGACATCCGGTGCCGGCTTTGGAGCTTTTGGCTTTGGCTTGGCATCAGCTATGGCTTCAGCTACGGCTATGGCCACGGCTACGGCTTAATTAAACGCAAATTGTGCGGATAGGAGCGAAGAGTGCGCCAAATAATTAAACTTATTTTGACAATCACGCAGAATTACGAAAATCGGCAGAAAAGAAACGCGTCAACGAAGAAAAAAAGAAACATTTCTTAACGAACTCCCAAACGAAACGAACTAAAGTACAAAGCGACGATAGCAATCGATAAATGCGATAAACCACACGGCCGATAACGGCGATAACATCATGCACTCCAGCTCGCAATCGACGCTGAAGCGCACGCAGCAGCTGGTGCGGCAGACGAACGGGGGCAGGGGCGATGTCCTGAGCAGCGGCTCCGAGGTGGTGCACTCCTCGCGCGGTCCGGCCATAACCACCAACATCGATGACTCCAGCCTAAGGTACCGGCACGAGACCAAGCGGGAGCGCACCGTGGAGGCTGTCATCACGGACTACCCGGGAGTATCGCCCCTGGGCAGTGTTCCCCACGAGAGGACCAACATCGAGCGCACGGTCACCTTCCAGGACCCGGCTGGCAACAGTCGACGCATCTCCGAGACCCGTGCTCTGGTCCCCTCCAGTGGCAGTGGCTCCTCCTCCACGGCGCACTACCAGCAAGTGACCCGGAACAAGCGCATCTCCACCGAGGTGCTGGGCTCCAGTGTGGAGAGCACCAAGACGTCCCAACGGGCGCCCAATGGCCACCGTCGGGTGACCACGCACATAGTGCGCAAGGTGACCACGCTGAGTCGGGCGGAGGAGAATGCCCAGCCGGCGGAGGATCTGCTTCCTCCGGCCAAGATGATACGCAGCTCGGAGCTGGAGTACCGTCGTGCCCTCCCCCCGGCCATTGAGTCATCCTCGCACCGCAGAGAGGTAATCCATCGGAAGGTGTAGTGGGAGCTTCAGGGGGATTTTGTTCCAATGCTCAATGAATGAATCCGGATAGTGTCTAAGAATCATTGTTACTATTAGCTATTGGCCTTGAATTTGCCCTTATAACCATTTCTCCTTAATCTCCTCCAGATCTCCGATATTGTTGTGGGCAAGGAGGACAACGTATCCGCTCGGGAGGCTCTGCTGCGGTGGGCGCGCCGCTCGACTGCTCGGTATCCGGGCGTGCGTGTCAATGACTTTACGTCGTCGTGGCGCGACGGATTGGCCTTCTCGGCCCTGGTGCATCGCAACCGACCGGACTTGCTTGACTGGCGAAAGGCAAGGAACGATCGGCCCCGCGAGCGCCTGGAGACGGCCTTCCACATCGTGGAGAAGGAGTACGGCGTGACGCGCCTCTTGGATCCAGAAGGTATGTCACCACAGGGATCTTTAAGTAATTCTCATGCTAATGGATATTCTTCTCCCCCCCGCAGATGTGGACACCAACGAGCCGGATGAGAAGTCCCTCATCACGTACATCTCGTCGCTGTACGACGTATTCCCGGAGCCACCATCCATCCATCCGTTGTTCGATATGGAGTCACAACGCCGGGTGCATGAGTACCGCGACCTGGCCCAGCAGTTCATCTACTGGTGCCGCGAGAAGACCGCCTACTTGCAGGAGCGCTCCTTCCCGCCGACCCTCATCGAGATGAAGCGCCTGCTGAGCGATCTGCAGCGCTTCCGCAGCGAGGAGGTCAGTGCCCGCAAGCGCGAGAAGTCCAAGCTCATCCAGATCTACAAGGAGCTGGAGCGTTACTTCGAAACCGTTGGGGAGGTGGACGTGGAGGCGGAACTCCGACCGGATGCCATCGAGAAGGCCTGGTACCGCATGAACACGGCGCTGCAGGATCGCGAGGTTATCCTCCAGCAGGAGATCGAGCGACTGGAGCGCCTCCAACGGCTGGCCGACAAGGTCCAGCGCGAAATCAAGCACGTGGACCAGAAGCTGACCGATCTGGAGACGCGCATCGTCGAGGAGGGACGCCGCATCGAGCGACTGCATCCCGTCGACGCCAAGAGCATTGTGGAGGCCCTCGAAACGGAGATCCGTCACCTGGAGGAGCCCATACAGGACATGAACCAGGACTGCCATGTGCTCAACGAGGGCCGCTATCCCCACGTCAGCGAGCTGCACAAGAAGGTCAACAAACTGCACCAGAGATGGGCCCAGCTGCGCACCAATTTCCACACGAACCTGGTACAGAAACTGTCCGGTTTGAAGTATCCCGTCCACGAGACCACGGTGACGCGTCAAACGCGCATGGTGGTCGAGTCCCGTCAGATCGACACGAATCCCCACTTCCGCGATCTGCAGGAGCACATTGAATGGTGTCAGAACAAGTTGGTGAGTAGTTCCGATCCTGATCTTCATTCCCAGTGGGAACTGGTTTGATTTTGAGTCTGGAATCATGGAGATAGAAGTACTGTCAGATACTAATCCATTATCGTTTCAGAAACAATTGCTGGCCGCCGACTACGGCAGCGACTTGCCATCGGTGAAGGAGGAACTGGACCGCCAACAGCACGAGCACAAGATCATCGACCAGTTCCACTCGAAAATACTCAACGACGAGCGCCAGCAGACCAAGTTCTCCGGCGACGAGCTGGCCCTCTACCAGCAGCGACTCAACCAGCTGCAGAAGGTCTACGCCGAGCTGCTCAGCACCTCGACGAAGCGGCTCTCGGACCTCGACTCGCTGCAGCACTTCCTGGGCCAGGCCTCGGCGGAGCTGCAGTGGCTCAACGAGAAGGAGCAGGTGGAAATCTCGCGCGACTGGGCGGACAAGCAACTCGATCTGCCCTCCGTGCACAGATACTACGAGGTAAGTGCCCCATAGACGCTAGCCTAGCAATAGTTTCCAATACGTGTTGTGCTTCTGTCTGTTTACAAGCGTGCATTTGGTAATGGCGACGAGGTAAGACCCAGATTGGTTTCTCCAAATACTCTGAATTTAAAAAATTGCAACCAACCAAGTGCACTTACCAATCTCTACTGATTCATTACTAATACTCATGTCCTGTTTGGCCCTTTAGAACCTTATGTCCGAGCTGGAGAAGCGCGAGATGCACTTTGCCACCATCCTGGACCGCGGAGAGGCGCTGCTGAACCAGCAGCACCCGGCCTCGAAGTGCATCGAGGCCCATCTGACGGCCCTGCAACAGCAGTGGGCCTGGCTGCTGCAGCTGACCCTCTGCCTGGAGGTGCACCTCAAGCACGCCACCGAGTACCACCAGTTCTTCGGCGAGATCAAGGACGCCGAGCAGTGGCTGGCCAAGCGCGACGAAATACTCAACAGCAAATTCTCGCAGTCCGACTTCGGACTGGACCAGGGGGAGACCCTGCTGCGTGGCATGCAGGACCTGCGCGAGGAGCTGAATGCCTTCGGCGAGACCGTGGCCACCCTGCAGCGCCGGGCCCAGACCGTGGTGCCCCTGAACAAGCGCCGTCAGCCGGTGAACCGGCAGGGCCCAGTGCAGGCCATCTGCGCCTACAAGCAGCAGGGCCAGCTGCCGATCGAAAAGGGAGAGACGGTGACGCTGCTGGACAACTCGGGACGCGTCAAGTGGCGTGTGCGCAACTCGAAGGGGCAGGAAGGCTCCATTCCCGGAGCCTGCCTGCTGCTACCGCCACCGGATCAGGAGGCCATCGATGCCGCCGAGCGTCTGAAGCGGCTCTTCGACCGCTCCGTGGCCCTCTGGCAGAAGAAGCACCTGCGTCTGCGCCAGAACATGATCTTTGCCACCATCCGCGTGGTCAAGGGCTGGGACTTTGACCAGTTCCTGGCCATGGGTCCGGAGCAGCGCACCGCCATCCGGCGGGCTCTCAACGACGACGCCGACAAGTTGCTCAGCGAGGGCGATCCCAATGATCCGCAGCTGCGACGTCTCCGCCGTGAAATGGACGAGGTCAACCGACTGTTCGATGAGTTCGAGAAGCGAGCCCGCGCCGAAGGTGAGTGTGGGAGTGACTGGAAGGGGAGGGGGAGGGGGTTCCATCCTCGCTTTTCAATTGAAGGCGCTCGCCAGCTGTCCAAATCGGTTAATTGGCGGAGGCTAATTGAATTTAATGCCCAAGTTTGTTTGATCTGTGTGGCAAGTGGCAAGTGGCAAGCAGGAAGCCACCAGAGTGACAGAAGGCAGCTTAGTCTTGTCTGGCCCGATCAACCATGAAGAAGCTATTCGCGAGTGTCAAAACAAGGGGTAACCCATGGGGGATACTGTCTTGATGTATCTTCTATTCTCTTCTGATGAAATCCTTCCTTTTCCACAGAGGAGAGCAAGCAGGCCAGTCGCATCTTCACGGAGGAATGCATTGCCATCAAGAGCAAGCTGGAGGACATGGCTCGAGAGCTGGACCAGATCATCCTGGCTCCGTTGCCGCGCGATCTGGACTCTCTGGAGCATGTGCTCGAGATCCATGCGGACTACGAGCGCCGGCTGCATCTGCTGGAGCCGGAGCTGAAGCACCTCCAGGAGACCTTCCGGACGATTGCCCTGAAGACTCCGGTGCTGAAGAAGAGCCTGGACAACCTGATGGAGCTGTGGAAGGAGCTGAACACCCAGAGCGGCCTGCACAAGGACCGTCTCAAGCTGCTGGAGGCCTCGCTGGCCGGCCTGGAGGACAACGAGCACGTCATCTCCGAGCTGGAGAACGAGCTGGCCAAGCACCAGGACCTCCCGTCGACCGCCGAGGGCCTGCAGCAGGTGTTCAAGCAACTGACCCACATGCAGGACGTCATCACCCAGCAGCAGCCGCAGATGGACAAGATGAACGACGCCGCCGACCAGCTGGGTCGGATGGGAGTGCCCACCAAGGTGCTCGGCGACCTCAAGCGGCTGCACTCGAACGTGGAGCGTCTGAACACGCGCTGGAGTGCGGTCTGCAACCAGCTGGCTGAAAGGTGAGTCCCGGCACCTGCGACCCAATAACCTGTGCCCCCAACCTGTGCCTGCTGTGTTAACACCGTGTCGTTGGTCTTTTTCAGAATGCGCTCATGCGAAACGGCTATCGGGCTAATGAAGAATCTCCAGTCGAGCGTGCAAGTGGAGGAATCATGGGTGGATGGCACCACCGAACGTCTGTCTGCCATGCCCACCGCCACCTCGGCCTACGAACTAGACGTGAGTAGAACGCCGCCCGCCCCTGTAATGACTTGATTTCCATTTCGATTAGCGCTAGTCTCTAGCTAGTCCTCTAGATCAACCCAGATCCTTGTACAGATGCTCTTAGGTTTTCTAGGAATTCTAGGACACAAAGTATATATACGTAGTCTGTAGAAGTCCCTTTTGAAAAAGTAGTTTGACTCCCGCCCCCCTAGAATCAAGAGCGTTTGGGTTTTAAACCGCTGGTGTTGGACACTCCAATATATAATTAATTTTTATTCCATGTGTATACTTAGTTCTTGTCCCGGTACTCCATATACATTTGTCTAACTGTCCAAAAAGAAGCCATGTCTATGGTCAATGGTCCCCTGTCCGCAGTTCTGCAGTAGTTCTTGTCTAATCCAAACGGCGATCTTGAGGAGCGCCCACACACCCCAGTGCCACATGTACATATATATACACATCGGAGCTCCAAAAGTGGCCAAGCCCACTATGAGACCACCGCCCACACAGACCTATCCATATAAGTAGTGCCCTCGTCCCTCCACACACTGTAAATTGATACCAAATTCGTGTAGTAGTTTGGAAACTAGACTACTTTTGTTATACTTTTATGTTTGTAGTTTTGTCCCCCGTACTCCTAAGATGCACATATGTATAAGCATTATATATATATACACATTACTATATATATATATCACCCAGTATTATCGTATTTGTAGTTGAAAACTAATCGTATATGTATTCTTGTCTAATTTTTTGTACTTTCACCAAAAACAAAACTTGAACTTTTCACACAACAATCAAATATTATCACACACTATAAACAAACACGAAAACAATGATCAAATTATAAAAAAACAAATTTAAAAATCCTATGAACCAAAAACCCAACTCGAAATGCCCCTCGAAAATGCCCCATAGAAACTGCTCGGAGCTGCAATCGAACGAAAACCAAAAATCGAAAATGTCAACGTGGCTGGAGGACGACTGATACGCGAAGCCAAGGTAAAAATTAGTATGCCTGTTCTATTGTGTGACTGAGCCATAGCCGAGACTCTGATGTATCCCAACCGGGCCCAGACTGGCCCAGTCAAAGCTCGGTTGCGATAGGTCAGGTTAGGAGGTCTACTGTGTGCCTGTGATTATTTTCGACCAAAGACCGAAATCCCAAAGATATTACTTCTATAAACTCCTCTTAGCTGTTTCTCTCTGCCTCTCTATCAAAATCTATTTCCAATATATTTAATGCTTTTTAACGGTCTTGAAAGAAGGCCAAAACCTCAAACCAAAAACAAAAAAAAGGGTAAAAGGTGCGTTAATAACACTTGGGTGATACAGAAACAAACAGCCTGACCAACCAACAAAACACAAACAACAACCAACCAACCAAACAAACAAACCAATTAAAAAGCAATCTTTAGAGGAAAAAGTAATTCCGTATTGATTAATCAATAAAATAAAAAGCACTAAATATATAAACCCCTACTCTACTCCCTTGCGACAAAAACAAAAACAATTTAACACAAAAATTACTAACATTTAACCGAAATTAACCAACCAACCAACCAATCAACAAAAACCAACTAAAAACATCGTGGGATTCGGACATCTTGGGACTCAATAGATCTACGACAGTAAATGTTTACGGTTCGTGGACTGGCTCCTTGAGGCCCGGCCCTCGTTTTCGCCACCGCGTCGGGATCTCCGTCCGGCGGATAGCGATCCGGGCGCCACCCAGTATTACAGCCAGCGGTTGGACAATCTCAATACGAAATACGACAGGTTGCTGGAACAACTGTCGCAGAGGCTGAAGACGGCCATCGAGGTGAACGGCAGCGACGGTCTGGTGAGTAGTCCCCTAAAGAACTCCCTCCCCCATCGAAGGATCTTTGCGAGGTGCCCTGACGTCAGACTCTAAACTCGGACAAAAGGTTAGGCTCTGAGGTGCTCGGGGTTCAAGTTCAGAAAACAAGTTTGGCGCTTTCGTTTTCAACACCAAGGCAGGGCCTGAGTTTTCAAATGCAAATACGAGCTCTCATTGTATCTCCATCTGTGCTTGTGTATCTCAACATGAATGTGTCTGTATCTGTAACTGTATCCGTATCTGTTAACCGGCGGCCGTTTAGTATTATTAAATTAACCTTCAGAATCGGTGCACAGTACTACCCGTAATGACATCACAGTCATTCAGTCGGCCAGAGTGGATCGAGTTGACCAACAATATTCGTATATATTCCGTCAATGGTGAAGTGTCAACGCTTGAAATGTGGCTGCCATTAATCACGGCTTGATTAATTTATAAAAATTTAAACTATTTCTTGTTTTATTTTCGTGACTGACGCTGACAATTGATGGAGCTATTTGTTTAATGTACAAAAATAAAGATTGCATTATGTCAGCTAGGGGTTTCTTTTCAAAAAAAAAAATAACAATGAAATCAAAAGCCAAAGAAAACAATAAATGAAAAAGATAAGCTCGCTTGACCAATTAGGCAAATTGGAGACAGATTTCGAATTAAGAATGACGACGAATCGGGCAACTCTATAAATATTAATGAGGAGCCAAACCAAACGTTCCTAAAGATGCCATGTATACCATCCGAATTCAATGCCAGGGGACGTCATCAACATCTTTGTCGCCATCTGTCAACTCCTCCGAATTCTGGTTTCCTCTCGATCTGACTATTTTTGTTCGACTGGTTCTGCGATCCAAGAAATTCAATTAATAATTCGATTTCTGGTCACAAAGTATTCCCTGCTGTTTGAATAATGGCGTGTAAATATTTAACTGGCAATTACCTTAATGAATAGGCAAAGTAACTCGAATCTCTTCCAGAAAAAGGCAAATATTAGGGCTTATCTTAGGGCTCAGACCTTTCTAAAGTAGCACCAATCTTTGGTATTACCATTTTAATTACCATATTGTTAGGTTCAATCAACCTTTAATTAAGCAATCCTCCTGCGAATATTTTCGTAAGAATCTATTTAGAACTCCCTCTTCAAAGGTGTTTCTGGGGCTGGCAGTGACATCATAACTGCTACCATTACCATTACCAAGTTATCGCCTTCAACCCAACTTGATATGCATAGCAGGGGCGGGCCGAGCGAGAGCTCCGTTGGCTTAAGTAGACTATAGACTGGATCGCAAAGTATGTTATTTAGAAGGTTAGATCGCGGCGCAAACTGGTTTTGGGCTTTGTATCTTTTTCACAAACAAGTCGCATGGTTGGCGGCTGGAGTTACTTTGTTCTGCGACTTCCGTGTATTGTTTTCGACTTTAATTTGGAGCCCCAACTCCGGGACAGCCGGGACTCTAAAGCTGACAAGCTTAGGACTATCCCTTGTAAATGGATTGTTTATAGGTTGTTTTGGCGCAACAGCTGGAAAGTATTTTTTTATTAGCCGGCATAGCTGCTTTCCGCTCTCCAAGTAAAAAAGAAAAAATATTCTCTGAGAAACAGAGCACTCGGCTTTCATGCTTTCGGTTTCGGTGGCTGTTTCTCGCTTCTCGCAGTTTAGTTCCGAATGCGACGTGGTTGTGTAATCACGTATACGCTCCGTGTGTCGCTGTTTGCTGTGAACTGCTGCCGGTGTGTTTGAAAAGCCAAACAAAGGCCAAAAACCCTCCGAATCGCTGTCGGAGTGTATTTGAATTGAACGTGTAATTATCGGAGAATAGTGGCTGCTAAATAAATAAGCAAATACCGAGCTTCATATTTTTCGAATTCGTTCCTGACCTGCCAGGAATATTGCTCATACGCCGCATGGGCAGACGTGATGTCACATACGGCCTGAATGCCGAATAGAAAGTGTGTCCGTGCATTGGTCTTGGTGCCTCTTTCAATTAAATGCGAATCGCGTTGCCCCCCTCCATCCCGGCTCTATTCCGCTAATAGAAATTTAAATTTACCGCCGACGACCCACGTCCAATTCTCTAAAAAAATATAGTGCTTCACTGCATAAGAGTTCTATTATAGCCCTAAAAATGAAGTCACTCTTTAGTGCCGCAATACAAAGAGTGGCGTAAACAACCGAAAAAGCAAACAGAACTGAATCGTGAAGAGTGTGAAAACGAAAATAAAAGAAATACATTATTAATATAGCCTTGAACATGTCGCAAGAATCGGAATGTTTTATTTTTTCCCTCATCTTTTTGGCTTCTACAGTTTCGACTGTCTGCTGGGTGTTAATGAAAACCCACCAAGACTCATAAAAGCCGAAAAATAAAAACTTAGTGGCAGCAGCAGCCATGAGTCAAACGAGTTGTAACTGGCTCGTTAAAAAGTTGCCTCTAAACCGAAATTAAACCATTATGGAGTGCAGTTAAAGGGAAAGTCGTTAAAGCGGAATCTCTCACTCAATTATTTCGGTGACGACTGACATGAAATATGACTTCCTATCAGCGCTCTCGGATCGCCGGAAAGTCGAAAAGCTGGCGCTATAATCTAATCTATGAGGTGCAATCCATCAGGCACGATGCTAGGGGATTGAGCGATCAGTTTTCTGTTGACAGTTTAGCTTCCTAGAAGCAAAATATTTATTATACTTAAATATTTATTAGACGAAATAATTAGTAACACTTAGAGCCAAGAGTTGGAAAAGATTTATTTACGCAGTGGGTGGGATCGGCCTTTTGTTTTCGAATTTTTTCGTCTGGCCTGCACTTTCCCATCTGACTTTTATCGATTTAATACTCGTGGGCCGCCTTAGATGTAGCCTTTGTGTTTGGCCCTGTTTGCCTTCGATACGCTGGGACATCTCCACACCCATGTATATTCCGAAAGAAACGTATATTTTTAGTGGCATTCTAACATATTTGGGTGCCACGATAAATCAGGAATGAAAGCGAGTGTTTCGGGGTCTTTGCCTCCAACTGCTGCAACAGAGACGGAATATGAGGAGGTGGGGCTGGGCAGGCGCCTATTTTCGTGATGCCGCAAAGGCGAGGCCAGTCCTCCTGCTGCATGCTGCACGCTCTCATCGAGAGAGCTTTCCATCCCTCGCTCTGAGGGTGCCACCGCTCTCGATGCGGCCTGCGCTCTCGCCAGCCGGCACAACGTGGCGTATTAGTCATGTTATCAGTGCCGATTAGGGCCAAGAATCATTATAATCAGCTTATGAAACCTCCTCGAAACATCATTGAGAATAATATATGTTTTTCTGTTCGCCATCACTATGTTTGCTGCTGCTGGGGCACAAAACTTGTTTCATTTATAATCAAAATATTCATCGCCCGATGACATCATTGTTCCCGTACTCGTATTTACTGTCTCGACCTGTGTCTGTGCTTTTTGTGTCGGTGTGGTTGCGTATTTTAGTTAATTATAATGTATTTGTTGTTTCTACCTACTCTAGGTCAGCCTTGAAAAGCACAGCTCGGCAATAACAATTTTTGTTTATTTCAAAAAATGCAAATCACAAACACCAATCACTTTCGCAGTGACTTCATCTGGTAATTGGTTCTGCAGTCGTTTTTCGTAGGAATTAATAATGACGTCAGTGCAGTTAATACTGGAGTTATGACCCTGCCAGAACCATATGCCAGGCACTCTGGAAAATGGAAAATATAGATAAATTACCGACTGCCAGATAAGATGCACTCCGGATACCACGGGCCCAGGGCACAGGAAAAGAACTCTTCCCGGGTAATCACCCGATTCATAAAAAGAAAATACATATAGGGCCCCTCTTGTCGGTGTTTGCACTACATATTTGCAGAGCGATTGAGGCCTTCTCCATATATAGCGTCATTTCTATTTTCATAAAGGCTCTGGGTTTTATTTTTCGTACTTTATGTGATTTGTGTGTGCTTTGGAACAGGGTGGATGATAATAATTGTTTCTCAAGCGGGCCGAATCCAGTGAATGAAGTGAGTTTTGAGTGAATCAACGTGGATTTAGTCAGACTTACGAGCTGAGATTCGTGCCTGAAATACTATTTTACAACCGAAGGTGAAGGCGACTCTGAGGCTCGACTATTTTTGTTTGCTTTATCGCCGGTGTCTTTATCTTTGGGGCCATATCACTCGCACGCATGCCATAAACAACATTCCACAAACTTCGACTCTGTCTGTGTGTGTTCGACCCGGTGGGGCTTTCAACTTCAAAGTGACGCGTCCAAGAAATAAAACCCAATCACGTCAACCGTAAATTCGTAAATCTCTAATCCAAAGTCACAATTAAATCTCGCGCAGTGCATTCAAGAAGCCCCTACTAAGCCAACGATACAAACAAACCCAATTGCTGACTATGACTTTGTTGAACTGAACGAAACGAAAGCCTTAGACATGCCCCAGCATAGATCGGGTCGCAAGACGACCAAATCCAAATCCAAAACCCAAACCACGACTGTCCAAGTGGCAGAGGAAAGTGACTACGACTTTGCGTTCGAGTTTCAGGTAATGCTCCACAATCTTCCACCACTTCTTTCTTTCTTTCCCTCGACTCTCCCTCGCAAAGATTCCAACGACTTGCATTCGAACTCCATTTGAAGATTTTTACATCTTGGCTTAGTTAATCGCTTTTACTAACTGTTACGCTTTCGTTTTCGGCATTTAGCAATACGCTGAGAGTCTACAGAAACCGCTCAAGACCTTTAGGGTTGACTTCAGTGCGGGCAGCGTGCCAACTGGCGATGGCTACGCTGCACGCCCGGAGGATCTCTACACCACCACCTACAGCACCACACAGTGAGTATCCAGTAGTAGCTTCTAGTTCAGGTTCTTATAGAATCTATCTCATACCCCCTTTCTCCCTAAACAGATTCAGCTCAACGAAAACAACGAAAAGCTCTACGAAGAGCATCTACAGTAGCGATGGCTTGGACGCCGCTAGTCAGGAGGTCATCACCTCCAACCTGCCCCAGTCTCAGATCCAGTTCAACGAAATTCGGACGCTCAAGCGTGCCCAGCAGCTGGGCGGGAACTCTGTGCTGGACATTGCCGGAATACGTGACCCGCGAACGGGTCGCGTCCTGACCATCGGCGAGGCCATCCAGCTGCGCATTCTGGATGTGCGAACGGGAGAGATGCTGGTGGGCGACCGCCGCATCAGCCTGGAACAGGCCGCCGAACAGGGACTGATCGATGCCCAGCTGGCCAGACAGCTGCTCCAGCCCGGAGCCGGTCGCGATGCCAGTGGCAGAGAGCTGTCACTGCTGGAGGTTATCCAGCGGGAGATTAATGAGGCGGAATCCGGCTACGAGACGGCCGAGAAGAGGATCAAGGTAAACAACACGGTGACCGTAGAGACGACAGGGTCGCCGGAGAATCCGCGCAACATTGCCGACGCCATTACTGCGGGGAGTGTGGACACCAAGACGGGCCTGTACCGCGTCAAGTCGGGCCAGACGATCAGCCTGGCGGAGGCCTACGAGCGGGGCTACCTCATCCGGCACGAGTCGGTGACAATCAAGTCGAATGCACTGTGCCTGAGCGATGCCATCGCCCACGGCCTGGTCGACGGCGCCGGCTGGATAGCGGACCGCAACTCCGGCGACAAGTTCCGGCTGGACTCGGCCATTGCCAATCAGCTAATAGACGCGGGTGTGCGCGAAGTGGTGGACGCGAAGCGCGATACGAAGATCACGCTGCAGGAGGCACTGCAGTCGGGCGTCCTGAATGCCAAGACGGGTCGGTACGTAAACGAGGTGACCAAGGAGAAGCTCACCTTCGCGGAGGCGCGCAACCGTCAGTTGATCGTTAAACCGTACACGCTGAAGGACATCTGCGATCTGAACCTGCTCGACAAGCAGGCCCAGATCACGAGTCCCATGCGCCGCGAGAAACTGAGCATCATGCAGGCCATCGAGGCGGGCGTTCTGGACGGCAACAACCTGAAATGCATCACGAAACGGAAGGGCGAACTGGTCACCCTTCAGGAGGCCATCGCCGACGGTATCGTTCTGCCGGCGGAGTGCAAGTACCGCGACTTTATGACCGGGGAACTGATCAGCATACCCGAGGCGGTCGAACGCGGTTTGATTAGTTCGGTGGCGCAGCGGTCGATCTTCGATATCGACGGGTTCAAGGACCTGAGGAGCAGCGACTATGTTAGCTTTAATGTGGCCCTCTCGCGCGACCTTTTGCGTCGCAAGAGCACGGGCTTTGCCTTGGAGACGGGTAGGGATAGTCTGGTGCCCCTAGAGGTTGCGGTGGGCGAGGGTCTGGTGCGCCAAGAGGTGTACGAGATGTTCAATCGGGGCATTGGGGTACAGAACGCCAGCGGGCAGGAGCTCAGTGTCTTCGATCTGGTCTATCACAATCTGATTGACCCGAAGACGGGCTACCTCCTGGACCCCAAGACGGGGGAGACAGTTCCTTTGGACACCGCCATCGAGCGGAAGTTTATCACCCCCGAGGGTGCCCTGCTTCTGAGCAGCTTGCTCAACATCACCTTGACCACGGAGACGGTGACCAGGACGATCAACAGGTACGTGACAATCAGGGCGGGTTCCCAGGAGCCGGGCGACCAGGTGCTGCTCACATTTACGGAGGCAGTACGTCAGGGATTTATCGACGAAGAAAGGCAGCTATTCAAGGACCCCAAAACGGGCAACATCTACTCGGTGCAGCAGGCCCTCAACTACGGACTGCTCGTCCCCGACAGCAACCAAACCGTGCCGGAGCCAACGAACAGGAAGAAGACAAAGTCCACCATCACCATTGTGACCAAGCAGATCATCCCAGAGGCAGAGCCCATCAAGCTGAACACCCAGCACACGAAGTACGTGGAGAAGTCTGTCGAGATTCCCATTTCCCAGGAGCTCATCAAGCCCCAGCGAGTGGTCTCCGACTTCATCAACATGGAGAAGAGCAGCTACATCGAGCAGAACGTGACCGAGCGACAGATCATGGAACTGCCTCCGGGTGGATGGCGCCTCAAGGACGCCATCGAGCAGCGTATCTTCAACCCGGACACGGGAGTGTTCCACGTCCAGGGCACCGATCGCTTGGTTAGCTTCGAGGAGTGCATCAGCAAGCAGATTATCAACAACCTGTCGGTGTCCATCATCGATCCCAGCACCGGCGACAAGATCTCCGTGCAATCGGCCTTCGAACGTGATATTCTGGACAGCTATGGCAACTACACCAACAGCAGGAAGCAGGTCCTGGGCATGCGCAGTGCCATTGACGAGGGCAAGATCATTCTGGAGACGGTGCCGGCGACCAGAGGTTCCAGTCAGAAGACAATCCTGCGCATCACGAGGGTGAACAACATGCCCGATGTGCTGGAGGTCTCCACGCCCCTCAAGGACGCGCCGCCAAAGTTTGTGGAGGTGATCACCTGCCAACGTGAGCTGGCCTCACCGGAGCCTCTGCAAATCGCTCCAGGGGCCATCTACGATCCGTCCACGGCTCTGGTCATTTTCACCCAAAGCGGCGAGACCGAGAACATCTTCGACGCCGCCCGCCAGGGACTCATAGACGAGCAGCTCATCAAGATCGTCGACCCGAGAACCAAGCAGCCCATTTCCGTAACAGAGGCCATTGCCCGATCCATTTACGATCCCAAAACAGAAACCATCCTCGATGCGGAGGGACAGCCCGTCGATCTGATTACCGCCACCAAGCTGGGCCTGCTCAGCGTGGTGGGTGCTCCTCTGGTGGCTGCCGAGGGAGCTCTGCGAACGGTTCGCTTCGTCACGGATCCACGAACAGGCGAGCAAATCCCAGTGGAGGTGGCCTACGAACGAGGCATTGTGTCGCGGGACCAACTCCAGCGCGGAAGGTCCTTCGACAGCGAACCGCCGACGACGACAGTGGAGGAAAAGGTTGTGGTGCTGCAGAGGATGCGGAAGATCATCCTGAAGCCTAAGGATGCCTTGCGCAAGGGAATCATTGATGAGGAGACCTGTAATATACTCGAGGACACGGGCAACTTTACCAATCCCCAGGGAGAGGTGGTGAACATCACCGAGGCCTTGAACACGGGCATGATTGACGGGCGTCGTGGCAAGGTCATCGATCCCCAGAGCAACCGTGTGCTGAATTTGCGTCAAGCCGTGGAACAGAAGATACTCGATCCCGAGCAGACCAATCACATACTCATGCCGCTGGCCAAGAGCCTGTCGGTGCCACGACTGGCAGCCCAGGGACTAGTTGATCCGCAAACCCAGACCATTGTGCACCCGGAGAGCGGATATCCGCTGAGCATTCACGAGGCAATCGTGTGCGAGGTCTTGGATCCGCACTCGACGCTGCGCAAGCCCGAGAAGTGCACGCTGGAGGCGGCCATCAAGAAGGGCATCGTCGACGCGGATGAGTCCATCTTCAAGTACAAGAACAAGAACCTCACCATCAGCGAGGCAATCGAAGCCAGGCTCTTCGACCCGAGCTACGACCAACAAAAGTCCAAGGTGGAGATCCCACCGGTGGGCATGATATTCCCAGTGGCGGTTGAGAAGAGTCTGGTGGAGCCGTCGAAGCGAGTGGTCCTGCACCCGAGCACCAAGAACGCTCTGCCCATCAAGCAGGCCATCGAAGAGAACTTCATCATGTCCATTCCATATGCGCCCAAGAAAGACGCCATCGAGGTGGTGGCCGCGATGGAGCGAGATCTAATCGATGTTGCCGCCCAAACCCTCACCGTTCCAACTACGGGAGAGCGCTTGCCGCTGCGCCAGGCTATGGAAAATGGAGTGCTGGTGGTGAAGCAACTGTCCGATTTTGTGGTCACCCAGAAGCCCATTCCGAAGACGGAAATCATGGAAACTGTACGAGCCGTGCACACAGTGACGACGAAGACCATCGAACTGATGCAGGGCTACGTCCTGATTTCGAACAACGAAGTCCAGAACGTGAACACCGGAGAAGTGGTCAGCCTGGAGCAGGCCAAGGAGCTTGGCATCCTGCGCGAGGAATCAACCACCCGGGAAACCAAGGCAGCGGCTGGAGAGAGTCCCGAAGCGGTTCAAAACCTGCCCACGAGCAGTGATCAAACGGTAGTGGTGGAGGAGCGCACCCAGACAGTGGTGGTCAGCTCAGATACGCACAAGCAGGAGATGCAAGTGATCAGCACCACGCAGTCCACCAAGGAAATACCGACTATTCCGGCTGTAAGTGATGCCGAGACCAAGGTGGGCAAGGAGCCATCGAAGACTCTGCAAAATGTGAAGGATGCTGCCAAGATGGGAGCACTGGGAGTGATTGCTGCTCCAGTGCTGGCCGGAGGAGCCCTTGTGAGTGGCGTTAAGAGCCTCTTCAACTCTGTGAAGTCTCCCGCAGAAGATGCCAAGACGACAACCCAGAAACCAGAGAAACCTCAGAGCAGCTTCATAGACCAGGAGCGCCGCAATGTGCCAGAGCCACAACAAGTGCCAAGCGAGGTGGACAACCTCCTCAACGAAACCGAGAATTTCATCAGCTCCACAACTGCCAACTTCATCATCAATGAACAGCAACAGGAGAAGCCTCAGGCGTTGTCGCGTCAGGAAGTGGAATCCGCAAGCACGCTGACCACCACCACAGTCACAACAATAACTACCTCAAAGACAACCACGGAGACTGGAGATGCCGAACCCGTTGTGGTGGAGGATGTCAAGACTACCACCACTGTGGAGACAACTCCAGTGGAGCAGGAGGTTGCCAAGAAGCCAGAAGAGAAGACAGCATCAGCTGATGTTCAAGTAACTGAAACCATCACCACAGTGACCAGAGAGGAAACTATTTCTGAGCCAGAAAAGACAATCCAAAAAGAGCCCACGCCTGAGAAGATTGTGGAGAAGAAGCCGTCGGAGGAGCCAGCTAAGAAGGAAGCCACGCCAGTTCCGGTAACCAAGGAACCAACCCCTGACCCGGTTCAAAAAGAGAAAACTCCCGAGCCAACACCCAGGGAAGCGGCTCAGGTCCCAACCAAGCCAGAACCCCAACCGAGAACTGCTGTTAAAGAGGAAGTGCCCGCTTTCGAGCCACCTTTCACAGCTCCATTGGCACCTTTCGTAGAACCCAAAGCTGAGATCACAGAAGTCACAACTGAAGTGCAAGAGCCGGTCTCAAGCACAGAAACTATCACTACAATTACAACAACTGTGACAACAACCAATGAGCAGCCAATAGAAGTCACTGAAGTGGACAAGTCCGAGCCGGCAAGGATAGAGGATGTTAAAGTCGAAGAACCTTCAGTCCAGGAGCCAACCAAGGACGACAAGCCAAGTGAGGTTCCCTCTCAGTCAGAACCCACTAGCTCAGTAGTGGTTGAAGAAAAGGTCTTCACTGTGGAAGAGCCAACCATCACAGAATCGACAGTAACCACAACCACTATTACCACAACCACAACTACAACTTCCAGCGAAGAACAGCAACCCCAAGTGGTCACTGAGACTGTGAAGGAAGAAGCTAAGAAGGACACCACTCAACCAGAGAAGACTGTGGTCCCGGAGGCGGTAGAGGAAGAGCCTGCAAAAGATTTAAGTCAACCAATCGCTGAGCCTACTCAGACATCCGAGACAGTGACCACAAAAACCACTATTATCAAGGAGGAGAAGCCCCAAAAGCCAGGAGACCTGGAGCAGGTGGTTCTGCCTCCAACTTCAGAGACCAAACACCAGTCAGTTGTCGACTTTATTAAGGCTGAACAGAGCACCCAACCGTCCGAAGGAAGTAAGGTTCTGCAAAATGTCAAGGATGCTGCCAAGCTGGGAGCCCTGGCCATAGTGGGAGCACCTGTCCTGGCCGGCAAGGCTCTGGTGGACGCCCTTACTTCAGAGAAGGCAGCGAAAACTGGGCAGCCCACTGGGCAGACTCATGTGGTTACTGAAATCGTGGAAGAGCTGCCTGCGGATATCTCCAGCAGCAGCACCACAATTGTTACCAAGGTGACCACCACCACCACTACTACCACCACGACCGCCGAGGGATCACCCGAGGATGAGGCGCGCGATGTCGTGGAGATTCCAAGTTCGACTGTAGAACAAACCATCAAACGGGAGGTGCCCAGGACCCTGCCCATCGGCGATGCCATTTCCCAGAAACTGATCAGCCGGGACGAGTGCCAGGTGATTGTGGATGGGGAGCAGCAGTCCCAGACTGTGGCCACTCTGCTCAAGGAGGAGCAGCTCAGTCCGTTGGACGAGGTGCAGATAATTGACGACAAGCTGATTGTTCTGCAGCAGATATCCTACCTGGTGGACGTGGACACCGAACTGACGCCTGAGAAGCTCAGCGAGTTGAACATTTACGATCCCGAGAACCAGTACTTCATCGACCCAACCACTGGCCAGAAGATCTCCTTCCAGACACTGGTCTTTGACATGAACATTTTCAACCCAGAGACCATTTTGGTGAAGAACTTTAGCACGGGCAAGTACGAGACACTGACAGCGGCCCTGGAGCGTCCGTTGCTGGACAGGCACACGGGCCACATGGTCGACCCCAAGACGGGCAAGAAGATCCCCTTCTTCGAGTGCATTGAACGGCAGTGGATAATCCGAGCCGATCCCGAGGAACAGAGACCGACGGGCATGGAGAACGTGACTATTGACCCACAGACCGGACAGGTGATACTTGACGATGGTCGGGTTTGCTCCATTGTTGAGGCCATCAACAGTGGCAAGCTGGACATCCAGTCGATATCGGTGCGCGACCCAGTCAGCGGTGAAGTGATTCCGCTGCGTATGGCAATTGAGTTGGGGGTGGTGGACATGCAGGCGGGCACGGTGATCGATATCCAGACTCTCAAGGAGATCCCCATGGAGCTGGCCTTCCAGCTGGGATTCCTGGTGCCCGGTGCTCGCAAACCCATCTCCCTGGAGGCGGCTGTTCGCAAGGGTCTCTACGACCCCGAAACGGGAAAACTCTTCGACTCTGAGAGTCAGAACCAGGTCGATGTGCAAAAGTCCATTGAGATCGGTCTAGTTGACCCCAAGATTTCCCTAATCGTGGATACGGTTACCAAGAAGGAGGTCAAGTTGGACTGTGCCATCGAAGACGAGCTGGTGGTGCCCTCCACGGGCCAAATCAAGGACAACAAGAACAACACCCTGGTGCCCTTCGATGTGGGTGTGCAGCAGCGTCTGGTGAAGACAGACAGTGTGACCTGGAGCCTGCCGGAGGTGCTGCAGCGCGAGTACTACACGCCCAGCACTGGCAAGGTCCTGAATCCAGTCACCGGCGAGGAGATTCTCCTCCAGCAGGCCATCGAGATGGGCTTCGTGGAGCTGGACACCACTCTGGTGAAGGACGCCGACCACGACAAGATCGTGCCGGGCAAGGAGGCGGCCAAGGTGGGTCTGCTGGACACGGTGCGCGGCACGCTGAGCTCGCCCAACATTAGCCTCGACGAGGCCTTCGTCAAGGGCTATCTGATCAGCACCAAGAAGCCGCTGTCCCTGGTCGATTGTCTGCTGCGTGGTCTCTACGACCCGTCGACAGCAAAGTTCACCATCGACGACAAGCAGCTGGACCTCAAGTCCGCCATTGCCCAGAAGCTCATCAACCCCGAGGAGCTGGTGCTGCTCGACCCCAAAACGGAGTCCATTATTTCCCTCACCGAGGCCATAGCCAAGGGCTATCTGGACCCGATTGGCGGGTACGTCATCAATCCGTACACATCCACCAAGTTGTCGCTCCACGAGGCCCTGGAGAACAGGATTCTCATTCCGCCCAAGCGCAAGCGCAGCCTGCCGGACGCTGTCTACCGGGGTCTCTACGACCCGAAGACGGGCCAGTTTAGCAACACGGTGACCCGCGAGAAGCTCACAACTGAACGTGCCATTCGCAGGGGCATCCTCGATCCCGATTCGACGGTCGTCAACGTGGGCTCGGGCCAGATCATACCGTTCGGTGTGGCCACCGAGACGGGCATTGTGGACAGTAGGCAGGGCACGGTGAAGGACCAGGACGACAAGTCGATTGACTTTAAGGAGGCATTCGACCGGGGGGTCTTGGTGGAGGCCAAGAAGCCACTGCGTCTCATCGAGGCGGTGGTGAAGAATGTCTACGACGAGGTGGACGGACACTTTGTGGACCCCAAGTCGGGCGAGAAACTGAACTTTGCCGAGGCGCTCAACACCAATCTGCTGGACGAGCACAGTGTCCAGATTAGGGACTTCAAGACGGGTCTCTACAAGCAGCTGAACCTCACGCACGCCAAGGACTCTGGCATCATTGATGCCCAGAACTCCAAGCTGCTGTACAACAACCAGACCATGACCCTCAAGCACGCCTTCGACATTGGCATCCTCATGGACGTCAATGCCCCGATCAGCATTCAACGGGCCATCCACCAGGGCCTGTTCGACGACAAGACAGGCAAGCTCAGCGATCCCCGAAGTGGTCGCCAGATCACCCTCCTCGAGGGTATGCGCAGCTTCGTCATCAATCCCCATCTACCCTGCTACTTCGATGAGCAAACCGAGACCATGTACTCTCTCAGCGAGACCTGTCGGAATGGCATCATCAACAGGCGCGAAGGCGTCTTCCGGGAGCCCGGAAGCAGCAGCTTTGTGCCTCTGGGCGAGGCCCTGAGCCTCGGTTTGATCGTGGACATAGAGAACGCCGGCTTCGGACTTTACGAACTTCTGTCCATGGGCTTCTATGACACTGCCACGCGCAAGGTCCTGCATCCGGTGACCAACCGCAAGCTGAACCTCAACGAGGCCTGCGTGGAGGACGTGGTTAGCCTGTCCTCCAGCCTGGTCAAGCACCACGAGACCGGCAAGTACCTGCGCCTGGCCAACGCCATCAAAGAGCAGCTTATCGATGACAACCGGGGTTGCTACAACTTGGGTAACGAACAGTTGGACTTGCAGGCCGCCAGGGCACGGGGTTTCATAGTCTCCAACCGCCGCCTGCTCAGCCTGGAGCTTGTGCTGCGCCAGCAACTGTACCGCCCAGAAACGGGCAAGTTCTGCGATCCAACTACCGGGGAGTACCTCGACCTCATCGAAGCTATCCATTCAGGGTTTATAGATCCCGCGACTACGGTGTTCAAGAACCAGCTCACCGGGAAGGAGCTGCCTTTAAGCGAGGCCATTGAAAACGGGGACATTGACGTGTCCAAGGGGCGGGTATTCGATCCCAAGTCCAAGTCGGCCTACAACTACGACGTGGCTCTCGCGCGCGGCATCCTGGTGACCGTTGCCCGCCCTCTAACCGATCGCAGTGAGGTTGTGCGTCGCCAGGACAGCGTCGAACTTTTGGGACAAACGCCCGTGAGCGTCGTGATCAGCAAGCCGCGCGAAATGTCTCTCGAGGAGGCTATCCGGTACAACATAATCGATCCGAAGACCGCGCTCGTCCGCGATTTCGATAGCTTCAAGTTCCTGCCGTATTCGGTGGCCGTGGAACGCGGGCTCGTGGACACCACCAAGCGCACCCTCGTGGACCCGAAGGCCCTGTACTTTGCCTTCGATCCCACGTTGATTGTTTATGTCCGCGAACCGATCACCTTTGACCAGGCGGCCGAGTCCAAGTGCCTGGACCTGCAGACCGGAGTCCTAACCTATGTGCCAGTGTCCAGTGGAACTGGCAGCGAATCCGCACCGGCCGGCGATGATAGTGCAAACGATTCACTGACTGTCATCGAAACGCCCAAGGTATACACGCTCAAGGAGGCCGCCAGTGCTGGGGTGGTGGATCCCGATTCGGCGCTGGTCAAGGATCTGGCCAAGGCCAAGCTGGTCCGCCTGCCGGAGGCCTTCCGCAAGGGTCTGATGGACGCCAACAAGGCGAACGTGCTGAACACCCAGACCTCGAAGCTCTGCACCCTGCAGGAGGCCTACGAGAGCGGCCTGATCTGCACACCCAAGCGCTCCTTCGGCCTGCTCGAAGCCATCACCTTCAACCTGTACAATCCCACCAACGGATGCCTCGTAGATCCCTTCCAAATGCATCCCGACATCATCCGCCGCCGCAAGTTCACGCTGGCGGAGGCCATTGGCTCGGGTCTGGTGGATCCCTCGTCGACGGTGGTGCGTGATCCCAGCAGCGGGGTCATCGTCCCACTGGCGGCTGCCATCGGCAGCGGGCTGATCGACGCCACCGAGGGCCGCCTGACCGACGCCAGTGACCCGAAGAACAACATCGACCTGGTGAAGGCCGCCGAGAAGGGTCTGCTCCTGCCGGCAGAACAGAGGGTAAGTCTCAGACCAGATCCGACTCAGTCCGGAACTCAGTCTCCGTGTTTTCCGATCTCTTTCGCTCCCAAAACGATATGAATATCAAATTCCAGCAAAATTATTCTAAATTAAAAGCTTTGTTCGTGGCATGTTTGGTACTTTATCATATTTTTCTACTTATATGATTTTTTTACGATTTTCGTTGAGAAGTTTTGATCTGCGCGCTGTCTCTCTCTCTGTCTCTATCTCTATCTATATCTATATCTCTAAAAGCCCATTACTTTTTATCATTCAGACTAACCCACTCAGATGTGTGAGAAGCATTCGGCAAACCTACTTTGCAAGTCATATTTATTATTATTTTGCAAATCTCTTTATATTACAGCGCATGGCATTCAGTTTTCAGTTCTATATAGTTTTCGCTCTCGATCGGCAGAAGCCAATTAATGCAAAGATATCAGCTATCAGCAAGTACATCCACAGATCACAGATCACTGATCACCATCCAACAAACATGCATCCCATAACTATCGTACTCCATCGATTGCGCTTTCTCCAGGCTTAAGGCTCCGAGCTCCGGGCCGAAGAGCAATTGTCAGAACGTCTCATAAACTCCTCCGCATAATGACGTCGGCAATAGGACACAGCATCCTCAGATTATACAAACTCTATATATACTCTATCGATTTGTCTATAACACTACCATACCATTCGATCTCTGCACACACACTCTTCTCCTTGACTTTCCATCCTAGCTAGCCCTCTCCTAGGCAGTTTAGTTTGTAGGATTACTGATCTCAGATCTTCAGTACAACGAGATCTCCTAGTTGCTCCTAGTTTTGGACTAAGGTATTACTTCCTTTTCCAGCCCAGGCTTTAGTTATTATTTTTACACTTTACATTTGTTTAAATACCGATTTTCTACCTATTTTCAGCATTATTACAATAAATATTATTTCGTTTGCAGTTTTGATTTGAAAAATAAAAAAAACAAACCAGAAACAAACAAAATTTAACACTAACCTCAAACAAAAAAACAAATATAATAATAATCAACCCGAAACCAAAAACAACCATTAAAACGTAGCTAGTTTCGTACTAAAAGTAAAACAACTCGTAGTTGCTAGTCCCCTAAGTAGTGCTCGTTCCCCGTAGTTGTAAAAAATCAACAATGCCCTGGTGTTTGGATGTCTTTATTATTTTATTATTTTATAATTTTATTATTTTGGTTTATGTTTAATGCTTTATATTGCCTGCCACAAAAGACCGCTTTGTGCCTCAAGTCTCTATGCTTTGCTTTCAGCCAAGTTTGTGTTTTAAATATTATATATATTTTGTGTTCCATTTATATGCTATATATCTATTGAATTATCCTTTTAAAATACAAGAATATCTACGAATCCTCTTTAGCGACCTGTAACGAGCTAAGAATCTCCGATAAATGTCTTTTAAAAGTATTCTAATGTCTATATTTTTGACCTTTCCCCTGGCGATTTCTACCCATATAGCAAGCAGTATTTGAGAAGTTCAACATGTGCGAGGAGAACGTCAACGACCTCCTCAAGTGGGTCACCACTGTGGAACAGAAAATCTCAAGTGTCGGCGGACCACGCGAAAAGATCGATGAGTTGCGCAACCAGATCAATGCTCTCAAGGTTGGTTATCCCCTGAAATATATAAAGATTCGATCCTAAACATGTATCTGCTTTAAATCCCACAGCAAATCAAGGACGAGATTGAATCCCAACAGCGACCTGTGGCCACGTGCCTGGAGCAGATCCGCCAAATCGTTCTCACCGGAGGCGATGTCTTGTCCGCTCCAGAGGTCACCACCTTGGAGAACTCCGGCCGGGAGCTGCGTTCCCGAGTGGATCGTGTCAACGATCGCACCGTCCGCCTGCTCCGCCGCCTTGAGGCCGGTCGGGATGAGCTGACCAAGCTGCGCAGCGAACTGGATGTCTTTTCCGATTGGCTGCAGGTGGCCCGTCGCACTCTGGAGGACAAGGAGCGCTCTCTGTCCGATCTAACCCGCCTGCCCTCCCAGGCCGACTCGGTGAGGGAGTTCGTGAGCGATGTCATCGGCCACCAGGCCGATCTGCGCTTCATCACGATGGCTGCCCAGAAGTTCGTGGACGAGAGCAAGGAGTTCCTGGCCATTCTCAACGACTTCCGCACCTCGCTGCCGGAGCGCCTTCCCCATGTGGAGCCGCTGTCCACTGCCGAGAGCCCCATCCGCCAAGAGGTTTCCTTGGTATCGGCCCAGTACAAGGATCTGCTGAACCGCGTCAACGCTCTGCAGGATCGTGTTTCTGGCCTGGGCGGACGCCAGCGGGAATACCAGGATGCCCTGGACAAGGCCAACGAGTGGCTGCGCAGTGTCTCCCCTCGGGTGTCGCGCATCATTGCCGAGCCCATTGCCGGGGACCCCAAGGGCGTGCAGGACCAGATGAACGAGGCCAAGGCCTTGCACAACGAGCTCCTGTCCAGCGGCCGCTTGGTGGACAACGCCCAGCAGGCTCTGGATAACCTGTTGCGCAGCCTGGGCGGCCAACTGAGCCCCATGGAAATCAACCAGCTGGAGCTGCCCACCGCCGACCTGAAGAACAACTACCAGCAGCTGCTGGACAACCTCGGCGAGCACTGCAAGAACCTGGACAAGACTCTGGTGCAGTCGCAGGGCGTACAAGACGCTCTGGACAGTCTGGTGGGATGGGTCAACCAGGCCGAGGACAAGTTCAAGCTGAACCTGCGCCCGGCCTCGCTGATCAAGGAGCGCCTGCAGGAGCAGATCCGCGAGCACAAGGTGCTGCTGGCCGACCTCCAGTCCCACCAGGCCAGCATCGACAGCGTCCAAATCTCGGCCAAGCACCTGCTGGCCAGTGCCTCGAACGCCCGCATCGCCAAGAAGGTGGAGTCGAACCTCAACGACGTCACCGGCAAGTTCGAGAAGCTCTACGAGAAGGCCAACAAGCGAGGCGAGTTCCTGGACGACGTCTACAACCGCCTGGGAAGGTACCTGGACGACATCAGCACCGTGGAGCAGCGCATGGCCAGTCTGCAGGAAGCCCTCGACAGCAGGGAAACCAGCCTGCTGACCACCGAGGAGCTGGCCCGCCGCATGAGCGACTTGTCGCGCGAGAAGGACCACCTGGCGCCGCAGTTCGAGGACTGTGTGCGCAACGGCAAGGATCTGATTGGTCTGCGCGATGTCACCGACACCGGAGTGCTGCGCGACCGCATCAAGGCCCTGGAGTCGCAGTGGCGCAACATCAACATCAGCATCGACGAGAAGGCCAAGCTCTCCAAGCAGAAGGCCGAGCAGCAGCTGGCCTACGAGGGACTCAAGGACCAGGTGCTGTCCTGGCTGGCTAGCACGGAGGCGCGCGTCAACGGCCTGCCGCCGGTGGCCATTGATCTGGACAGGATTAAGCAGCAGCACGACGAGCTGAAGCCCATTTGCAAGGACTACCGCGACTATGCTCCCACAATCGACAAAATCAACGACATTGGAGCCCAGTACGACGCCCTCATCCGCCCGGAGAGTCCGGCCCGGAAGAGGTCCACCTACAGCCCGATTAAGCGCGCCAGCCCACTGCGCCGCATGTCCGGAGACGCCAGAAGCCCCAGCCCCACCAAGGGAGGCATCCTGTCGCCACTATCGACTGGTTCCAGTGGATTCGGTAGCCGCAGGTCCTCCCAGGACGGTTTCCAGCTGTCTGAGCTGTCTCCGGTACAGCAGCAGCTGAGCGAGATCAACAACCGGTACGGCCTGATCGGCGTCCGGCTGAACGACCGCCAGCACGAGCTGGACAACCTCAGCGAAGAGCTCCGCAAGCAGTACGAGAACCTCAAGGGACTGGCCCAGTTCCTGGAGCGCATCCAGCGCCAGGTGCCCAAGGAGTCCGTCTCCAACAAGGACGAGGCCGAACGCTGCATCAAGCAGGCGCGCAAGATCCTCGAGGACATGTACGAGAAGCAGAGCCTCCTGGACACCACCAAGGCCCAGATCAAGGACATCCTGCGTCGCAAGTCGGACGTTCCCGGGGCGGAGCAGCTGCGCCTGGAGAACGAGAACATCCAGGAGAAGTGGAAGAATCTCAACGACATCTGCAAGAACCGCATCGCCTTCTCCGAGAAGCTGCGCGACTTCCTCGACACCCACGGCAACCTGAAGAGCTGGCTGGACAGCAAGGAGCGCATGCTGACGGTGCTGGGACCCATCTCTTCGGATCCCCGCATGGTCCAGAGCCAGGTGCAACAGGTGCAGGTGCTGCGCGAGGAGTTCCGCACCCAACAACCGCAACTGAAGCACTTCCAGGAGCTGGGACACGATGTTGTTGATCACCTGGCCGGCACACCCGACGCCCAGGCCGTCGAACTGAAGCTAAAGGACATCCTCGGCAAGTGGGAGGACTTGGTTGGCAAGCTGGACGACCGTGCCAATAGCTTGGGTGGCGCTGCTGACAGTTCCAAGGAATTCGATGCGGCGGTGAACCGCCTCCGCGAGGCCCTCCAGAACATCAGCGACAACCTGGACGCTCTGCCCACGGATGGGGACCACCAGGAGAACCTGCGCAAGATCGAGAACCTGGAGCGCCAGCTGGAGGGTCAGCGTCCTCTGCTGGCCGACGTGGAGCAGTCTGCCGCCACCTTGTGCAACATCCTGGGCGATCCCGCCTCCCGTGCGGATGTCAACTCCCGTGTGGCCGCCCTGGAGAAGCAGTACCTGGCCCTGCAGAAGAAACTGGACACCAAGAAGGCTGAGACGGAGGCTTCGCTACGCGATGGCCGCCACTTTGCCGAGAACTGCTCCAAGACGCTGGGCTGGCTGGGAGGAGAGCTCTCCAATCTCACCGACCGCCTGCTGGTCTCCGCGCACAAGCCCACTCTGCAGCATCAGATCGACACCCACGAGCCCATCTACCGCGAGGTGATGGCCCGCGAGCACGAGGTCATCATGCTGATTAACAAGGGCAAGGATCTGTCCGACCGCCAGCAGGACCGCGGCGTCAAACGCGACCTGGACCGCATCCAGCAGCAGTGGGAGAAGCTGCGCCGCGAGGCCGTCGACCGCCACACTAGGCTGCAGACCTGCATGGAGCACTGCAAGAAGTACTCCCAGACCTCGGAGCAGTTCCTGGCTTGGCTGCGCACCGCCGAGGACAAGCTCTCGGATCTGACACCCGGAGTCCTGTCCAAGGCCAAGCTAGAGACGCGACTTCGCGACCTGCAGACCTTCCGCAGCGAAGTGTGGAAGCACTCGGGCGAGTTCGAGAACACCAAGGGCCTGGGCGAGACCTTCCTTACCAGCTGCGACATCGACAAGGAGCCCATCAAGGCCGAGCTGCAGGACATTCGCGACCGCTGGGAGCGCCTGAACAACGACCTGATTGCCCGTGCCCACGAGATTGAGAACTGCTCCCGCCGCTTGGGCGACTTCAACGATGAGCTCCGCAACCTGGACCATTCTCTGGGCCGTTGCGAGGATCGCCTGGCTGCCCACGATGCTTTGGGAGGCGCTGCCAAGGATCCCAAGCTTCTGGAGCGCGTCAAGGCCATTCGCGAGGAGCTGACCAATCTGAGCAAGCCCCTGCAGTCCCTTAAGGCCCTGGCCAAGGACATCAGTGCCGAGGCGAGAGCCGCTGGTGGAGACGCCGACCATCTGACCAGCGAAGTCGATGGCTTGGCCGATCGCATGTCCGAGTTGCAGGGTCGCCTGGATGACCGTTGCGGCGAACTCCAGTCCGCCGCCACTGCCGTCTCCCAGTTCAACGAACAGATGAAGAGCCTGGGCATCGACCTGAACGACCTGGAAACGGAGATCGAGAAGCTGTCGCCCCCGGCGCGCGAAATCAAGATTGTGCAGCAGCAGCTGGACGACGTGGGCAAGATTCAGCACAGGCTGGACCGCCTGGTGGGTCGCCTGGAGGATGCCGAGCGTGCCGCCGATGTCCTGGTGGATGCCGGCTTCGCCGCGGACACCACTCAGACCCGCGAGCAAATCTCCACGCTGCGCAAGACCCTCGGCCGCCTGGACAACCGGGTGCGCGACCACGAGGACAACCTGCAGGCCACTCTGAAGGCCCTGCGCGAGTTCTACGACAACCAGTCGCAGACTCTGGACGACATCCAGGACGTCAGCGAGGAGTTCAAGCGCATGAAGCCTGTGGGCTCGGAACTGGACCAGATCCGCCGCCAGCAGGAGGACTTCCGCAACTTCAGGGAGCGCAAGGTGGAGCCGCTGGCCGTCAATGTGGACAAGGTCAACGTGGCCGGACGGGATCTGGTGCGATCTGCTGGCAGTGGTGTCTCCACCACGGCCATTGAGAAGGATCTGGAGAAGCTGAACGACCGCTGGAACGACCTGAAGGAGCGCATGAACGAGCGGGACCGCCGCCTGGATGTGGCTCTGCTGCAGTCGGGCAAGTTCCAGGAAGCCCTGGCCGGCCTCTCCAAGTGGCTCAGCGACACCGAGGAGATGGTGGCCAACCAGAAGCCGCCCAGCTCCGACTACAAGGTGGTGAAGGCCCAGTTGCAGGAGCAGAAGTTCCTCAAGAAGATGCTCCTGGACCGCCAGAACTCGATGGGTTCCCTGGCCAATCTCGGCAAGGAGGTGGCCAACCACTGCGAGCCCGCCGAACGGGCCTCCATCGAGAAGCAGCTGAACGACCTGATGAAGCGCTTCGATGCCCTTACCGACGGAGCCGAGCAGCGCGAACTGGACCTGGAGGAGGCCATGGAGGTGGCCAAGCGGTTCCACGACAAGATCAGCCCCCTGGAGCTCTGGCTCGACAACACAGAGCGTGCGGTCAAGTCCATGGAGCTCATTCCCACTGACGAGGAGAAGATCCAGCAGCGCATCCGCGAGCACGACCGCCTGCACGACGAGATTCTGGGCAAGAAGCCCGACTTCACCGACCTCGCCGATGTGGCCGCCCAGCTGATGCACTTGGTCAGCGACGAGGAGGCCGTCAATCTGGGCGAGAAGGTCCGTAGCGTGACGGAGCGCTACACGGGTCTGGTGGATGCCAGCGATAACATCGGAGATCTGCTGTCCGAGTCCCGCCAGGGACTGCGCCACCTGGTCCTCAGCTACCAGGACCTGGTGGCCTGGATGGAGAGCATGGAGGCGGAGCTGAAACGCTTCAAGTCCGTGCCCGTCTACGCCGAGAAGCTGCTGGAGCAGATGGACCATCTGCTGGAGCTGAACGAGAACATTGCCGGCCATGCCTCCAATGTGGAGTCCACCGTGGAGTCTGGTGCCGAGCTCATGAAGCACATTTCCAACGACGAGGCCATCCAGCTCAAGGACAAGCTGGACTCCCTGCAGCGTCGCTACGGAGACCTGACCAACCGTGGCGGAGATCTCCTCAAGAGCGCCCAGAATGCCCTGCCTTTGGTGCAGCAGTTCCACGAGGCCCACACCCGTTTGGTCGAGTGGATGCAGAGTGCCGAGGCCGCCCTGGCCCCGAGCGAGCCCCGCCAGGCGGACGTCCTCCGGCTGGAGGGCGAGCTGGCCGACATGCGTCCCATCCTGGACACCATCAACCTGATCGGACCCCAGCTGTGCCAGCTGTCGCCGGGAGAGGGTGCCGCCACCATCGAGAGCATCGTCACCCGGGACAACCGCCGATTCGACTCCATTGTGGAGCAGATCCAGCGCAAGGCCGAGCGCCTGCACCTGAGCAACCAGCGTGCCAAGGAGGTCACTGGAGACATTGACGAGCTGCTCGAGTGGTTCCGGGAAATGGACACCACCCTGCGCGAGGCCGATCCCCCGGCCATGGAGCCCAAGCTGGTGCGCGCCCAGTTGCAGGAGCACCGCTCCATCAACGACGACATCTCCAGCCAGAAGGGACGCGTCCGCGACGTGACTGCCGCTTCCAAGAAGGTGCTGCGCGAGTCGCCGCAGAGCGAGAACACCGCCACCCTGCGCGAGAAGCTGGACGACCTCAAGGAGATCGTCGACACCGTGGCCCAGCTGTGCAGCGAGCGCCTGGGCATCTTGGAGCAGGCCCTGCCCCTGTCCGAGCACTTTGCCGACTCCCACCAGGGACTGACCGCCTGGCTGGACGACATGGAGCAGCAGATTTCGCGCCTCAGCATGCCAGCCCTGCGTCCGGACCAGATTACCCTGCAGCAGGACAAGAACGAGCGCCTGCTGCAGTCGATTGCCGAGCACAAGCCGCTCCTGGACAAGCTGAACAAGACGGGAGAGGCCCTGGGTGCCCTGGTGGCCGACGAGGACAGCGCCAAGATCAACGAGATCCTGGACACGGACAATGCCCGCTACGCCGCCCTCCGTTTGGAGCTGCGCGAACGCCAACAGGCCCTGGAGAGTGCTCTTCAGGAGTCCAGTCAGTTCTCCGACAAGCTGGAAGGTATGCTCCGTGCCCTGGCCAACACCGTGGACCAGGTGAACCAGCTGGATCCTCTGTCGGCTCTGCCCCAGAAGATCCGCGAGCAGATCGAGGACAACGATGCTCTGATGGACGACCTGGACAAGCGACAGGATGCCTTCAGCGCTGTCCAGAGGGCGGCCAACGATGTGATTGCCAAGGCGGGCAACAAGTCCGATCCCGCCGTGCGCGACATCAAGGCCAAGCTGGAGAAGCTGAACAACCTGTGGAACGATGTGCAGAACGCCACCAAGAAGCGTGGCAGCTCCCTGGACGACATCCTCAGTGTGGCCGAGCCCTTCTGGAAGCAGCTGAACAGCGTGATGAAGACCCTCAAGGATCTGGAGGAGACCCTCTCCTGCCAGGAGCCTCCGGCGGCCCAGCCGCAGGACATCAAGAAGCAGCAGGTGGCCCTGCAGGAGATCCGTCACGAGATCGACCAGACCAAGCCCGAGGTGGAACAGGTGCGCCGCCACGGCAGCAACCTGATGAACATGTGCGGCGAGCCCGACAAGCCGGAGGTCAAGAAGCACATCGAGGATCTGGACAACGCCTGGGACAACATCACCGCCCTGTACGCCAAGCGCGAGGAGAACCTCATCGACGCCATGGAGAAGGCCATGGAGTTCCACGAGACCCTGCAGAACCTGCTGAAGTTCCTCACCAAGGCCGAGGACAAGTTCGCCCATCTGGGCGCCGTCGGCTCGGACATTGATGCCGTCAAGCGACAGATTGAGCAGCTCAAGTCCTTCAAGGATGAAGTCGATCCGCACATGGTTGAAGTAGAAGCATTAAACAGGTACGTCCATCTATCTTTCGAGAAGAATCTCCCCAAGAATCTACTACAAATCCGACTTTCTAAATCCAATCCAATCCGTTTCCGCGTGGGTCGTGTCTTCCATCTCAACCCGTCAATTGGCAGAGGTCTCCAAAGGCAAGATGGTTCCAAAACAGAATTCTTTAAACCGATTCGTTGTTGTTATTGTTGTGATATTGTTAAGTGCCTGTTGCCTGCTGCTGTTCCGGGGATTTCTCTCGGAGATTTCCCCAAACTGAAAGCTGAGCCAGCATGTTCTCTTTGTTTTTTTTCGGTTGCCACAGTCCCCGAACCGGTTGCATGCCCCACTCTTTTGCCAAAAATATTATTTTTCGCTTGCGTTAGCACTTGTTTCTTGGAATTGGACTCCCTAGTCGCACCTGGCTAACATTGTTTTGGGTAATCTTGCAGACAAGCTGTGGAACTGACGGAACGCACTTCACCCGAGCAGGCGGCATCTATCCGGGAGCCCCTGTCGGTGGTCAACCGCCGATGGGAGGCCCTGCTCCGTGGCATGGTCGAGAGGCAGAAGCAGCTGGAGCACGCCCTGCTCCACTTGGGACAGTTCCAGCACGCCCTCAACGAACTGCTGGTCTGGATCAACAAGACCGATGGCACCCTGGATCAGTTGAAACCAGTAAGTTACAGAATCGTAGCCAAGCCATATGGATACTAACTGTCTTATTCCAGATCCCTGGAGATCCACAACTGCTGGAGGTCGAGCTGGCCAAGCTCAAGGTTCTGGCCAACGACATTCAGGCCCATCAGAACTCGGTGGACACCCTCAACGACGCCGGCCGGCAGCTGATTGAGACCGAAAAGGGCTCCGTGGAGGCTTCCACTACGCAGGAGAAACTGCGCAAGCTGAACAACGAGTGGAAGCAGCTGCTCCAGAAGGCCAGCGACCGCCAGCACGAGCTGGAGGAGGCGCTGCGCGAGGCTCACGGTTACATAGCCGAGGTCCAGGACATCCTGGGCTGGTTGGGCGACGTGGACGCCGTGATTGGAGCCAGCAAGCCAGTGGGTGGTCTGCCGGAAACGGCCACCGAGCAGCTGGAGCGCTTTATGGAGGTGTACAACGAGCTGGAGGAGAACAGGCCCAAGGTGGAGACCATCCAGGCCCAGGGCCAGGAGTACATCAAGCGCCAGAACCAAATGAAGGTCTCGTCCAGCAACCTGCAGCACACGCTGCGAACGCTGAAGCAGCGCTGGGACGCAGTGGTCTCCCGGGCCTCCGACAAGAAGATCAAGCTGGAGATTGCCCTCAAGGAGGCCACCGAGTTCCACGACACCCTGCAGGCCTTTGTGGAGTGGCTGACCCAAGCCGAGAAGCTGCTGTCCAACGCAGAGCCCGTATCCCGGGTGCTGGAGACCATCCAGGCCCAAATGGAGGAGCACAAGGTGCTGCAGAAGGATGTGAGCACGCACCGCGAGGCCATGCTGTTGCTCGACAAGAAGGGCACACACCTGAAGTACTTCAGCCAGAAGCAGGACGTGATCCTCATCAAGAATCTGCTCGTCTCCGTGCAGCATCGCTGGGAGCGAGTGGTGAGCAAGGCCGCGGAACGCACCCGTGCTCTGGACCATGGCTACAAAGAGGCCCGCGAGTTCAACGACGCCTGGAGCGGCATGATGCAGTACCTGCAGGAGACCGAGCAGACTCTGGATCAGATCATCGAGGAGGCCACCGCCTCCAAGGAGCCGCAGAAGATCAAGAAGTACATTGGCAAGCTGAAGGAAACTCACCGCCAGCTGGGTGCCAAGCAGTCCGTCTACGACGGCACCATGCGCACCGGCAAGAACCTGATGGAGCGCGCTCCCAAGGGCGATCGTCCGGTTCTGGACAAGATGCTGCTGGAGCTGAAGGAGCAGTGGACGCGTGTCTGGTCCAAGAGCATCGAACGCCAGCGCAAGCTGGAGGAGGCTCTGTTGCTGTCCGGCCAGTTCAGCGATGCTCTGGGTGAGCTGCTCGACTGGCTGAAGAAGGCCAAGAGCCGGCTGAACGAGAACGGTCCGGTGCACGGCGACCTGGAGACGGTCCAGGGACTCTGCGAGCACCACAAGCACATCGAGCAGGATCTGCAGAAGCGCGCCGCCCAGATGCAGGGTGTCCTGAAGACGGGTCGCGACCTGGAACGCTCCGGCAACAACCCGGAGGTCGGTCGCCAGCTGGACGAGATGCAGTCCATCTGGGAGGAGGTCAAGAACGCCGTTGCCAAGCGCGGCGATCGCCTCCAGGTGGCTCTGGTCGACGCCGAGAAGCTGAATGCCCGAGTCCAGGCCCTGTTCGATTGGCTGGATCATGCCGAGCACAAGCTGCGCTACGCCAAGAATGCCCCCGACGACGAGAAGGTGTCCCGCGAAATGATGGACATCCACATGGAGTTCATGAAGGACCTGCGAGTCCGCGAGCGCGAGAAGACCGAGACCTTCGAGTACGCCGAGGATATCATCAACAAGGCCTATCCCGATGCCATTCCGATCATCAAGAACTGGCTCTCGATCATCCAACAGCGCTGGGAGGAGGTGCGCCAGTGGGCCATTAACCGCGAGTCCAAGCTGGAGCAGCACTTGCAGTCGCTCAAGGATCTGGACGATACCATTGAGGAGCTGCTGGCCTGGCTCAGCGGACTCGAGGGCACTCTCTTGAGTAAGTTGTGTGCCTTAACAGCTTTGAGGGACTACATTAATCCTACTGACCATTCTTTAGACCTCAAGCACGAGCGCCTGCCGGATGAGATTCCACCGGTGGAGAAGCTGATCGAGGACCACAAGGAGTTCATGGAGAACACCGCTCGTCGTCAGAACGAGGTGGACCGCGCCTGCAAGCCGCGCCAGCTGCCTCCAGGAGCCCGCAAGCCATCTCGCAGCGGCAAGACACCAGTGTAAGTGGAATCTCATTCTTAGATGGTAGCTCTACTGTATATATCTCTTGTGTATTATGATTTTGTATATTTATTTTTGCCGTTTCTTTTTTATATACTTTCTTTGAATCCACCACCTTATATATTGCTACAATATTCCAAATCCAAATACCCTGCAACGTTTTGCACACCTACATTCTCTGCCTATCCAAAAACCACACAACCACCAGTCGCGGCTCCAGCCACGATCTGCGCGAGACGTCACCCGACGGCACTCTGAGGCGTCAAAGGTTTGGCCGCAACTTTATACTCTCTCTCTCATCCTGCCGCCCCATCGTGGCTTACTCACTCCACTCGAATGGATTGCCTAACATTTGAAACTCCCCATCCCCTACAAAAATAAACCCATGAACCCCCCAAGTAGCGCTAAAATCTGTAGCCGCTAACCCACAAACTACATCGAAACTGCACTCTCGCAACCTTGCTTAATCATTGCTGCTAAAAACTGTCTGCTTTTCGAAAACTTTCCTTAGAATCTTGTACTAATCTTGTGTTTTCTCCCAACAGCTTCAAGGGATCTCGCGACCAAGGACTCAACGCCCGCAAGGGAAGGTAAGTTGAGGATCCTAATAGATCTGCAAAGTCAAGAATAGATAGATTCCGCATGTACTTCAAAATTCTCAAATCGAAACTCTTTTGTTTTCAACTTTTTCAACTACTTTTTGGAAATGCTGCGTCTACAAATGATTCTTGAACATTATATCTTATCTGTGTATTATATATACTTTTATATACTTTGTGTATTGCGTATTTTGCTCGTTACTTTACCATTTTGTTTTGTCTCTTTTTGATTCTACTTTCATCTTGTCTACACTACGCTACTCGTTGCTCCGTAAACGTTGCTCATACCGCTCGAATATCAAAAACTATATGCATTTTGCCGCTTTACTTGCCACTCTATGTAAAATATATACAAAATTAAACCGCATCTCTGAGCAGTCGTGTCACGCCCACTCGAGACACGCCCGACAGAGACCGCCTGCCGCACTATGGCCCCAGGTTCTCGCCAAGGTAAGTACCAGCCCAAAAGACACACTTCATCTTCGTCATCTTCAAGCTGTGCATGTCCAAGTGTTTTGTCTGTAGTTTGGATAGTTTTACCTTAGTTCTTGGGCCTCTTAGTAACTCTTGTGTCATGGTCTCTATGTAGCACTGCTGGACCCGAGCTGGAGTTCCGTTCGCCTCGTGCCAAGCTCCTGTGGACCAAGTGGCGCGATGTCTGGATGCTGTCATGGGAGCGCCAGCGCCTGCTCTACGATCATCTCCTGTATCTGAAGGATGTGGAGCGTGCTCGCAACTTCAGCTGGGACGATTGGCGCAAACGCGTAAGTATCCTCTAACTGGATATTAGAATCAGAATAATCTCATCCTCCAAAAACCTATTTATAGTTCCTCAAGTACATGAACCACAAGAAGTCACGTCTCACGGACCTGTTCCGAAAAATGGACAAGGACAACAATGGCATGATTCCACGCGATGTCTTCATCGATGGCATTCTCAACACGAGTAAGATTTTATTCAATTTTTGTGGTTTATAGAAACTAACTCTATTGTGTCCCCTCAGAATTCGACACCTCTGGCTTGGAAATGAAGGCCGTGGCCGATCTCTTCGATCGCAATGGCGAGGGTCTTATTGACTGGCAGGAGTTCATTGCCGCCCTGCGTCCTGACTGGCAGGAGCGCAAGCCAGCCACCGACTCGGACAAGATTCACGACGAAGTCAAGCGCCTGGTTATGCTGTGTACCTGCCGACAGAAGTTCCGAGTGTTCCAAGTGGGCGAGGGCAAATACAGAGTGAGTTTTCGAGGAGTTTGTGCTTGGAAAGTATACTAATAAGATTATCTTTCTAGTTTGGAGACTCCCAGAAACTGCGCCTGGTCCGCATCCTTCGCAGCACTGTCATGGTGCGCGTGGGCGGTGGCTGGGTGGCCCTGGACGAATTCCTGCAGAAGAACGATCCTTGCCGCGGTAAGTCCTTGCTCCATATCCGATTCTATAATCCAGACACCATAATTATTATTAGTTGTGTTGCGTACACACACAAAAAACACACATTTCCGAAATATGTTGGACTTCTTCCATTCCATTACCAAAAGTACCAAGTACCAAGTCACATTTACTATTACATTCCATGCATATTTAAACAATATATACTACATACATATATAGTGTAATCTTGTAGTCCACATCTTGAATACTCCATTCCACCCAAGCTCATGCATTTTGTCTATTATACCCAGATGCTGTGCATCGTTCGATCATCTCATTTAAAAACAAACGCATTCATACCACACCTAGGTACAGTTGTGCTTAACAACTAATTACTCTATAATGCTAAATATTAATAATACCAAACGGATATGGTCATTTAACCAAACCAACAAACAACCAGCCAACCAACAATAAACCACTGTGCCTAAATAGACCCCGGAAATGAAACGATATGCCTTAAACCAGTTTTGACCTTTAATCAAACCTCATTATTAATTCTGGTCCAAAAGCTGCCTAAACGAATTAACAGAGCGCATAATAATTTGTTTTTAATTGCCAATCAGCCAGAGCCTCATGAAATAACCAAAAAATAATAAATAAGAAACCAATAGCGGATCCCAGTGAACCCCAGGACCCGAACTTGGTCAGGGGTTTGACATTTGCTCTCCTCATTCTCATTCTCGTCGCTTCGTTTATCTAACTGCGTAACTTAGTTGATATTTGTCCATAAAAAACACACACATACCCCAAAAGCCCACAAAAAAAAACCCGCCTCTACTGTACCTACTGTACCTTTTTAGTTAGTGATTAGTAGTATTAACAAAGCCTAGTGGTAGTGAATATAACAACAAGTACTCGTATAAACTAATCCGACTATTAAGCATGCTTTTAACCCAACATCCCGCTTTATTTGTGTAACAGAGTGCCAGCCACTGTTAACTAACAGCGGCTGCAGACTGTACTTCCTCCTCATGTCACGCCTTTTATGTTCGAAGCTCCACAAATTTCGTTGTACGTTGTCCTCTAATTGCAAAATTTGAATTGAAATCTTTTGTTATTAATTTGTGTTATTGTTTCTTCGTTTTTTTACTAATCTAATTTTATGTTTTCCCCCTTTTTCTTTTTTTTCAAAAATGGTTTCCTTTTATAATCCGAAAATTGAATGAATCTTGACAAAACCGATCCCGATAATTATACACTATCTGTGTATAATCTGCGCTTGCGCTGCCCGCTCGCCACGCCCACGACCACGCCCACGCCCGAAATGCACCCGCCTGCGCCCACAAAATACACCAAAATACTAAAAAAAAAAACCAAAAACCAAAAACAACACAAAAAACTGATACAATACTGTGACAAATACTTTGCGGTAACAAATCTTTTGTTGTTATTGTTGTTGTTTATATGTTCGCCCTACAACCAAACAAAAACAAACAAAAACATTGCATCAAATGTCAATGTTGTATGTTGTGTGTTGTATATGCGCTTGGGGCATATCCGCATACTTGCAACCTGCAATCGCTGCCACAAAAAATGCCAATGCCACAAAATGTTACTCGGGAGCAGCCAAGGGACGCACTAACATTGAGCTACGCGAGCAATTCATATTGGCCGATGGCGTCTCCCAGAGCATGGCCGCATTCACGCCCAGACGTTCCACGCCCAATGCGGCCGCCACTGCCTCCTCCTCACCCAATGCCCAGAATGGCGGCAGCTCCAACTTGCCGCCATACATGAGTGGACAGGGTCCCATCATCAAGGTAAATCAAACAGCAGGACCTCTAAGGTTTCCCACAAAATAATCATTCTTTACAATTTGGTGGAAATAATATTTAAATTTTAATATGAAATTATTTTCAAAATTAATTTAAAATTTCAAGAGAAAGTAATTATAATTCCTAATACTTTATCCACTTTTTTAAAAAGTAATATTCAATATTTTCCAAACCACCAAATTGTACAAGATCTCAAAGGGAGAAGTAATACTATAAGCGGGTATCATCCATACAATTATTACTCGACTCCTCAAGCCCATCCCATCTCTCCATCCACTCACCCATCCAATCCAAAAGATCCTCCAGTCCAAAGAGCACGAGGTAAGCTCTCCGTATGTACCATATTATATCTTTTTTTTTTTATTGGGTTTGTTGTGTGTGTTGTTGACAAACAAAAATTATGAAAGGCTCTTGCTGCTGCGCCGCCGACTCTTTATTTTTCCAAGTATTTGCATGAGAACCGATGTTTTATTGTATTATTGTGAGTGCCCTTCTTGTCTTGCGACATTTTTGAGTTATTGCTAGAGTAAAGTACACCCCACACACAGTGTTTTTTTTTATCGCGCGATTAGGCCAGGTTAGGTGTTGTTGTCCACGGCTTAAATGATCATATACCGTTTGCCAAATTGCGAGTAAATCAAATGTCCATTGTTGGTTAAACGTATCGAAATTAATTCCCTAGCTGACGAGCACTTGGCCGAGCTAATGCCAATCTTTGAAAAGATCCGTGCTCAAGACCAGGTTCCATGCGCCTTTCCCATTCACATGGGCGCCGGCGGCACGGTGTTCGTCCGTTGCAATACCAGCCGCTCGGTGCCACTGAGTCCACATGTGCTGCATTGTCATCCAACAACACACTGGGTAAGTCTAACAGAACGACCAAAGTTGAACAGAAGGAGAAGAACCACAGGATCAGGAGTATATCATCCAAATTGGTTGCATTTTCAGGGGTTACCATGGGTCTTTAGTTTTCGAATAACTTGTCTAACAATATCTTATATTTTTATTTACAAAAAATAAAGGTACGCGAGCGTTCGGTTCGCTCCATTCCCATGTCAAGACCATCGCGCTCGTCGCTCTCGGCCAGCACTCCGGACTCACTGAGCGACAACGAGGGCAGCCATGGAGGTCCCTCGGGTCGGTACACGCCCCGCAAGGTCACCTACACGAGCACGCGCACAGGCCTCACGCCAGGAGGCTCTCGTGCCGGCTCCAAGCCCAACTCGCGCCCGCTCAGCAGACAAGGATCGAAGCCGCCGTCGCGACAAGGCTCCACCCTATCGCTGGATAGCACAGGTTTGATTTGTAATATAAAAAAAGGGGCTAAAATATTAAATAAAATTCTTATTTTCTAGACGACCACACTCCCTCACGCATTCCACAACGCAAACCCTCAACGGCCAGCACCACCAGTGGAACCACTCCGCGTCCGGCTCGTCTCTCGGTGACCAGCACCACGCCGGGTAGTCGCCTGAATGGCACCAGTACCATCACCCGCAAGACCGCCTCCGGCTCAGCCAGTCCGGCACCCACAAGGTAGGTTTTTGGGTTACGGATAATCTTCACCAGAGATCAGAGGAGAATAAAGAAACGGGGGCAGACAGACACGGGGGGTTTAACCTTTGAGAAATCTTATTAATTTATTAATTTTTATTTTCCACACCATGTTTTCGGTTTACCGCATTAATAATTGATCAACACCAACTCACACAACCAAACAACATCATGAAACGCTAACTTACAACAACAAACAATATATATTGGCATTTGAAAACATTTTGAAATTGGCTTGAACGCGACTAAAAAAAATGCCACTAACTGCATAAATCAACCAATCTTGTGCCTGAAACTTCTCCAAAAAAAATAAAACCAAAAAAAAATAGCAATGGAGGCATGAGTAGATCATCCAGTATACCAGCACTAACAGGCTTCGGCTTCAAACCAATTAGGTAATACCACAACCAATCGACTTGGTTGTAAAACACTAAACATAATCTTACATACATACATAAGCGTAGGCTAGAGTTAAGATCTGGAGTAGGCAGGGCGGTTATGGTTTAACTTTGATGCTAACTACTGTTGTATACTTACCACCCTCCCATTACCAAAAGCCGGCCATCACGGATACCGATTAAGATACCCTCATTCGATTCCAAGTCAACATCGCCCACCAGCTCGACCACGAATCCAACCAGCTTGGGGTAAAGTTGACAAGCAATCAGCCACAGACCTTAACTAGTCAATCAATTAGCAAGTAATTATGATTTATAAACGTCTAATGTTATAATTTGTTCGGAAAATCAACCTTTCCCAGCATGTACTAGTAATTGTGATCTGTGCATGTCCATGCCATGAAAACCAAAATTTCGATGATAAACAAGCAACATAATGCTTTCGACTAATCCCTAAGTTTGATAATCAGATTATATAATACATTTATTTATGTTATTTTTACCACGTTATATGATTGTTACTGCCATTCTTCCCGAGAAGAGATACTAATCGATTCAACTTTGTCCATGAACAGGCGGAACATCAGCGGCAGCTCAACTCCCTCGGGCATGCAGACGCCGCGGAAGAGCTCGGCGGAGCCAACGTTCAGCTCAACCATGCGGCGCACATCCCGCGGAACAACACCCACGGAGAAGCGCGAACCGTTCCGGCTCTAAGTCAAGGATGATATTGGAGAAGAACAAGAATGCCACACCCTTATACACCCCACACTCAACTCTACTTACTAACTACTGACGCACTGAAGTTCTAAACTAAACCCCAACACTCCCCGAAAGATATTCAAAAGTCTACATTAGCAGAAAAATGTAGCAGAATCAGCACACAGTTCTAAAGAGACTAACTTTAAAGTGCCCTAAAAGGAAGAGGAGTTAAGGAGCGAGACAATTTATAGACGTTTATACTATATATATATATTTTGTAAAAGACAAACACACACACCACACAACAAATGAGATCAGAGACGGAATGCAGACATATAGCTAGCACACAAAGTTGATCAGACAAGCAACCTACTTACGAGTACTACTAATACTAATACTACCTTTTGCTACTACTAATTTGTAATGCCCACTACCTTTATTCACTAGTTATACACGTTTCCAAAATTATGATTTGTATATACTTCTAAAGAGGAAAGCAAACGTAAATTAATGAAAAATACACTCCAAGTGCTCTAAGGCAATTAAACAACAAAAAATACAAAAAACCTAAAAACGAAAAAAAATATTTAGAAAAAAAAAAAAACATTCGAATGAAATGTCGTGACCTTTGCTGCAAACCACCTTGCGTCTGGGGACTCCATCAAAATCGCCAGTTTGGTGGACACCTGGTGCAGGAAACGGGGCGTGGCAGAGGGTGGCACGACCCAAAAAATAACTAAACCCGTTAAAAGAGAAAAAATTTGATTTTGTTCTGTTATTAAACTAATAGGAAAGTGAAAATTGTAAGCCGCATAAAAATATTTAATTATATACTAAAAGTCATTACTATAAGTTTAATTAATATTTAACTGTTAAGCTACAAACACGCAGATTTTGTCTTGCATAATTATTTTGTTTTTTTATATGCAATGGCAGCGAATGAATTACGACGCATAGTGGGTGGAATGCAACCGATGCCCCTTTCTATAAATATTGTAAAATACTAATACTAAATTATTTTGTTGTACGAATCGAAGGAAGTGCATTAAAACACGTTTTTTGTAATTCAATTAAATTAAAACAATTTAAATGCGAAATAAAAATTTACAAAAAATAATAACATAAACTATCTAAGCTTTTTTTTAATTCCCTATTTAAGAAAAATATCAGTTTTTGTTGATTTCGAAATTTGATTTATTCGGTATAGTTCTCAATCGTAGTATTGATTTGACACATTGAAATTGAATTGTTTATATAATACCATGGTCGATCCATTAGGAATCACTATTCGGGTTTCTACACAAAACACTCAATTAATTGTGATATTTAAATATGTGTGCATGCATGCTAATGCAAATCCCCTGTATCGGGTCCTCCGTCTTCAGCAATTGCCATCTATCCACTCACTGACTAGAAATGGCGCTCCATCTTCGATTCTTTTCACTTTGGATATTCCAACTATTTCGTTTTCAAGCTTGTCACTCTTACTTGTCTTTTGTGCTACAGGCTGTCCATAGAGAGAGAGAAATATTTATGCTATAGTTTGAAGTGCAGTTTTCAGATTATGCGTAATTGGATATCAATATCATCGTAGTTGTCTTCGTCTTCGTCGTGATCTCCGCCGATCACCAGTGTACCATGGTGTGGTCTCGTCAACGCCAGCGCTGCCATTGGGTGCTGCTAAATACATGCTGCTAACTGCTAGCTATTAAATGCCCTATAGCCCTAAACCATCATCGTAACCGTAATATCGTCTCGGCATGGTGCCGCAAGTCTTTTGTAAACCATTACAAATATCATTATACAATAGTTAATGTACAACTAAATATCATCGTTCGTCGAAAATTAGCTAACCCGGCTCGCTAAAGCTAACTAAAATAAATACATATCAATGAGAAAGTAGGAATTCACAGAAACGAGTCCGCCTCATAAAACTAAACCTGGGCCGTTTGGGATGGTGCTTCATTGTGTATTAGCAGCATGGCAATGCAATGGGTATCCGGATCCCCATCTCTTCTGGAAGCCATCGTCACCTGGCAAGCCCGGAGCTGGCAGACTGGGCCTTTGTCTGCTTGCCGCTGCCTGTATTCGATGAGGAGCCACCGCCGCTGGCCGATCCTGTTGCTACGCTCGCATTTTGTTCACGATCGCGTTCAGCACGATGATGGTGGCCGTGGTGATGATGATGCCGCCGGCCACCTCTGTAATGCCGCCTATTATGGTGGTAGTTGTTGTTGGTCGGTTCCGGAGCAATGCGTTGCGTCTCCTGCACCACGGGCGCAAATGTGGAGCTTGTCGTTGCTTTGGGGGGCTCCTCCTTAGCCGGGCCCTCCAACTTCTTAGCAGCCTCTGCCTCCTCGCGACGCTGGCGCCGACGAATATCTTCTTCGGTTTCAATGGAAATAACGGCCGCTCCTTCGGCCTTCACATCAATGATGGCTCCGCGACTCTTTTGCTGGAGATAGAGCTGTGACATCCGCTGCTGCATCTGCCGGAGTTCCTGGGTTACTTTAAAGTCCGGAGCATTTGTCAGCTCTGAAGGTGGCATGGCGCACTTCAGGCTATCGGTATCATCACCGATGTGTTCACGGCAGACGGGACACAGAGCCTGGAAGGCATCAGCGGTCTTTTGCTGCCAAGCTGGGAGCTTATCGAATTCCTCCTGGTAATTGCGACGCATGGCGTTGAGATGCCGGGCCAGGCAGTAGCTGTGTAAGTAGTGGAAGCACTCGGTGCGGGTGAACTCGTCGCCCTCGGCGAAGCCATAAAGGCAGATCACGCACTGCCCGCAGGGTAGGTTGCTGCCAGTCAGGTGCTCCCGCACTACTTCAATAAGGTCGAAAACGACTGGGAAGCCAAGAGATTCTTTAATCTTGGCATTGCAGGCGCTCCTGATGGACTCTAGCCTGGAGTCGTCGAGTCCCCTTGGTTTTAGCAGCTTAAATAAAGGACTGACATCGGGATATCCTTGCGGTGGATACACTTGCAGTGTTACGCACACGTACTGCTGTTCCTCCTCCTCGCCCGTCAGTGGCAGCACCGTAGTCTCAATAAAGTCTACCTCGCCGCTGTATTAAAATAAAACAAGTTGAGCCTTACGATTCGGCTACTTTTTGGTAAAGGATTCAATACCTGGGTGTTCGTTTAATGATAACATCCTCCATGAGAATTGCCTCCAGCGACTCCACCTCATCTTGCAAACTGCGGAAAACCTCAATAATTAATACCTGTTGGCTGTGATCGATTTTCATGTGCTCTTTAACTTACGCATCCATTTTTTTTATCAGTTCGGTTCTAGAATGGAGTATTTGTGAGGTTTTGTTTTAAAAAATCGATTTTGAGACCTGAATTTTGCGACAAACACTGCGGCCGTGTACCGTTGAGCCAAAAATACCTAAGGGATGGTGAGAATCGGCCACACTTTCGTAAAATCCCCGACTTGTTTTCCCGTGGCGGTTAATTTAAAACTGTTAAAAGCTGATAAGAAAAAATTAAAAAAAAGTCATTAAATGTCGGTTAAATTTATACTAAGTGGCTTTAATTAAGGCTCATTTCTTTCTTAATTCCATTAAGACTTTCATTTAACCTTTCGTCTTATTAACCTTCTGTTCATCGAAAACTTTGGTCACTCTAACAAAATTATATTATAAAATTTGACAAGTTTATTTCTCGACGGCTGGAATTTTTAGGTAAGAGATGTTGCGCAGATCGCTGATTCCATATTTTAGTCCTGCCCAATGGAGCCGACACATGTCTGTGGTTGCCAAGTCCCTTAAATACTGTGAGCATGGAGAACCACTAGACGTGCTCAAGCTGGTTGAAGACGAACTGCCGGATCCGAAGGGCAAACAGGTCCTGGTAAAGATTCTGGCTGCCCCAATCAACCCAGCCGATATAAACACAATTCAAGGTAAAGAATAATAATTTTTTTGAGAATTATAGTCATATTTTTCGATTTTCAGGAAAATATCCAGTGAAACCAAAGTTTCCAGCCGTTGGGGGAAATGAGTTCGTGGGCGAAGTGATATGCGTGGGTGAAAATGTCAAGGATCTTAAGGCGGGTCAAAATGTCATTTTACTAGCAACAGGTCTTGGCACGTGGACAACTCATGGCGTCTATAACGCGGACCAGCTGCTGGCTGTGTCCAAGAAAGTGGGCCTAGCAGAGGCTGCCACAGTGGCTGTAAATCCCTGCACTGCTTATCGTATGTTGAAGGATTTTGTGGAGCTGTGTCCAGGCGACACGGTCATCCAGAACGGAGCCAACAGTGCTGTGGGGCAGGCAGTGCATCAGCTGTGCCGCGCCTGGGGCATAAACAGTATTGGCATCGTTAGGGATCGCCCGGAGATAGCCGAACTTAAGGAGATGCTAAAGTGCCTGGGTGCCACTGAGGTTCTGACAGAGGCTGAGATCCGCAAAAGTGACATTTTTAAAACGGGCAAGGTGAAGAAACCACGCTTGGCCTTCAATTGTGTGGGTGGTAAGAGCGCCACGGAAGTCTCGCGGCATTTAGACCAGAAAGGCGTAATGGTCACCTACGGTGGCATGTCGCGGGAGCCGGTGACTGTTGCTACTGGTCCACTTATTTTTAAGGACGTTTCGTTTAGAGGCTTTTGGATGACTCGCTGGGCCAAGGAGAACTACAACGCTCCCGCACGTTTCGAAATGTTCAAGGAAATCTTTGAACTTATGGAGAACGGGAAGTTTGTCGCTCCCGCGCACGAGATGGTGCCACTGGAAAAGTTTCAAGATGCAGCGGCAGCGGCCCTGAGTTTTAAAGGATTCACGGGCAAAAAGTTTATTTTGGACATGAGCAACTAGGTGCAGGCTGAGCCTCCATCTTTAATTGTTATTTACATGAAAGGAGAACCCAAATGGGTTTCCAATGTGATTAAATAAAACTTAGACCATTTCGATTTCATTGCCTTGAAACTTGAGCTGGAGGGTCATGGCCGAAGGCGAGGTGACATCGGTGACAGTCAGTTGTTGGCCATCTTGCAACCCCAGTTCGCCAAGGGATTGGGTGAGGTTCTTCCGGGTGGCAGCCTCAATGCTCTTCACAGTGGACATGTATAGAGTTCTTTGTTTGCCATCTTTCATCACAGTGGTGAGCGCTGGGTTCTTCAGCTGGAAACGAGGCGAGTCGCACAACTGCTTTATCACATCCTCCAGTGTTGTGGTGTTGGGATCCTCGATGGTCACTGTCTGCGGAACGTTGCTGCAGGCCAGGCACCCTTCCGATTTCTCCGCCTCGTAGGTGTATGTGTAAATTCCATCCAGATCGTTAAAGTTGAGGTAGTTGGACATAAAGTCGTAGCAGCTGGTGGCCAGCTTAAACACCTCCAGAGCACAGGCTGCTGCTATGACTGCATTTGTGCTTGCCACTGCAGGAATTATGTGCTTGACGACGCCCTGGACCAGGCGGTAGGTGACTCCGGTGATGTTGAACTCATTGGCCCGCTCCAAGGCCCGTTCGTAGACCCATCCGATATGCTGGGGGTCATCCCCATCCAAGGGCACGCCAAAGGGCGCCTCCTTGTCCCACTGAATGATCTTTACATACTCGATGCAGTGCTCCGGCAATCGAGGCGTATTGGCTATCGTGCACAGTGGATAGTTAACCTGGGGTGGAAACAAATCCAAGGTGCATTCGATGCAGGCCGTATATCCGGGCAGGATCACACGGGCGTTTCCCTTGAATCCCTCAGTTCCACCGTCAATCATTGGAATGATGGATGTCGTATCTAAGGAGCCGTCGTCCTCATAGCGCAGCATGGACAGCAGCATTCCGTTGATCCATCGGCGGGCCACAATCGAATCCAGTCCGCACACTATTATGTTGAACTGCTGGTAGAAGGTCTCGTCAAAGTCCTGGATCTTCTTGAAGTGGGGCGTCACCCGGCAAGTGGGCACCCTTCCATTGATAAACCGGGCAGCACATTCGGCCTTTGAGGAGCCAATGTCGGTGCGACGGAAAAGGAACTGGCGGTTAAGGTTAGACAGTTCAATGGTGTCCATGTCGATGACGTGCAGGTTGCCAAAACCCATCAAAGCCAGATCCTTGAGTAATTCACAGCCAAGACCACCGGCTCCAATCACCAACAACTTGCAGTTGGTCTGGAGAAACTCCAGATTGTCGGGCGAGGCAGAGAAGTCATCCTTGCAGAAGGGTCCTTCCCGCTCCAGGATGTTGCGCAGACCGTTCCAGCGCTTATTTTGCAAAACCAAAGCAGGATTAGGCGAATGGACCGACATTCTTTATTGTTGGAGCCACAGTCATACAAAATCCAAGAATGCCTGCAGTGTTGAACAGGGCTGATACCACAGAAAGTCTTGCAACACTGTTTTCAGTCTCTATGCCGATAGTGTCATCACTATCAAAATTGAAAATAACCGGAAAATTTGTAGCGTCCTTTGCAGCGTGCTTCCTTTTGATCGCGCTTATTGTGGATTAATTCAGTGGAAAGCCTATCTTTAATAGAAAATTGTATTGGAACGAAAAGTATAGTGCCCACGGAGTACAAGTAAAGTGAAATATATTAGCAGATATTAAGAAAATAACCGAATATGGCGCTTTCTGCCTTGGCGTCGTTTGATGATCTGCGGCGTTGTATGCAGGTACTAACTGACGGAACTGCCGAGGAGGGTGAGTAAAGGTTTCTATTTATTCTTAAATGTTTGCTGTATTTGAGTGTGTTTCCAGAGTTCCTTCGCTTTCTACGAATATTCGAACAGTATTATGAAAAGTGTGCTGGGTATGCAGCGGAAACGGCGAGGATCCAAAGCGAATTGGACAAGTCGCTGACCAAAATGGGCGACCTGGAGGGCAAGCTGTTCCATGCCCGCCGCATCATTGATATGGAGATCAAGGCCCGTCGCCAGGCTGAGCATGAACGCGATGCTATGGAGAACAAAATCATGGCCGTAGCTGATCTACTGCGCCATGAACGTAATCTGAACAACGAGACCCGGGATAAGTTGGCCTTTCTTCACACACTGCCCTCTTCCCGGAAGAGGAAGTCCCTAAATGCAGTCAGGGAAGACAAATCCTATGGGGATATCAACTCTACGGGTTCGCTGCTGTCCGATCTATCCATCACACACTCTGAGGACGATTTCCTCGATGTGCGCCGATCGAAATCCTGGCGAGAGCACCGTCCTTCGCTGCCCAAGAATCCCATTCCATGTGTGGGCAATAAGAGATCTCGGCTTAGCACGGGTCTTAATGGCAGTATGTCAGGAAATACACCCACGACGACAAAGTCACGTCGCTCTGGGTTGGGTATCGGAGTGGAGCAGCACACAGTGGATGTGGGTCAGGGCGCTGAGCGCTTCTGCGCCACCACCAAGGTCACCATACCCCAGGACGGGCAAGGAGTGATCCGGGCAGAGTCGACCATTGAGTCGCTGCCGGTGATCGGTGGCCACGAGAGGATCGGCGAGGGTCTGTCCTCAACGCCGCGTCGCTCAGCCCTGAAGGAGCCCACCGCTCCACCTTTGACACCAGTAAACGCAATGGCTCCCCATGTGGCTGCTGAATCGGGCACCCCGATCCAACATCGTCCCCTCATGAGGCAACACACTTTCAGCCAGAAGACGTTCTTGCGCGGCGACAACTGCGTTCAGTGCCAGAAGCGGTAGGTGTGAACGCAGGGATTCTCTGATCTTTATTAATACCTCATTATTTATTTCAGAATTCGCTTTGGAGCCGTTGGCCTTCGCTGTCGGGACTGCCCTGTACGCTGTCACATTGACTGCCGGTATCTTCTTACGGTCAGCTGTGTGCCACAGACAGGAACGCCCACGGCCAAGACCATGACCGGCTATGTCAGTGACTTTGCACCTTCAGTAGCGCCCATGATTCCGGCTCTGATTGTGCACTGTGTGAACGAGATTGAGGCCCGAGGCTTGAAGGAGGTGGGACTCTACAGGCTGTCTTCGTCGGAGCGGGAGTATAAGGCTCTTAAGGAGCAGTTCTTGAGGGGAAAGGCCACGCCCCATTTGGGGAACACAGACATCTATGTGCTGTGCTGTTGTGTAAAGGATTTCCTGAGGTCCCTCACTGAGCCCCTCATTCCGACCAGTCAGTGGAAGGACTTTGCCAATGCAGTCCAGGATCCGGACGCCAAAGATGCTCAGGAAATGCTCTACAAGTCGGTGAAACAGCTGCCACAAGCCAACCGGGATACGTTGGCCTTCCTGATTCTGCATTTCCAGCGGATCGCCGAGTGCCGCGAGGTGCTCATGCCCATCGACAATCTGTCGCTTATCTTCGGTCCCACAATCGTGGGCTACTCGACGCCAGATCCAGACCAACATGCAATCTATACGGAGGTCTTTACCCAGAAGCAGGTAATGAAGGCTCTCCTGGAGTTGCCCGTGTCGTTCTGGGAGCAGTACATTGCCATAGATCAGACCCGGACGCCGGCCACTGTGGTGAAGCGAGTACCTAGCAGCAACAAGGATTTACTCTCCTTATATGGTAAGCCTATTCTTATGATGTAATTACCCAATTATTTATTTTCCGATTTTCAGCTACTCCTTTCAAGGGCACTATCAAAAAGCGAAAGTTCTATGGAACACCGCCAGCCTCTGCCCACAAAAAATAATCTGACTTTCCTTGTTGAAAGCTTTTGACGTGTTACTTAAGTTTACTTCAAGTATTTACATTTTTTTGTTTCCGGCCAGCCCCACTCAGGCTGTAATTATTATATTTGTACCCAACTAACCCCGCATAGAAGTTTTCTTTTATAATTAAAGTACTCGATTATAAACTGAAGCACCTTACTCGTACTAACATAAGTATACACAAATCACCCCCGATGGGAAATAAAGTGAAATGGATTTGATAACAGCGCCTATTTTAATAGTCTTAAATGGAGACTCTTTATATTAAAAATAATAATCGAATTTGCTCAGGAAAATCCCTGATAGAAGCATGTTCTCAGTGATCGGCATATCATCATAAAACGGGTTTTTTTCCATGCCTGAGTAGTAATTGTACTTCAAACCACGGCATGGAGGTGCCAGTCTCTACAACTATATCAACTGAGAATGTTCACCGCGCATCAGAATCTTTCCCTCCGGCTGCTTGTGCTCTCCACTGTCGTCTCCGGTGGTTGGGGTTTTTTTAACACTACGGGCTGCGGTCATCGATGTGCGAGCGGCGACTGCATCCCACTGGACCAGTTATGCGATGGCACTGCCAACTGCCAGGACGCCTCGGACGAGACTAAAGCCATGTGCCAGAAAGTCTGGTGTCCGGGCTATTCTTTTCGGTGCACTTACGGAGCCTGCATAGCCAGCACGGCGGTGTGTGACGGCATAATGGATTGCGTGGATGGCTCGGACGAAGAACGCTGGCTGTGTCGGGCCCAAATGCAGGAGGCCAACTGCGACCACTGGGAGATGCATTGCTCCTCCGGCCAGTGCATGCCCTACTCCAAGCTGTGCGATGGCATCAAGGATTGCACAGACGGTGATGATGAAGACGGAACATTGTGCGAAGGTGTAACAAAATCGGAGAATGATCCATCAAGGACCAACTCCACACAGAAGGAGGACGGCTGCCTGGTGCCGGATTTGCCAAATGTGATAATCAAAAATTCAAACAATGCTGTCATCCATGCTGGAACAAGGATTCCCAGAGGCACATCCATTTTCTATGACTGCCCCGCCGAGCATTCCTTGAAAGGAGAGACCGGCAATACGTGCCATGGCTCCATGTGGATGAAAAAGTTTCCCTATTGTGAAAGTAAGTTATTGCTGATCTTCCACATTGAACATTTACTTAATCATCATTTTTACCAGCAGCTCCAACCGCATTCTTCTTTAATCTGACGATATCCTTGTTCTCCCTGTTGATGGTGATCCTGGTCTTCTTACTTTGGCGGATACGCCGGGAAAGTGTGACAAGAAGTCGAAGGCTGCGGGAAGAAAACATTTGGTTGGTGGAAACCAGTTCCAGTCGTCACACAGAAAGTACTCTGCCAAAGTATTAGGAAAATACGTTCATTGGAGGGTTTTTGAAATTCAAATTGTAACGGTTTTTGGGGAATGCTTTAGTATTGGAAAGTGATTGTTGGAGCTATTTGGAGCTGTTGGAGCACATGATTAAAAAAGCGATAATATTATATGTCTGTATTCTATTTATAATATAAAAATAATAATTTATAAAAATAAAATATGGTAAAACACCTGTTGTTTCCAATCCCCCCCCTTGAATAATTTTTTGTATATTGGAGCTAAGCCCCTGCTCTCTCATATTGAAAGTGCGGTCACACTAGCCCCAACTCGAGGGCCCCAATATTGCTCCAGTGCTTCTCCAAGTAAGTCTCCCCCACTGAGGCCTTCACAGCGAACCGATTAGATAATATCTTGGATTCTAGCCGGTCCAGTAACATTGAAAATGGCCAACATTGCCAAGCTCTTCGCCTCCCGTGCCCAGTGTGTCCTGCTGGCAGCCGCACGCCAGCCACAGGTGGCCACTCGCTTTGCCAGCACCTGTAAGTATAGAATCTCACTGCAGGAGATCAAAGTCCAACTGCAAAGTCTCCGCTGCCGGTATTAGTTCAAACCAACAAGAAGGGACTGATTTAGTCCAGAATATGATCTGTTATTCCCTTGCCGTCTCCGCTGCCGGTGCCAAACATTGATTGCGTAACCTCACGATCACCTCATAATGCCATCTCTTTCACACCCCCCACAGCTGGTAACTGGGAGTTTATCAAGACCGAAGTTGCTGGTGAGGGCAAGAACGTGGCTGTCATCACGTTGAACCGCCCCAAGGCTCTGAACGCCCTCTGCAATGGCCTGATGAAGGAGCTGTCCACCGCCCTGCAGGAGTTTGGCAAGGACAAGAGCATCGCTGCCATCGTTCTGACTGGAAGCGAGAAGGCCTTCGCTGCTGGAGCTGATATCAAGGAGATGCTGCCCAACACCTACTCGCAGTGCATCCAGGGCAACTTCCTCAACGACTGGACCGAGGTGGCCCGCACCCAGAAGCCCATCATTGCTGCCGTGAATGGCTACGCCCTGGGCGGTGGCTGCGAGCTGGCCATGATGTGCGACATCATCTATGCCGGCGAGAAGGCCAAGTTTGGTCAGCCCGAGATCGCGCTGGGCACCATTCCCGGAGCTGGTGGCACTCAGCGATTGACCCGCGTCGTTGGCAAGTCCAAAGCCATGGAGATGTGCCTCACCGGTAACATGATCACCGCCCAGGAGGCGGAGAAGCTGGGTCTGGCCAGCAAGGTGGTTCCCGCTGATCAGCTGGTTGGTGAGGCCATCAAGTTGGGCGAGAAGATCGGCACCCACTCCAATCTGATCGTGCAGCTGTGCAAGGAGGCCGTCAACACAGCTTATGAGACCACTCTCCAGGAGGGTCTCAAGTATGAGCGTCGCACCTTCCATGCCACTTTCTCCACCGTAAGCTTAACAATTCTATGCAAGTTTTTTATTTTAAAAATTTATTTTTGATTTATTTTTTAGGCCGATCGCAAGGAGGGTATGACTGCCTTTGCCGAGAAGCGCCCAGCCAAGTTCACCAATGAATAAGATGGATATACCCACCAGATCCTTAAAGCCAGCAATGCATTTATATATTTGTAAAAAATTCAACGTTTTTCTATGCAATTAAAAATTTAATCGTGATAACTTTTAAAGCACATTATGCAGCCTGTGAGCCTGACTGCCAGTTGATACTCCACTCGGTTATTTGTGGAATACCCCCCGGGCAGTGAGGCTCCAGGCTGCATGTCATATTCCTAATCGAAACAAAAAAAATGTTTTTGAAAATTTAAAGAATTTGTGTAATGCACCCGCTTGTTGTTGACCGGAACCGGCAACCCGGTCGGGAAACCATGAGCCTCTTCACCTCGTCTCCTTTGTCGCAGATAGTCGCCCTCTCGATAATCGATTCCTCCCCGCATTCTTGATCTTGGGCCTCTGCTTCTGGTTCTGTCATCACAACTGCACTGACTAGTATGAGCTTGACGACTAGGTGGCCTCCTTCTTCTACACATGCGAGGGTGTTGGACAAATAGGAATCGATCGCCTCGGGGTGTAATCAGTGCTGGATCACTGGGCTCTCTGGGAAATTCACAGTTTCGCATGGTCAGCCCTCTCGATCGACGAGGTTCTGGGTGGCGTGGTACTGGTGACCGGGAGGTCAGGAACCAATCATTACTGGTCCTAGCGAATCCTTCCCTGCACTTCTTGGCCTTTCTCCGCTTACGGCGTTCCTCCCACTCTCGTTGGGCTCTGGACTCCCGTTTCTTGCAGGTATCCTTGGTCTCAACTTCGCTGGAGTCGCTACTCAAGCTTGTATGAGTGGCGGATCTTTTCCTTTCTGGCATATCATCCGAGCCACTGGTGTCTTTAACATATGCCGTGTGTGTCGTGGGTGGGGGGCCCTGATAGTTCTGATATATATAGGATCCTACTGACGAACCTCTATGGGTTGCTTGCCAACTCCTTGACCCCTTGGTTTTTGTTCGGGGTATCCCCCTTTCGGGGGACAGTGTAGATGGCCTACAGTTTGCATTGGGATTATAGAAAGTATTTCGATTGGGTTTCGGGGATGGGCTACTGCGTCTTTTCGGAGCCATGGTTCTTTGCCAAAAGCTAGGATCCCTGGGGCCCTTCACATCCTGTATCCTTGGCTGTTCACTTGCGACGGCTTGGTAATTGGTTTTTTTTGATTCCAAGTTAGAGGGTGCCGCTTCTTGTTTGGAACTGTAGCCATCGGTAGTGGCATTTTGGATGCAGTAGGGCGTTTCTTTTTCCAACTTTCGGCAAATGGCAGCTCTCTTGGATCTCTCCCTCTCTGAATGTTTGCGATCCGAGTTGGGTTTCACTGGCAGGCTGCTGGGTCCATGGAACAGAAGCCGCTTTGCGAAGGCATTCAAACGGGGCAGCAATCGTGGTTTCTGGGGGAGAGCCCGATGCGAATCCGTGGCCAAGGGACCGCTCCACAAGTACTTGCCAGTATTATCATTTCTGGGACACGATTCGGTGGGAGGGTCATCATCATCCCAAGCAAAAGGACTGTCATCTGTGTTTCTTTGACGCCTGGATTCCCACACGGCTCCTCTTCCCTCTGTGCTGCACATAGTATAGGAGTCTTTCATAGGAGTTGGTTCGGCATCTGAGTGACACAAATCCGCATTTCCAAAGCTTACAACCGAGGCTCTAGAAGACTTTTCATGGGGTTTTGGAAAACATGGTGGCGGGGGATAATGTTCCTCCTGTGATTCTATATCCATCTCCTCCAACTGTCGCTTTGCCTGCATTCTAACATCTTGTTGTGCCCTGGACCAGTAGAAGAAATATGGATTTGACTCACAACACATCCTCCGCTGACGGCACATAATCTCCGCCAGACGCTGCTTCTCCTCCTCCCGGATGTTCGGATCCACGGCAGACCATAGGTAGCAGTATGGTGGTGGCTTCTTTCGTTTCTTTTTCTTTTCGTAAATATCCTTAAAGTCAGAGCGGTGAACAAAGCCCTCGTACCCATAGCCACAGCATCCCCATGGGTGATCCGGTGGCATTTCCACATCCGTCCCATCATAGAAATCGGGTCGTTCCGAGCGTTGGACGCCAACTTGGCGGGGGCAGCACATGGACTTGAAAAATTTATTCTCCGGTTCTGGACGTACTCGGTAGCCAGTTCGTTCGTAATCTGCCTTCTCCCTTCTTGCTTCTCTTTCCAAGGATACGGCCCAGTTCTCCTCGTCCTGGGAATTCGCGACATGCATGCGTGGAGCTGAACATGTGACCATGTTTTTACTTGGTTTGCTTGGGAATCTCTCATAATTGGATCTTTTGATAGCCTGATAGAAGGGCTGATTCTCAAACTCGATGCGGCGCGGATCTCTTTTCCTCCTCGGCTTCTCGTAGGAGACGGGGTCGCAGCACGCAGTGACTCCAGATGGGCGAGATGGATCAGGATCCTCAATATTTTCAGCAGGATAACAATAAGTCTTGGTTGCCGATATAGTACTTATACTAGAAGGCTTCCTTTCGACTGACGTAGAACTCTTATGTCTAGAAGGTATCGATTGTAGTTCAGGTTCTTCTGGTTCGTGGGTGGTATAAAGTCCATGTAGCAAGGGCTCCCGGAAGGGAGCAACCCTTCGTGGTTTCTGCGAACTGTAAGCGCTTCCAGGAGAAACTTTACGAGCCTTTTTTCTTTCGGTTTTACTTTTAGGGACTTCTGATTTGGATTCCTGAACCTGGTCATCCTTGTCCTTTGACTTCTCCTCCTCGAGGGCGTAACCACTCTCTTGCACCTGTAACGATTCCTCCGGAATGTCCCATCCTTCGATCGTTCTTCGCCGAGGACAGACCATATTCCTGCAGGGAAACGTCACTGGAGCCGCTGTTTCTATGCCAGGACGCATGGGCCGACTCTTTGCGTCCGGACCGTATTTGTAGTAAGAAAAGCTGGGCTTTTGTACGAGATAGCGTTTGGACACCCTGTTGACTCCGGGAAGACTGGCGTGGTGCCTCTTCAGCAGGCATAAAAATTCTGGAGAAATTCTCCGCCCTGGAAAACGAAAAGGAGCCGTCGTACTCTTGTGGTTCAGGGCATTCCGGATGGGCATGCGGAACTTGTAGCCGAACATGCGAGGCTTGGGGCATTTGGCGACCTGAGGTCTCCTTTTGTGGACATACCACTGCGTCGCCGTATCCTCTACGCCGTAGAATTTCTTCCCGTTCCGAAAAATCTTGGCTGGTGGCGATTCATTATCTGATTTAGTCCTGGCAGGAACCGGAAGCGGCTTGCAATTCAGGGTCTGCATGCAGGCGGGCCCACAGGTAAGAAAGTCGTAGTAGGAAGTGCAGGTATTTTGGCTATTGAGCTTCGCTATTTTCAGTTCACTTAGCATTTTAAAAAAAGAAAGCCAAATTTTTAGTATGTATTAAAAGGAGAAAAATAAAAATAAAATGTAAAAACTAACCTATTTAGGGATACATCTAACGGAGGTTGACAAAATTTCCTCCGAAAAATAGATCACATTAAGAGTAAAAATATTTTAAAATCATACATGCGAAAGTAAGCGCTGGAGACTCGAGAGAAGTAATGACTTTACTATTCTTTGAGTCCTCAGCGTTTACTTATCGTAGGTATGATCCTACTGGGACGCCAAACAAATAGGTTCTTTAAGGATGTCAATAGAATCTTCCTAGAATCGATCCTCGGAAGCGTTCCCTTTCCCGCATTTGACAGTAAAAGTTCCTAAGCTCAATTCGACGCCATTGTGTTTTGATCTTCTTAATAAGCGCACTGTCTGGTTCGTTTCCTGAAATAAAAGTGAAATATTCTTTAACTTTCATAGAAAAATATGTAAAACCAATAATTAATTACCTTTAGCTAGAGTATAGCAAATGCAGCAGTCACATTTCTCGGGTGTTTCGTGTGGGTGGTCACTCGCAGTTTTAGTCGGTGTAGGTTCTTCAACGAGGAGTTTAATTTTCTCCCAGTATCGTTCCATGAGTTTACGCCAGCCCTTGAAATCGTATCGACGGATTACCATGGGCTTCATAGATTCTAAAGGATAAGTCCACCCATCCGGAGAATTCCGGAAACCATACTGGCCATCTCCGATATAATTTCGTCTGGGACTCAAATGCCATCGCAGATAATCGTAATGGGTGGCGAATAGATTGTGTCGCTTGGGATCAGCGATAGCAGCTTCGGTAATCTTTTTAGACATGTTCCGGATATTGTTAATGTTCTCCTGGACAAAGTTTCTGGGCTCCTTTGGGGGACGGTAGTCCTCGCGTACGCCTGCAATCTTCATCAGCTTTTTAATGTACTCTATCACTGCGGCCTGCTTATCGCGAATGATGTCTTCTATATCCCTTGGTTCGTTCATACCACTTATGGTTTCCACAGTTTGGTGCTGCAATTCCCGTAGCACCGACCTCAGGGATAGCTGCTTCTTGATAGTGTGTTTTGAAGATTCACCTTTCAGCTTTCTCTTTGAGTGCTTGAAGGACGTATCGGATGCGATTATATTGAATCTTGAATCCGTTTCGGTTTTGCTCTGCAAGCTCATGGTGTCGGGCAGATAAGCAGGTGTATTCGCTTCCGTAGGCTTCCGTTTGTGGAGCAACAAGTCTGGCTTTGAGTTCTTAATATAATCCGAAAACTTTTTCAGTGGTCCCCGTAGAGCTTTAAAATCCTTGCTACTCTTTAATGAGCCTTTTTCCTTTAGTCTGGATGAATAGCTAGCTACCGAAGCCCTATCGAAATTCATAGATCTATTTTTGTCATATCGACTTTTTTCAATTTTTTCAGTTTTTTCAGTTTTTTCAGTTTTTGTTTTGTATGCACGGGGATTTGGAACAAAAACGTCTTTTAGTTTGTGACCCAAGCTAGACCTTTCGGTGGGAGCAACTGATACTGGACGCTCCAAACTTTCGTATGAATCCGAGTCTAGAAACGCACCCACCTTGGGCTTGAGTACATATGACGAGTTCCCATCTTCTTCCTCTGATTCTTTTTTTGAGATTTGGAGTAAGTCATGAACGCTTCTAAGAGATCTATGAAGTTCTGGTTGTTTGAGGGCGGCGCCCTTTAGCATACTCCTAAAGTCTTGTGTGAATTTTGGCTTTATATTCTTCAATTTAAAACTGGCAGAAGATGATTTTCGATGTTTTGAATATAAACTGTTCCTTTGCTGATTTTTCAAGCTTGGCCTGAATCTTTGATCATATCCAAGACTGTCCAGTTCCCAAAGATCCCAATCTGGATCTAACGACTCAGTGTGGGAACTGTCTCGGCTTATTTCTGGCTTGATGTTCATTCGATGGCTACTTCGTAAGATTTTATGATGTTCCGGTATCCTGAACTTTTTGCTCTTTAAAAGATCTCTCAACGGCGCTGTGAATTTTGCTTCTACAGGTCGCTCCTTATCTTCTACAGTTCCGTACCGTACTTTCTTTTGGAAAGAAACATGACGGGAGACCTCAGTTCCATCGGTTTTAGGACTTTTGTAAACCTTTTCAATCTCTTTACTTGCAATGGGCTTGCGTTCTTTCAGTTGGTGTCGGCTTCTAAGGATACGATTATGTTCTGGCACTGTCTCATTTTTAAGCATTCGATCGAACAATGGCATAACCATCCTGGCTTGTCTGCTTTCCTTATCCTCCCGATAAGCCCCAAATGGAGTTTGCATCACCCGAGCTTTAGGAATGCCTTTTATGGAGGACTTGCTACTCTTTTTTTTGGGAAAGAATTTTAGGATAGCTTTTTCTGCGCCAATGATTTTTCTCTTATGCTTCGCTAAAGATTTTAAAACTGGATCTGGGGTGTTTTCGTCAGGGTATTGAACATAGGGTTCCAGTTTCGGATCCTGTCCCGCGTCTAGGGCATCTTGTACCATTTTTTTCCTTTTGAGTTCCAAAATTTTCCGATTCTTTTCCCAAAGACGCTGGAATAGGTCCAATGCCTGGCGCTTTTTTATCCAATCGTTCCATTTGGCCTGGGTTTGTATTAGAGCCTCTTCATCAGCTTTATCTTGGAGTAGTTTTTCGTGCAACTGTCGCCATTTTGGAGGCGTTCTTTGATATTTGATTTTTTCAGGAATCGGTATATTTTTTAATTCTGTTATTTCTTGAGGCAGTAAATTCTTTTTTATAATTTGATTTTTTGGGCGGCAGCAGCGTTCATATAGATCATGGTCGGTGGCTTGTTGGCGATTCCATCCGTGAAGAGGGTTCTAAAAATAAAAACATTACAACTTTTACTTTCCTTTCCGGATAAAAAGCTCTTAAAAGTAAGCCATGAATTTATTTTATTAAAAAAACAAACAGATAGATGTACCAGATTTGTAGAAGAATTCCATAAAATAGTGGTTGGGTTCTGTTTCAAAGGTTGGCGTTGGCTTAACGACCAACAGCATTTACTTTTTTTGAACGCCATAGCGTAATAGCTTTTTCGCGAATATTCGCTATACAAACAATTTAACTTAATTCACAAAACGAAAAATCCGAATTTGAATTAAATTTCAAAGTATAACATTTGCTAAGGCACAACAGTCATTGCGCTTAACGGCACACTGTTAACCTTAACAGAGTACGGCGAATTCGCCGCAACGTAATATTCGCTGTACCTTTGCGCACTTTTTTCACGTTTTCGAAAAGTGTCCTGCGCGTTGACAGTCCGTTGAGAGCGAAGCTAGCAAAAAGTAAAAGTGAAAATCAGGCCCTTGAAATTTGTTCATCAATTATGCATTGATTCTGGCAGACGCTAACACAAAACACAAACGGAAACGCAACATTTAACGGAAACAGTGTTCGCCAAACGGAAGTGATTTTCAAATTAATACCGTTACCGTGAGCTGGCTGAAAAGTGCGAGATATAAATACATACATAGTGTATATATCTCATTTTTTCACTCGCCAGGGTCTGATGTGTTGTAATCCATAATTGCAAAGACCCACAAACACACACAAAAAGATAGATATATAGAATCGCACTCACATTGACGGTATACACACACCCCCGCTTTTTGCCCTTGGCACCGAGAAGCGTTCGATTTTTCACAACAAGACGTGAAAACCTGAAACGGTCTGAAAGCCTGAGAAAAGCTGAGAAAAAAAAATACTGTTAAGCTGAGAAAACTGAAACCTTAAGAGCCATCAACATGGACATGCTCAACCAGATACTCAGCATCAACAATGGTGGCGCCTACGGGGGCGGGAAGGCGGGCGGCGCCTTTGATCCCCTCACATTCGCCATGAAGCCCCAAGTGGTCATCCGGGCCCTTTGCTGGGTAAGTAATGTCTCCCTCCTTTGGGGCGGGAGTGGAAATTGGGTGGAACACCGCGTGGGTATCGTTGTGGGAATTGCTGGGATTTTTTGGGCAAACACAGTCGTAATTGTCACGTTGTTTATACGAATTGTCATTTAACAGGCACTAAGAGAAAATTGAACATTTTTTTAGATATATACTTTTTCTAAAAATATATCCTTTTTATTTTTAAAACTATGCTTTTGTGTTTTCTTAAACTGGGTTCATTTTTTAAATGTTTCTTTGCAAAAATCTTCCCACAAACGTTTGCTAATAAAAAATGTTTCCGATTTGTTTACCCAAGGGCCAGGGGCGTAGTTAAAGAAGCTCCTCCTTGATGGGGGACACATGGATCAGCTGCAGCGGGACCATAAAAACTCTCACGTTCGTAAAAGCTTTATAATTAAATGTCATAAAGTGTTCGGGCAATTGGCCACTAGGCTTAGAACTTTATTATAGCAGAGGTAATGTGCGTCACCAGCGAAGTGGAAAAAGTTCTATGGGATTCCTTCGTGGGCGGCCAGGAGGTTGGCTTTTAGTTTGCTTTTCATTTAAACGTATACGTAATATTTGCCCACTCACTTAACCAAGGACCCTGTCACTGGGTTGCGATGGCAGTACCAATAGTCCCACCCCACCACCTTGCCACCCCTTTTCCTGGACAAACAAACTAAACTTGGCCTTCATTTCGCAAATTGGGTCAGAAGCATAAGGACGTGTCTGCCTTGTTGTCTGTGTACTTGAACTTCTGGTTTGTTGCACCTGCTGGAGAAAATCAATATCTGAGTATGGGGTGTGCCGAAAAAAATCATAAACTATTACGATTCTTATTGGTTATAAGCCAGTTAAGAAAATGCCAGAAATGGGGTTAGCTAACGTAAATGGGTTTGCTTTAAAAGAAACTCTTAAAAACCAATAAAAACGCTTATCACATCACACTTTAATATGCCAATAAACCATAGAAATGAGGTCTGTCATGTCTTCACTCAAATGGAATTTCCCCCGCCACTTTTCAGCTCTTTTCAGTAGTGGTCTTCGGCTGCATATCCTCGGAAGGATGGGCGGAGAAGGAGGGCAAGGAATACTGCCTTTACAATGGGGACGGAATGGCCTGCAAGTATGGCAATATGGTTGGCGTCTTCGGGTTCCTGGCCTCCATGGGCTTCATGGGCGGTGAGTTCCTCTTCGAGCGGATGTCGTCGGTGAAGAGCAGAAAGCGTTACGTCATGGCTGATATGGCCTTCTCGGGTATGTCTTAATCATTATCTATACTTTCATTGTCTCATTGCCAGATGCTAATGATGATGAAAATCTATTCATTTTTTGTTTAGCCTTCTGGGCCTTCATGTACTTTGTGGCGTTCTTCTACTTGTGGTCGCAGTGGAGCTCGGCGCCCCCACCACCGCTGGGAATCGGAGGTGGCAGCATGAAGACAGCCATTTGGTTCTGCCTGTTCTCGATAGTCTCCTGGGTGGGTAACTATAAAAAAGGGATTTTTTATTTTAAATCTTATTATCCAACCAATAAAATCCTTTTTTTCTGTTTAGGGTCTCTGTGCCCTGATGGCCTATAAGCGCTTCCTGATCGGAGCTGGTGACGAGTTCACCTCGGCCTTTGAGACAGATCCGGCCAATGTGGTCCATCAACAGGCCTACGGATATTCCATGGACAATGACAATGATCAGTACAGCGCCTCCCCCTTTGGCCAGCCACAGCAGGGTAAGTCAGCGCCCAGAACAATGATTTTAATATACATTTTAATCAATTCCCTTAAAAGGAATGGAACAGCAGCAGTCTGGAATGGAGTACCAGCAGCCCACCTATTAAGGATTCTACACAACCTGCTCCTCCGTTGTCCGCACACACACTCACCTCGATTTTGTAGTGCAAATGGCAAATTGAAACAATTGTTTGTTTTACACGACTAAACAGCAACACAACAGAATACACCGATGTCGTACATATAACAAAAGTAACAGAAACAATAACAAAAATATTGATACAAAACCGAAACCAGCAAGCAATGAAACAGAAGCAGCAGCAGCATCGGATATAATTCCAAGCTTTAGCTACAAAAAAGCGAAACTCAGTTAGAAGGATATATAAGGATATAAATGTATTTGTCGGAGAAAGTATGAATAACTCTTAAGCTAGCCCTTTAAGTTGAGTGTGCAGTTTTTTGTAGTGGAATTTGTTGCAATATATATTATACAGATATACAACTAGTTATATATAAATATATCCTATATTACGAGTATATGTATACATGCATAGCTAACCCATTCGAAATATGCTTTCAACGTTGTTAGTTATTTAGTGTTAATGTGTACGTGATTGTATGATTTATTGGATTCAATGCCAGGCCCTGGTCCCCCGATCAGCTTCTTAACGCGATACTCGAATATTACGAATGGCAATAGTTTGCAATTGAGGGAAACATACGGTTTTTTTAGATAAATTTACACACACGTGCAATGCAAATAGTTGGAGGCCCAGACATCAGATTGAGACGATTACACTGCTCAATGACAACATATCCAATAACCAATATCCGTTTGGAAACCTACCCACAAATTCAAAACTGGCGGCCAGGGTCGGAGGAAGGCTTCGTTAACACAGAACAGCAACCGCAACAATAAAACGCCAAAATTTTGTAAATTCTAAGCAGTAAGGAACTCCAAGTCGTTGAATTTGTTGTGAATATAAAACTAAAAAAAAATTTAAACCTAAAACACAGTATTGCAAATTAGATTGCTGCCGGAATTTAACTGGTTTATCGCTGTTCAGGCTTGTTGTTGACCCTCCCAACCAAAGATTTGTATAGTATATATATATAAATACCTAAAAAAATGAAACAAATAAATAAATTCTATATGTACAATACCCATTATGCATTGTGCGAAGGGGCAGTCGCCTCCTGGCAACAGATTCAAGTGTTCTCCAGCGGCGATTGCTCCTTGTTGGAAATACTCAAATATCAATGAATGTAAACATATTGATTACATAAATGTTCACTTAGTGCAGCAAGTTGCGATAACCTACAGATGTATTTGTTAAAATAAATACTATATATATATATATACTTATATATTATATATATTTACGGATTGTATATGAGATAGGGCTCTCAGTTAATATACAGAAATATAAATTAATCGTGTAGAATTCGTGTGCGTTGAAAAATTTAGAAAAGATAAAACAAAACCAAATGTACTCATTTCAAGAAAAAATTAAATTAACACTAACACGAACCGCCAGTGGAATACAAAATAGCGAACCCAGCCGACAATAGGCTAAAGCATTTGCAACACACTATTGTAATAGAAAAGATCCTCAAACAAGGTCCTAAACTGGAAACCCCAAAAATAAACATAAATACATATTTTTTAAAACCAATATAGTGAGTTTTGTTTTTCTCCTTTCATGATTGATTTTAATTTTTTGTCATCTGATCCGTTGTATAAAATTTCAAAAGGGTTGGTCAGCTATATCCTATAGGTGCTATATAAGAAGTCATTTTAGGAAAATTTTTGGAACTGATCTTCTTGTAAGGATTATAACTATATACTGTATATCGGAACTACATTCGGTATTTGTGAAATATATTTTATCCTTTATATATATTATACAGGATTTCATCATCTGTTTAATCGTCGAGATGAAATCTTTATTGCTTAATGCGAAAACCCCTTTTGATTTTTTATCAAAATTCCAAAACTTTTCCTCGATTTTTGACGGGATAGGGCAGTACTACATACCTGTTAATGAAGCTCTACTAGGAACATTCCAATAAAATGCTCCCTGAATATTTATTTATTTTGTATTATGTTAGTAATATTTTACTGGTTACTTGTGGACTTTTGTGAATAATGAACAAAATATATGAATAATGTTTAATGACTGCCAAGCATAGCTTTCCATCCTTCCCGGTTTAGATCAGCAAATTGGTTAATTTTCATTTTGTAGGATTGCTTTCCTTGTTTGTATTGCTCGTTGTGCTCCTGAATCATTTTCCAGTTTTCAGTGAATATTTTGCGATGCTTTTCGGTCTCCGATTCATTCCTGTAAGTCACACTAAAGTCCGTCTAAAATATTTTTCAAATAAATAGAAACCTTTTATGTCGTTTTCTTGAAAATTCATACCAAAAACTTTTGCCAGTCGGCTTCTATTTTCAAATCAATTTCTATAGATTCCGTTGTGGGTAATTCTGTGGTGGGAGTTTCATCTTCGGTAGTTGATTCGAAGGATTCCGATTCGGTTGTTTCAGTTACAGGTTCAATGGTTTTATTTTCTAGAGTGGTAATCCCATTTGATTGTAATCCCTTCTTTTCGATTATGGCCTGGGTTGTGTAGTGGGTGGGTGTACTCCAGACCCCTTCCATTAGGCACACGACTAACAGAGCCACAAAAGCACTTTGAGATGAGCGCATCTTGAAGATTTTTCGCGTACTAAGCTGCGAATGCCCAGTAGTGCCAATTATATAGCAAATATAAATTCTTAATGGGTACTCTCTCTTGATGGCTTTTAATCTTATGACGTAAAGTACTTATCCTATTACTCAGTATTATAAGTACTCTATCTGGGATATAATTTACAAAAATGTAAATGAGTCTTGAAGATTAAGAGGACAAGATTATATTCATATTCAAAAAGTGTGTGTCATTCAGATCATGTTGAATCTTATGAATGATTCAATTATAAACAAAATAGACTAATTTAATATTATCTTGGTTCATATAGAGTAATAGAGGGGTGTGCTTTAGATCCATTTGATGAATATTCACGAGATGATCGCATTTCAAAGATTTTTCGCATACTGAGAATTCTTTTGAATGTCAAAAATAAAGCAAATATTAATTTTCTAATATCAACATTTGGTTTGTATTTATCCCTTTGCTAAAAATGGTACTTCCTCTCTAGAGGAATGACTCTTTGTGAATTACTATAGTTTCAGAAAGAAAGTAACTACCAACTACAAAGTTAGGCTCATTATTCTTTATTTACTGGAAAGCTACAAACTAGAGTAACAAAGTTATAAATTCGTGGTTTGTAATTGACTAAACTATAAGCTAACCTTAGTGGGTAGAGAGCCTACAGGATGGGGTAACTGCACTCGCTGGCGATTCCGCAGAATCCACCGGCATTACGGGGCAGACGCATAAAGCCACCTTCACCCCAGTTCTGGGAGTACGAGTTCTTGATGATCCAGTAGTCCCGTCCGTTCTCAGATCCGTAACCAACCACCGTGACCGAGTGGTTGACCTCGCCAGCATTGCAGGCATCGTCCTCGTAGATGCCACCGCCGTACTGCTCGAAGGATATGGTGTCGGCATTCATGGAGCAGGCCAGGGGACCCAGGGTGGCAATCACCTCCTTCATCTTCTCCTCATCTCCGGGTGTGATGGTGGCATAGTCCCGCACCTTAACGATGCTCTCACGTGGTGGACGTCCGGCAGTCTCGTTCTGACGGCACTGCATCTCCGACTGGGTATACGGGTATTTGTTGGCCAGAGTGATGCCGTGATCACGAATGTACTCGAAGGCGTACTCCTGGAAACCACCGTCGCAGCCCATGTTTCCGTAGTCGTCGGCACAGTCCACCAGATTCTGTTGCGAGAGCGAGGGCAGGATGCCCGTGCGCCGGAAGATGTGACCCTCGAGGGCTCCAGTGGTGGCGAAAGACCAACAGGCTCCACAGCCCACACCTTGGAAACCAGGCGGGGTCACTCCACCCTTCTCCCTCCAGTCGAATTTCTCTGGCAGATTAACATTGGAGGTCCTCGGTCCAGTTAAGAAGTTAATGTGGCCATTGGTGTATTTTCTGGAGAATAATAAAGATATTAGGTTGGTAAATTTTTTAAGAATTGAGAGAATTGGTATATAAATCGTTTAAGGTGGGTATTGTGCAATATAGGGGGTATAAGATATAGGGGTAGAATCAGGGAGCAATACTTATATTTGTATCTAAGATATCTTCTTTACTGCTGTGGATACTTAGAGTCACCTCAAAAAGAGCGATAAGGTTCCATGATAATAGGTTTTTATCACAAACTGTCATAAAAAACAATTCCAAAATGTTTTCATTGATAAAAGGTTTTTGGGGTAATTTACGTTCTCAGAAATTGAGTCTACAAATGGTTTTAACAAATAATTTGGCAATGCTGCTCCCAAACTCACAAAACTATAAATTAATTATTATGCTCATAAAAAAATGTTCTCATAAAAAATATGTGTAGTTGCGAAAACAATGATTCATTTTGGAGCCACTCATGGCTTAATACTTTTGATGAACTGGTTCAGCATAATCTGGAATAGTGAGTAACATCTCTAGCATAAAGATTACACCCTTTTTTAGTTAGCACCAACAAAAAAAAATAAAAAAAGAAAAACCAGTTTAACAGTTATGGATTGGGTGATAATTTATCCAAGTCCCATGGACTTCCCCTTAGGCTTAATGATTACGTCAAGATTTTATCACATATGACCGAATATAATAAAGTGAAAACGTTTCAATCCCTTTTATAGTCTTACAGAATAGACTTAGAAAGATGACAAATACTTACTCTCCATGATCAGAGATCTTGGATCCCAGCAGGGTGGCGATTTCCTTCTTGGTCATATCGGCCAGAGGATTCACACTCAGCTGGAAGCTGGAGATACCGGTGTCGGAGTTCTTGTTGCTCAGGGCGATGAGGGACATCTTGGCGGCAAAGATACTTTCACGGTAGACCCGCTCCTCGTCCGAATACACCTTGCCCGTTTGCCGCAGAAAGTCATCAAAGTTTTGGATGTCGCAGAGCTTGGGAAATGATTGCAGTTGCTGCAATGACACAGCACTCAGCCAGGCGAGGCACATGGCCAGCTGCAGCCACATCGGTGAGCACATCCGCATCTGGAACACATGGGGGGAAAAAGAAACAAAGTTAGTGGAAAGTGTTAAGTAACCACTTGGCCAACTCTCAAAGTCTTCCCTCTTCGTTCAGCATCATCTGTCAACGTTAATCGCACTAAAGTTTAGTTGGTCCATTCACCTCCGACACGAATCGAACCGAGGCTCGTATCGGGGCATGTGGAATAACTTATATGAAATATACATACTTTTCAAGGGGAATCACGCTATAAATATTTATTTATTAGTGCAATCAGATGTGCTTTTTGCTTTTTGAAATAACTAAAATTGCCTTTCTTAAAAAAAACGAAGTTATAATTGATATGATAATTCATAACATGAACAAAAAAGTGGTCTAATTAATCTGTGTTTAACCAGCATGTTATTTGCTTTTTAAAAAGTGAAAACTAAACATCTTAATGATCAGTTAACAAAAGATGAACGGGTCCGCAGTCCCGCAAATCATCTACCAACTGTCAGTAGAAGAATTAATTGGTAATTAATAACCTATTGGCGTTAACCAGAGTCTTAATTTCACAACTTCAGCTCCTACACTTTGGGCCTCTCGGAGCGATCCATCTTCATTTGGATTAGCCCATTGGGTTTTGAAACAAGCAGAGCGATGGTGTTTGCCAATTCAATGTTTGATGACATATAATAAGCATCATAGGTATCGGTTGAATAATCCCATTTGCATATGCTTAGCATAACTTTATTGAACGCCTAATTAAAACACAGAAAACACATAAAGTCGATGCCTTCGAATGAATTTCGGGGGAATATTCATCATTTCGAGGGTTTGTCTTATGGCCGTGGGCCAAATAAATCTAGATTAGCCATTTGGCCAATTTCACTTTCGATGCTGTAAATATTCATCACATGCTGGGCCCGGGTGAAAGGCGATCCCCTTACAACAGGGCCCTCGATCCGGGTTTCTAACGTTTGCGTGATTCCCGATTTCTATTCGAATGTTTGGCTTTAATTGCAATTGCAATCGATTTGCCCGTAATGATTCTCTTCACGAAACGCACACACGACACAATAGACCCATGTTGGCTTAGACTCAATCACCTTTATAACGAGTATCTGTTGGATGGATCTTCCGCGATCGAAAATCTCAGCGAAGATGATGCAGACCCGAAGACCGGCTGGGTTATAAGCGGCGATCGACACGCACATCGCGGTTTTATAGGTCCGGGGTTCGATCTTCGGTTGGGGATCGGGCCTGAGATTTGGCCATCTGACCAAAACCTGATGGGCCCTCAGTATTACATATTTTCCAGTCGAAAACTGAAAATGTTTTAATATTCATGGTTTAGTTATCTGGTTTATGGGCTTATAATATGGGATGGCTTAATTTTATGCATGTTTAGTAATTGTTTGTTGGCCAATACGAGTATAATCGATAGGAAAACTTTGGCCATTTACACTAAATATTGTCACATAAATAATCAGTCAATCAGGTGTTGATTTTGAATATGAAATTGTGCAGAAAGCTGTCGAATTTATAGTTCCAGGCATCGTCGCCAAATTTATTTGCCATTCAATTAACAGTTTTTTGATGGAATCGGGGATTATTACCTGGAAAGTTCATTGACTGGTGTATCAATTATGGGTCCCTGATTTACAGACTCTCAAGAAAATAGGGTAAGTTTCCAACTATTTCTCTTTTTATTGAAATTACCCAACAAGTCATTTAGCACTTGTTTACATGATCATTTGGGAAAGACTTCAAACGAGCCTGCAAGTGTGTTGCAATATTTATGGGCTCCTCATGAATGTGATTAATCATGAAGTGAAGACAAAACGCCGACAGCCGAGGCGTGATTACAAAGATACGGGTAAGTTGGCATTAGAGAGAGAGATATTTTTACGATGCTACCACAAGTTTTATTTCTGGGCCAGTGGAGACTTCGAATTAACAGAGATACGAGAACCTAACGAATCGCAACGATCCAAAACGGAGCGCATTTGACAAGTTTATTGGACAAACAGAGCACACCCCGACTTTTTCCTCTAACGGGGGCTTATCGAGCCCACTCACCCGACCAGCCGACTATATCGCAGCTCTAGGCCAAGTGCGAATTCAAGGCCTGATAGAAATCTATTTGCACTTTTCTTGCGAAAGTAAGTCGGTATGGTATGGTAAACTTCTATTTGCTTTTGCAATCAGAAGAAGAGTTCCGTAGACAACGCCTATAAAAGACCGTTCCACGGTTCTTGGCGGCATCAGTTTGTTTCGGTTTTACGGTTTTCAACATGTTAAAGTTACTGGTATTCTCGTATCTCCTCCTAGCCGCCGGCCAAGGATGGGCCTTTAATCATGGCCAGGACTTAATCGACTTTAATTCCTATGTGGTAAGTTGACACCAAAGAGTGGTTGCGGTTTTTTCCATTTGCTTTTAGAGAAACCCTATGAATCACAGCTCTCTTGTGAATTCAAATAAACTTTCCATGATGATGACATATACTCTATTACTTTCAGGACACTTTTAATAAAACCTATCCCACTACCTCGGCCAGAACCTTTGCCAACTACTACTTCACCTACAACCGGAATCAGGTGGCCCAGCAAAATGCTCTGGCGGATCGAAATCGCACTACCTACCGCGAGGCGGTGAATCAGTTCTCGGACATCCGGCTGATCCAGTTTGCCGCCCTCCTCCCCAGGGCAGTGAATACTCTGACCTCGCATGCCAGCTCCCCACCGGCCACCCAGGCCTCGTCTACCACCTTTGACATCATCACGGACTTTGGTTTGACCGTGAATGTGGAGGATCAGGGCGTGAACTGCAGCAGCAGCTGGGCCTATGCCGTTGCCAAGTCGGTGGAGATCCTGAATGCCGTACAGGCTGCCAATGTAGCACCGGCATCGCTATCTGCCCAGCAGTTGATCGACTGCGCCGGCATGGGCACCGGCTGCTCCACCCAAGTGCCCCAGGCTGCCTTGGACTTCCTCACGCAGTACTCGGACTCTTACCTATATCCGGAAGTGGACTACCCGAATAACAATACCTGGAAGTCGCAGGGCATGTGCCAGCCACCTCCGTCCGTGGGCGTAGGCGTGCGGTTGACCAATTATTCCACAATAGCCGATGGTGACGATGCCTCTCTCATGCGCTACGTGTCCAGTGGATTCCCCGTGGTGGTGGAATACAACCCGGCCACCTTCGGCTTCATGCAGTATTCCAGTGGCGTCTACGTGCAGGATACCAAGTCCCTGACCAATCCCAAGAGCTCCCAGTTCCTGGTGGTTGTGGGATACGACCATGATACGGACACCAATCTGGACTACTGGCGGTGCCTGAACTCCTTCGGCACAACCTGGGGCGAGGAAGGCTACATCAGGATTGTCCGAAGGGACAACCAGCCTCTGGCCAAAAATGCCATTTTCCCCAGCGTTATTGCCTAATTTTATTTTATTAAACACAAAAACTGAACCACAATATTATAATAAAAACTCCCCTCCAAATTTATTTGTTTGTTTAAGTTTTAATAGCTCTCCTTCTCGATTTATTGAATTTATCTTTGTTATTTAGTTTATTTATTGATTTTTCATCTACAAGCGGAGCTTTACAGACTTAAATACTAAAAATTAACAAGTTCACATAATTATCTTTCTTGTTTTTTCGCCATTTTTTTATTTTTGCTCGTGGATTTTGTTTTATTTCTGTTATAGGTTTTATTTTGCATATTATGCATACAATATTTGTTGCTGTTCTTATTGCAGTGGTTTAAAAACATAAAAAACAAATGGAAATGATATTGATATATCCTTTTTTTTATTATAATTATTTTTATAGAGTATGCAACTCATTCGGTGAAGACGTAAGCTTCATTGCTGCGTCTTCCTGCTTATTTCGAGAAACTTTTTTGAAAGTTTCAGCAACGGTTTTCGAAACTTTTTTATCGGTTTTAGTTTTATTCTTCTATTTTATATCAATTTGCTTTATATAATTTGAAATATATGTTGAATTCTGCGCTTAGTTTCTGGATGAGTTTTAGTTTAGAATGTGTTCTTCCGTGAAGCAAAGCTCAATGATATGATTCCTGCAATTTTTTTTTGTTTTCTCGTGAATTATCTTCATAGTTGTTCGGATTTTGAATTTACGTGACTTGGTATCCATATTCTTTGTCAGAGGATGTACTTGGAGTTTAATTAATAATTGGTGAAGTTGTAAGTGCTTTGAAAAAATCCTTCCTCTTCGATTTTAATTTGCCCAGTTATCTTAAGTAAGTATTTTGAATAGGTAATGGTTTATTGATTTGCAATTTGTTTATAGCTTTATTTTGGTTTTTATTTTGGTGTTTTGGTTTTTCAATTTCTTGGTTTCAATTACGATACAACGGCTAGTGTTTTGTTCTTGTTTTTTTTTTTTTTCTTTTTATAAATTTAAATTAGTTAGGTTTATCTACATATGCTCACGCTTCTGTCGGTTTTATTATCTTTCCGTATAATTCTTAATAATATTTAACTAAATAAATATGTTATATAATTTATGCAATTTATTTCATGTATAGATATAATTTTTTTTCTACACAAAATGATGTGTTTGTAACTGTTTTGGTATGTGTTGGCTAGTGTTTTTGTTAATTAATATTCTGTCTTGCTGTTTGTGTTGACTGTACTTTGGATCTGTTTGTGGATCTGTTCGGGGTATTTTGTTAAAATCAAAGATTCAAATCAAAACTTGCATTTATTCTGTCATCTAATATATTAGGAAGATTTATTTGTTTTGTTTGTATGAAGCTTAAAATGGACAAATGTTATCTCTCCTCTTCCTATTAATTTTTAATATTTAATGGATTCTCTGCTGGTTTGTAAATAGTTTCTTCCATTTATTCAATTATGTATATATATATTCTTTTAATATGGTTCTCTTACTTTCTCTTTTTCTATATAAATCAATTTTTTGTTTTCGTATGAGATTTGAATCCTAATTATTGCAAGTTGTATGCTCTATAGATGTTCATTTTTAGAATTTTATTTTCTCATAGGTTTAACGAAGGGTTGGGCCTTCCAAGGGTTTCCTATATTTCCTCTGAATTAAGTAATTAATTTTTACTGGGTAGTTTAATTTGTAACCAAATATAATGGAAATGTCAGAAATATTATGGAGAAGACATGTCCCCAATCCAAATCCATCATAATTCTCTTTAATGGATGGTGCATTATCACATTGGAAGAATTAGTGCGGAAATGGTATTCGAAACATGTTGATTCAAAAAACATACATCGTTCACATCCTAACAAATCATCTCAACCCAAAAATTAGGTTTTTTGTGATCTCGAAAATGCTGTCTTAACTTATTGCTGTCTTGTTGAAAAGAAAAATAAATAAACCATAGCCATAAAAACATGATTTTTGAGTCAATACAACTTTTTAGTAAATGAACGATATCTGTGGCACTCACAAGCACTATTTTCATTGATCGGAAATTATTGAATATCATGGAATATTTTTTGAAATATATACGAACCAGAATTATTCATCTTGATTATAAAGTGCTTTTGAAGTTGATAATTTCCTATCGATCCAGGATTAAAGTTAGACATTTTTTTAGGCGGAGACATTTTCTGGCAGTTTTTTTGTATTTTGAAAATTATCATTTAATCAAGGGTTTTAAAAAATGTGTCTTTATTACTGCCCCCAAATATTTATTATTGTTTTTGCTTTTCATAAACGGATCTCATTATTATTTATATTATTTTAACGCTTACGAACACATTAAATTATACATTAAATGAAATTATGCAACTAAATGAACATTGTTCTCTGATTTGGGTCAGGAAACAGTTTAAAATTATATCGGAAATGATAGTTATAAATAAACTCAATGAAAAATGCTACATCGAGCTGGATTTACGAGCTCTGGAATCGTATTGTGTGCCTCGAGTTTAGCATCAGCGCCACTCCGGCGGCGAGGACGACGGGCAGCATCATCCACTGGGCGAACGGGGTGGTGGCTCCGTTGCACAGGTCCTTGGTGCAGGAGCAGTATATGGCGGCCACATCGTGGGTTCCCGAGCGCTTCACGCACTCGCCGTCGGTGCGCTCATCCGGAATATAGCCACAACCGCGGACAATACGGGTTTTCCCATAAACTAAAAATAATAAACATTATTTTTAAATTTTGAAAAGGCATAGAATGACTACTTACTCTTCTGAACGGTTTTGCGGCACAGGGTGGGCTTGTACTTGTCCTTAAGGTGCTCAAGGGGCTCCTGTTTGCTGCAGTTCACCTGGCCAATGGAGTATGGCTCGAAGGGATCACCGCAGCGAGGATCAAACTCGCTGTTGCAATCATAGCACATCAGGGCAGTGGTGACTGTAATTTATGTACAATTTTTAGAGAGAAAGTGTAATATTTTGTGGTAATTACAATGTTACGAAAATTGTTTGGAAAAAAGCCGTCAAACAGGTGTCTGGTTTTTTTCCTTATGAATGGCATCTCCACCCATTCCATTAATCTACATATTTGTGTAACAAAAGACATAAATCCAAAAAATGGGAAACGTGTCTACGGTTGTGGTTTTTATGGCCAAAGTAGATTTAAGGTCTTGCCACTTTAGTAGATGGTCTCTTAACTTAACTCAAATGTGTCTAAGTTTGCAGAAATGATTAGCGGATAATAGAAAACTTGATCGATGACCTAAAAGTTATTCAAATCTTATTGAGAGATTTCAAATGTGTAGGTATCAACTAAAAGTATTAAATTAGTTTTGGATTTACTTTTTAAAATACCATTTTAATTAAATAATTTACTCAGATGTTTAAAAACTTGTAAATATCATATTTAATCTTTTCATTTATTTATTAGTCTATTTATCATTATTTATTGTCTTTAATCTTTAATTTATAATCGCGATTAATTTTGCAAATTTTATGCATAAGAGGAGTTGGCTTTGAAATGGAGTTTAAAGTTTTCCGGAAACTGGTTTACTTGAGGGGTTACAAGGGTTTCATAGCCTAAAAAACTTCCTATTTGAAAGTAACATTGGATCATAAGAACTCAAAGAACTTAGGCATAGAAACAGACAGACGGACATGCTTATATCAATTCACGAGGTGATCCTGATCAGAAATATATATTGTATATAGGGTTGGAGATCTCTCCATTACTGCGTTGCACACTTTCGACCAAAATTATAATACCCTCTGCAAGGGTATAAAAATTACAGTTTATTTAAAAGGAGCCAGTTTAATGGGACCTACAAAGAATCATATTGGTACATAGGTTGGTACATACATAGTATATAATAGGTGTTAAAAATATAAGAAATTTATACTTTATTATAATTAAATTAAAATATAAATGCAAATAAGGTGCCATTTATATTTTAGTTGATGGGTAAATTGAAGAAGATAAGTAATAAATAAATTAATAATTTAATTAAATATGTAATGTTGAATGTTTCTTTTGGAATGGTAATAGACCATTGCCTTTATAGACTCCATAGAATAAATAATAAATATAAAAGATACAAATATTCTTAAAAGTTGAAAACAAAAAAATACCTCAGCTCTCTAAAAACATACCTTGGGATTATTATAACGAGGAACCAATAAAAATCAGGTGACAGGTGCATATCGACTTGTGTAAAGAAATGAATATTGCTCCAATGGAATTTACTCCATTAGTCACCCCAATTTTTAAAACACCATCCATGTCATTTATATTAGATAAGCTCAAATAATATGATCATTTCTTGACTTAAGGCTAAAAACTCTCATTCTGTTTTAAATTTTTAAATGGTTAGAAGTTCAAGCCTTTTTGTAAAATGGTTAAACACATTTTGTGCTCTATAACTATCTTAATATTTGCTTCCATTTGCTATGTTCATGGGAATGGTATTTATTTATAAAATAAAATTAATATTATGCTTTAACAACAGCATTTTTTAGTGAAATGCGAATCTCTTCCTAGTGAGACTGGATTATGCAAAGGATTATTTGGAAGTTACACTTACAGGGGACTATTGAACGCCTGCGAATATTTTGATTACGGTGGGTGTGGTGCCACGCCTAATATTTTCAGAACAAAAGAGAAATGCATATCTACGTGTGTAAGAGTAAGAATAAAATGATGGATAAGAATATAAAGAAAAACAAGAAAGGAAAGCTAAGTTTTAAGATGATAGAAGGATTTCAAGGCGTAGAAACAGACAGACGGACAAGCTTATATCTATTTAGGAGGTGATCCTGATCAAGAATATATATAAACTTTATAGGGTCGGAGATATTTTCTTTACTGTGTGGCACACTTTTCACTAAAATTATAATACCCTCTGCAAGGGTAACTTTATCTTTAAAAGTATTAAATTAATCTCTAACATAATAAAAAAAATTTTAAAAAAAATTGTTTTCTGTTAAACGAAACCCATGTAACCCCTTAAAGTTTGCGGTTTTTTGAAACATTTTCAAACACTTTCACTTATGCAGGCCCTAATGGACTTGCCACCAAATGTCATGGCTGGCAGCTACGTACATATGTCAGGGTGTGCGTGCGTGTCTATTTTTGCATTTTTGCGTTGCATAAACTTTGGCGCTTACCTTGTATGCAGCAAAGCACGCCGAACAACAACAGCGTCTTCTCCATGAAAGGCGACATTTTGTATGTATTTGGGTTTATTGAAATTAAATATGTATGCAGCTGTGTGTGGCTCACTCCTCTTTGCTCGGCGGCTGGAGCAACAATTTGCTGGCGTTACACGCGCTTCGCTTTCGTTGGACAATTTTATTAGTGTGTGTCTTATATTTTTGCTATGCTAAATTAGCATGTTAGCCTGCAAACGATCGAGAAAAGAAATAAAATCTTGTCAAGTAATTTAAACAAAAAGACTGTCTTTTATTGTATGGATATTGGCCAATAACCCGTGTGCGAATTGCGAAACATCTCTGCCCAATGCGATGAAAAGTGAAAATCGCATTGCTTCGCAAAAATAAACTAAAGGGGAGGAGGGCCCAAAAGAAGGAGAAGAATGACTGCACAAAGTGGGACACAAATAGAAAAATCGCTGTGGAAAAAAAAGTGGGGAAAAACAAGTGCGATTTGTGGAGGAAAGGGACAGTAGGCGACGGCGCAGTGTATCCTCTCAGCCGATGCAGTTTTTCTCTCTCCCCATGATGACGTGCTCCATGTATGGATGCCAACTGGCGACCCAATTAGTGCGCTTGTGGAACGCAAGAGCGACAGTGGGTGGAATCCAATCGAATGCAGGGAATCTGGATATTTATAGTTTTTTTGAAAAGTGAAAGTAAATGATGATCAGTTCTGATTAGAAGGACTTGGTCTGGGAATTTTTACATTAAAAGCCTTAAAGTAGGCAATGAAAAAGAACAAACCTTAAGGATGAAACCATTTCCTTACGACTGCACTATTTCCTATTCTCTTTCCCCACTGTGTTCTTGGAGTCGACTGTCCATTTAATTGGATTGCAATGATTGCTCAAACGCCATCTACTCCCACCACACTTTCTGGGCCCGGCAATTGATTTTCCCCAACGAGACCGTTAGCAATTGCTAACGGTACATTCGGTAGCCTAGGTAACAAATTACCAACGCGCCACCCCAACCAAGACCGTACCGCGCCCCCCTCTCCTCGCCTTTAAGCTTTTAATAGTTTTGTCATCGTTTGCGATTTGCGGCCAAGTGATTCGCCAGTTGATGGTTCAATACGGCCGAGCAATTTATTTTTCATTTGCCGCCCGGAAGAGCACTCGATGGCTTTTAGCCCAAGCTTAGGGGATTTCGATTGAACCGGCTCAATCGAATTAAGTTCTAGGTTCCCCCGAAGTCTATAAACTCAAAAAACTATTCTTAAAATGAGATATTATATAAAGTTTAATTCATTTTATAAGCAGTATTTTATTTTGAGGTTTGTTTTTATGATCCATAGAAGTTTATAACCAAAAAACCACTTAGTTTTGTTATGAAACTTTTATTAAAACTTGAAATATTTAAATTACCATTAAAAAAATAGTATAAATGTTGCTTTCTTTACGATTTTTTTTTTCTACTTTAGGACTTTAGATGGCTAAAAAGCCAAAATAATCAACTATCCAAGCACTCTAGCAATTGTGTTAGACATTTTCCAGATACCCCACAGTTATAATGTTCATTTCTTAGGAACCACAGAACCATATATGGGTATATCGATGTTTAAAATGAAATCAAGGACCACCAATTGGGATATCTATATAATAATCCCACTTAAAAACCCTAAATGAGCAATTACCCAAGCATTATAGTACTTGTGTTTTGAGAATTTCCAGACACCCCACAGTTCTATTGTCCATTTCTTAGGAACCACAGAACCCCAAAGACCGTGCCAACTCTGTACATAGAAAGACAAATATCTTGACAAGTGCAATGCCCTGAAGCCTGACCAATTGTGCTCGATTCCAGAAAACTGCAGGTGAGACCACTCCAACTCGCCAAATAAGAACAAGAACCAGGGGAGACGACAGATCAGAGTAGGAAATATTACGCATACGCCCCGTTCTACCCAGAAAATTTGGGTTTCTGGCACACTCGCACACAGAGCCAGGCAGAAGGCACTGTAAGATGGCTGAAACTGAGCGAATGAAAAGCCAATCAATATGGTAGTCAAGGGGCCGTTGTCATGTCGGCCACTCAATCACAACAAAATGGCTCTGTTCCTGTGGTTGTTGTTGTTGTTGGTTTTGGCCAACTGACAGGCAAGGCAGAAGAGTTGAAATTGACAGGCCATTTCCAGGGGGAGGAGGCTAAGTGGGGCTATTTTATGTTATTTCCCCATAAATATTTGATGTGCAGTTTCGATTCGGTTGCACTTTACATGGCAGGTAAGGACTACAGAGGAGTCCGTCTCCTGTGCCATCCGGTTTATGCTTTTCCTCCCACTCGGAAAATTCAATAACTGACCTAGTTCAGTTCCCTCCCCAGGTATTTGTTGTTTTTTTTCCTTTTTTTGTTTCTGTTGTTGTCAACCGTCTCCGTCTTGTGGCATTTCCTGCGGGAAATGGTTTTCAGTTCGGATCCTGAATGGGGCCTTCTTCGAGCGGCTGGCTCTTGTGTTGTTATGCAATAGTCAGGCAATTGGCAGAACACGAATCTGGCATATCGATTTAGCCATTAAAAAAAAAAAAGAAAGAACAAAAATGAGCCGAACAAGTGGCATGAAAAAGTCACTCAGGCAGGTGGAAGGCCCAGGTGGAAAACGCTTGCCAGGTGCACCGAACGGGGCTGGGTCTGCACTTATTCGTTGTGTAATGCAGGCGCAGACCTCGAGGATTAAAGGACATTATGTATAATCTAAAATTAGTTGCTTAGCCTAGTCGTAGATTAGTCATACAAACTAAAGGTTAAAGGCTTAAGTCTTTGTTCCTATAATTGGTTTATAATATTAGATATTACAAAGGGAATGATTTATTGGGTTTTTTTAAAGTCAAGTCCTTTTTGGTTTTATAATCACTTGTGCACTTTCTTCTCCATTGTTTTGGAGTCACTTTTCACTTTTACTTTCGCCGTTATGTAACAGTTAGCCCAGCCACTATTTTAAATAGTTTTTTCCTTAAAGGATTCTCTTATGCTCGCTTAAAATACTTCTATTATTTATTTACGTAAGAGGGGAGACGACGACCGCACTTGGCGAATGCAAAATATTCCTGGCTCTCGAACTATTTCAAGCTGATGACACCAAAGTCGAAATGAAAGCCCCGGAACGAACGAATCGAAACGAAAACGGTTGAAAGCGAAAAGAAAAGCGGATGCAAGGAAAAAGGGCTCACAGGGGTGCAGGGAAAGTGGGAGAGTGGGGGTGGGTGGCAAAAGTGGGTGGTAAGGGCTCACAGGGGGGTTGTGGACGGAGGTGAGTGCGATTTCAGTGCAAATTCTCACGCAAGGACGAAGAACAAAGTCAAAGCGACCAAGAGAAACACACAGAAGGAGAGATGTATAGAGAGAGAGAGAGAGCGAGAGGCAGTCACCCTGAGCAGGCGGAGAAAGCAGGGGGTGGTAGAGCGAGCGACAGAGAGCGCCCTTTGAGAAACCAAGCGAAAAAAGTTAAATCGATAGTGAACCGCGCCACAAAAGCGGGATTATCTAACACGGCCTTATAGTCAGATTTTTCCAAAAAATCACAAAATCGCCACACGATCCAACGGTTTTGAATTTTAAATTCTCGTCTACCTTTTCGTTTGTCACAATTCTTGTTTTTGAGACACTAATCGGTATTTAGTTTAATGAGCTTCCTTTTTTTATGGACTCTGCTGCGGTCACGCGACGCGATGCAACCCCAAACACGTTGAAATTCTTTCTGAGCGCTCCTCAAAATCCGCAGCTGTCCGGAGGCCGCTTCGCCAGCGGCCGGCGACACATCCGAGCGGGAGAGATTCTCAACCGTCAGAGAGAGATTGCGCACTGGACCTGGAGAACCCTAAGATATTTTCGAAAAAATATTTCAAGTATTCGGAATAAATCTTTATAAATATAACCATTTTGAACAAACACACTTTGTGTATATAGTACTAAGTAAACAAATAAAATATCTTAAATTAATATTCTTAATCATTATCCTTAAATATCTATATAGCCTTATGTAAGCCTAGCTCTTAATGGCTGCCATTACTTTCGACCAAAAGGCCTGAACCTCGGGATCCTGCATTAGAGCGCACTTTTTGACGCTCAACACCATGTTGAGTATATCTGCATTTTTGTAGCGATCCCGAGTAGAAGACTTAACCTCCACAGCCTCCGGAGATCCGCCCTCCATCTCCTGCTCGTCCAGGGGTTCCGGTATATCTGTTGCCGGGCTCCCGAGTTGTCCAACTGAAATAGAAATTACTTTATTATCAAGTCACTGATAGTAAGTACTGGTTTAATACCTTTCTTGCCCTTTGCAGTCTCACTTTTGGCCTTTTCTGTGCGTTTCTGATAAGGTTTTCGTTGTTTTGGGGCTTCTTTGACCTTGGTGCGCTTCAGGTTCGTAGGTCCGTTGTTGTCTCCAGATGGGAACTCAAAGTTATCAGTGGGCACGTCCGGGTCTTGTTGGAGGCGCCGCTTCACGTGCATATTAAGGCGTTCCTTGATATTTTGCTGCTCTAATTTCACCCGCACCTGGGAGGGATCACCTTCTGCCATGGTGACAACTATGGTCCTGTGTAACTCAGATTTAGGCCTGGCTTTTGTTTTAGGCTTTAGGAACGGTTTGCACAAAGTCCCCAAGCAACTGTTTTTAAATTAAACAATTCTTTCCTTCCTGGTTTGTTTATTTTACAAAAATTCAGACAAATCTTCAAAACAAACCAAAATACGAAAAACAGCTGATCGGGAAAGGCCATTGGCCAATGGTATTTTCTGCTGAGCACATTTTTGGTATTTTCAGCAGAGCACGGTTACACTGAAATCGCCATGATGGATTCTGTAACAGAAAGTTGGCAGCACCACTCGAGAAATTTCAGCTTGGCCGCTTCGCAGCGTCGAAAAATGCAAAAATAACGCCGTTAAAGTGTCCAAAACCGACCGAAAATATTGAAAAAGTGTAATACAAAGAACAGTTCACGGCGTGGTCGTTAATTGGGCGCTGAAACTACGCGAAAAGTAATCGAAATCAGCGTCTGCAAAAAGTTTGCCTTCGCGTCTCGCCATTGATAGTGGCGCAGGGGCATTGGTATTGGTGTAATTGTATTGGTGAGAGCGCGCACAGCAGCGGCGTGTTTGTGTGTGTGTCTTTTTCTCTTCCTCCTCCTCCCCCCCCTCCATATGAAAAACAACAACGCCAGCAAAGGACCCACACGAACAACAACAACAAGAACCACAACAAGATATCGTAACTAGAGCGTTTTAAATCGAGTTATGAGTGTCGCTGCAATGACTATGGACGATCAAAGACCCTTGATGAGCAGTTACGATAAAATGCCCACCTCGAAATACGAGCAAAATCTAAACCTTTTAAACAGCAGTGGCGGTGGCGTCGCAGGCAGTGGCAGTGGCGGCGGTGTAGGCAGTGGGGGAGGTGGCGGCGTTGGGGGTGCCGGTGCCACCAATCAGCCCGCTCCCCCGCCCTCCGGACCCGCCTCGCCCACGCCATCCGGTCCTGAGGAGCATCATCATCATCTCCACCAGCACCATCATCATCATCACAATCAGAGCCAGGACCAGCAACAACAACAGCAACAACAACAACAACAACAGCAGCAACAAAATGCCGTTGCAGAGGCTGTTGCAGCCGCCGAACAGCGTCATCGGTTGCTCGAAGGTATTTTGCATATTTTGGTACACTGCCTATCAGAGACCCTATATACTCTACTCTCCCCCTATATACCACATATACTCTACATACTCGTACAAAAAAAGATGAATAATAATTGAAAGAAAAAAGTGTGACTATATCCTGTGTTATCCTTTAGTCTCTGGGTTTTAGTTGGGTTTTGTGAAAGAAAAGAAATTTTTTATGAAAAACACTCGAAAGAACTCCACGTGTGTGCCCTGAATTGAAGCGAACACTCTTCGGACACTACTTGCTAGCCACTTTGTTTACCTTTTAAGTTATTTTTTTAAGCCACAAAATTCATGAAAATCGGCCCATTGTGAAAAGTGTTGGAAAATAATAAAGAACTTCATAAAAATAAAAATAATATATAAAAAAATATAAATAAGAAAGTGCATTATGAACTTCCCTGAGAAATGTTCTCCTAGTGATCTCCCAGTGTTGTGCAAAAGAACAATCGAATAAAAATAAAATAAATAATAAAATAAAAGAATAATAATAAAAATAATAAAATAAAAAACGCCAAGATTGTACAGTTATCGTTTTTCGACCACTTTCCGCTTGCCTACGTGCCAGCGGAGAGGCAGAGAGGCGGGAGAGCCAACGTGTCTCAGGCCCCAGCCCCCCTTACAGTCTCTGTCTCTATCCTGCTCTCTCATGCTCATGCGTCGACGTCAACAAATAAAAAAAAAAAACGCAAAACGAATAAAAATAATAAAATAAAGTGTAAAGTGCCTAACCAACGAAGAAAGATCATAATTATTTTTATGTTCAAGTTTTGTGTTCAAGCCGAGAAAAAAAAGTGAAAGAACTCGAATCTTAAATAAATATTTGATTTAACAAATAAATGAAATAAAAGGCGCCAAATGGCGGAGAATGTGCATGTGTGAGCCCGCTGATAAGAGAGATAAGAGCAAAGCTCATGCTAATTGTTTGCCAATTTGAATGGCATGCGGGCCAGCACACACTCGCAATCGAGCGCCAGAGCCACCAAAATTGTACAAATAAATAATTACCCGACTAAACTAATTTACGTGTTTGCACAACAAAAATATATACATACATATATATAATAATATATATATGAGATGTCAATAAACTTTTTGTAAGACGAAAGAGTGTTCGAAAATGTCCCAAAAAGCCAAAGAAAGCTCATTTGAAAAGCTCTCACGAGAGAGAGAGCGTGAGAGCGAGAGAGAGCTTTGAGCTCTAGTGTGTGCGTCGAGTTTTTTGCAAGTGTTTTTCAAAAATATTTTCAGTTCTGCCACAAAATCATTGCCAACGGTCTGATCTTGTCGTTTCCCACAGTGTCGTTTCAAGCAAATGCAAGTAATAATAATCGAAAATCGAAATCTATCGATTCGAATCGCAATGCAGTTCCAATTCCAATTCCAATTCCAACTCAGTTCAGTTCAAGAAATGAAAATGAATCCCAGAATGAGCAGAATGCCTGGGGGTGGTGTTGTGCCAAGTCAAGTGCCAAATCGAGAGATAACCAAATCGTGTTCAAGTACAAGTATATGTGACCATCGCATCGAATCAGCCAGAGAAAGAGCCTGACGACCGGAAGCGGCCTCTTCCACCGACCATGTCACGAACTTACACGAATGATTGCGACGCATTGGTATGATTTCGTATTAAGTTCCCACCTAAACCACACTTTGCCCATAAGAACTTGTAATATATGTCGTGCAAAACAGAGACAATCCAACCAATTAAATAGAACTGCGTTCGCTGCTTTATCCTCGCATAGAATGGCTTACTCAGCTTCGACCATATCCTCCACCTGCCTGACAGCCCAAAACTAATCCCATTTCCCCTTCGTTTCGCAGATGAGATCGAGAATCTCAAGATGGAGCAGATCCGCATGGGGCAGCAGTGTGCCGACGCCCAGCGAAGGGAGAAGATTCTTATGCGCCGACTGGCCAACAAGGAGCAGGAATTCCAAGACTATGTGGTAAGTCTCTATATAGTGCTTCTGCAATGTCAGTTCATCACTCCTTCCCTTCCAGAGCCAGATAGCCGAGTACAAGGCCCAGCAGGCACCCACTGCCCTGGCCCTTCGCACTGCCCTCCTCGATCCGGCTGTCAATCTGCTCTTTGAGCGCCTCAAGAAGGAGCTGAAGGCCACCAAGTCCAAGCTGGAGGAGACGCAGAACGAGCTCTCGGCATGGAAGTTCACCCCGGACTCGAACACCGGCAAGCGGCTGATGGCCAAGTGCCGACTGCTCTACCAGGAGAACGAGGAGCTGGGCAAAATGACCTCCAACGGCAGGCTGGCCAAGCTGGAGACCGAGCTGGCCATGCAGAAGAGCTTCAGCGAAGAGGTCAAGAAGTCCCAGTCGGGTAAGATCCAAGACTCATGTCATCCAGACCCAAACTAACATCCTCCCCTTCTAGAACTGGACGACTTTCTGCAAGAACTGGACGAAGATGTGGAGGGCATGCAGAGCACCATTCTGTTCCTGCAGCAAGAACTGAAGACTACAAGGGACCGGATTCAGTCGCTGGAGAAGGAGAACGCCCAACTGAAGCAGGTCAACAGCCCCAAGGACGAGCCTGTGGCGCCCGCGCCAGCCACCAACGGCAGCACCATCGCCAAGACAATATCCAAGCTGGAGACCATTGAGGAGAACGCGTGCTTGGCCACTAATCCCCCGGAACCGGAAGCTTTCAACGGCGCGGCCTCCAACATTATCAACAACGAACAGACCACGATTGGCGACAACCTACCAGTCGCTGAGGACACCAATGGCAACGGAAACGGCACTGACAACGCGGCCAGATTGGCGCGCAAACGAAACTACGAGGAGGAACCAACGCCGGCCGTCATCCCCAATCCGGTTGCCTACAATGTGGAGGAGGTGGTGCCGTTGAGGGAAGTGACTGCTCCACGAACTCTGCCGCCCAAGAAGTCCAAGCTGCGCAGCCTCACCACGCGACGCAACTCCCAGCTGGAAGACGAAATCCCGACTGTGACGCCCGTGGCGGTGATGCCAGTGATTGTGGACAACGCTGTGGCTGGCATGGCCAGTGAGGAGGCGGCCGCTGCAGCTGCGGCGATGGGAACAAACGCGGAAACGGGCCTGATCATTGGGGCGGCAGCAGGGGTGGCTAACGAAGGTACTGATGCCGCGTCTGCGGCACCGGGCCGCATCCTGACGCGCCGCCGATCGGTGCGGATGCAACAGAACGGAAGCGGGGCCGTCGATTACTCAACTTAAGAACCGTTTGCCCTTTGATCCTTGCCCTCTTTATGATTTGTTTCATATCGATCGTTAATTCCTGACGTTTACTTTTGTGAATTGAGATTTCAGAACAGAGAGAGACTTCAACTAATAATCTAATCTATCATCTTAAATTGTTTTATTCTTTTTAACCATTCGTCTTGTAAAATACGTTTATCATTCTGTTTGCAACATAAGCATACATACTGCGCGATTTATACAAAGTCACTGCTTTACATACGAAACACACTATGTAGACCACAGGCATACTTGCAACGAGCTCATCCCAGACTCAATCAAAATCCGACTATTTATGATTTTTTTTTAATCCGGCTACACTGAAACAGATAACTTGGACAAAACAAAAAACTCGTCATTTAGCTAAATTAGAAATTAATTATCGAGTTAAGGCTTTTTGTAATACAATGAAAGTTATGTAAAATAATATAAACTTGTGTTAAAATAAATTGTTAAGCATAAAGAATATTTCAAAAAATGACCAAGTGTTGTGATTCACTCCCAAACTATAACTAGATACCAGGGGTCGTTACAATTATGAGTTTTATTTAAAAAAATCACAATATAATGATTATTTTTTGAGCAAAAAAATCCAAAAATTATGAATTATTTTTGATTTTTATTGGTTTTTGCTCAAAAATATTATTCAATTACTTCTGGATTTTTATACCCTTGCAGAGGGTATTATAATTTTGGTCAAAAGTGTGCAACGCAGTGAAGGAGACATCTCCGACCCTATAAAGTATATATATTCTTGATCAGGATCACCTCCTGAGTTGATATGAGCATGTCCGTCTGTCCGTCTGTCTGTCTGTTTCTACGCGAACTAGTCTCTCAGTTTTAAAGCTATCGGAATCGGCCGACTATATCCTATAGCTGCCATATAACTGAACGATCGGAAATGGTTTTTGGTAGAAATACCAACTTTGGTATTTTTGAAGATAGAAGCTTGAGACTTTTTTTAGATTTTGTATTGTAATAAATTGGATTATATATTCATATTCCCATAAGGATCGGCCAACTATACCCGATGTTTGCGATATATATCCGGTTTAAACTGCAAGGGTATATAAACTTCGGCTCCGCCCGAAGTTAGCTTTCCTTTCTTGTTTTCTTTAATTTTCTGGATATTTGACTGCATACCCCCATGGACCAAATATACAGGAAACATTTAGTACCATGATTTTTTCACACCAACACCCTTCCGTACCATCCGGGAAAAATGCATATGAAGATTTTTTTATTAAAAAAGCTAATTGATCCTAAAGCTCCAGGCTTTGAATTTTCAATTATAAAAGCAATTTCGGCAAGGAATTTCACACAATTGGTCAGATTTCAGGTTAAAAACAAATGTCGTTGAAAGCTTGGTTCAGTAAATCATTACAATTTTTACGCAGATAGCTATGCATTTTTTTAAAAAAGGATATTCAAAGCTTCTAAAAAACTATAAAAAATTCAATACAATTTTTGGACTTTTCCTTATATAAAAAAATAAAACATGGTTTGCTCTTCTAATTTAATTAAGAACCAAAAAAACCTTCCATAGAAAGATTTGTTTCTATAAATTATATAATCTTCATATATGTATGTGCTTTATATACTTATCGTACTATATACGATCCCCGCTAGATAATAAAACAATAGAGTTGTATTTTTGAAATTATTTTGTGTTTATTATCAGTTTCTTCTTTTAGCACATTAGACAAATGGTTTTACTTGTATTTGATTGAATTTGAAATATGTTTATGTATGTAGTATAATTGTGGCAGTCAGCGAGTGTCTTGTTTTCGAGGAGATCGGGCTTAATGTCCTGGTGTGGAGGCATGCAAGCTTGGTATTAGTCTGGCTTTCAATCTGAATATACAAAATGGTTAAGGAGTGAAAACAACCTGCGAGAGGACTATAAGATGGTTAACAGAGTTCTGGTTAGTTCTCATATGATTTCAATATTAAATAGTTAATAACAAATTCTAGGCAGTTCGAATGGCACAAGTTGATTACACTACCAGGGAGAGGGGGAGAGGGAGGGGAGGAGATTGTGGGGCTAAAGCTTAGCAAGTTCGGTTCCGATCGGCGGAGAGATCCTCTCGGCCAAGTCCAAGATATATATGTTAGAGTAGAGTTTGTCTAGATGTACACGATAGTGTGTGAGTTATGTCCTTTGGGTTTTTTTTCTGGTAAATTTCAACTAGTCAATGTTAAGTGTAGTATTAATTATAATTTAGTTGCTAGATGCTGTTGCGTCTACTCAATCATCTCGTCCTCGGCTCAGTTCTGTGGCTCATATCAAGTAGTTTAGTAATAAAAAGTTTTTTTTTTTCTCATTTTTGGTTTGTTTTTTCTCATATATGTAGGTACTTGTGGGTATGCTAGGTATCGTCATCAGTGTATATAAAAAAACAATGCCTTTAAATTTTGTATTAGTTTTGGTTTTGGTTTTGGTTTTGGTTTCGGTTTTTAGTGGCTTACAATTTTCATTATCATCATTTTTTAACGAATTTCTATATAAAAGTTTTATGTAGTTTCTTCCAAGGCTGAACTTTCGGTTAGTTTGTCTCTTTGTTTTCGGGCTAAGCTAAGCAAATGTACAAAAGCTACTTAAATTAATTAGCATGTACCGGTCGTAAGTACTCGTAGGTATATATCGTATTATGGTATATGTGTGTGTATATATATATAATTAAATGGTTCCGTTATTCGCCTTTACCGATAGGTTTCTTGATCCGTTCATTAAACATAAACTTGTAGCTAAGTGTTACTTACAAATGTGGCCGTCTTAGATTAGGAATATCACTCAGGCACCCTCAGACACGCACAACAATATCAATCATACACACACACTCACACACGCATAACCATGGGCAGTAGTCGGCATTGGAACAGTGTGTGCCATAAGTTTTGTCGCCAGTCGACGGCGCTTTGCGTTCAGCTTATATGATGGTTGCAAGTCGTTTAAGGCCGTTGTTGGAATTTTTTTGTTTTTTTTTTCAGTTTATACATTGCAATAAATATATACTTTAAATTTAGTTTTTTAATTTTTTCTCGTATTTGCTCCTGTCATCTACTGGAAGGTCTACGATAAGCCCGCCTGTCCGTCCGTCGTAGGCAGCACACACTGTCCGTGTTCACGTTGGCTTCTCTCCGCTCAACAGCGAATGTAAACGCGGAGCTCAAAACGGATATTTAGCTACTTAACGACTAATTTGGAAAAGTTTCTCTCTAGGTGACCAAAAATATTGAACTGCGCTCAAGCGTTAGAGTAAAAAATGTCCCGTCCTCCGGATTGCTCTTCCATATATAATACAAAAACATATCGCCTAGATCTAAGCTAACCCATCGGCCGCCGTTACAGCCAGCGACTCAGTATGTGGCAGAGTAGCAGCAGGCCCAGGTTCGCGTACACGGCGCATCCCTTGCCGCACAGCTTGATGGCGCTCTCCTGGAAAGGAAATTTCATTTGGAAAGGGTTACTAGGCGTATGAGTAATATTCTTTAAGAATCGGGGCTATGGGGCGTATGAGTTGTGTTTTCAGTATACTGCTATTTGGGGCGTATGAGTAATCTTAGCAACATTAAACTTTAATATTTAAAGAAGAGTAGAGCTCTACTCATTTCAAAGCTAATATCCTTGCCCAAGGACCTATACTCACGTTCGCATGCCGGCTAATACAGCTCTGGGGCCGCACGCGATTGAACTCGCTGGCCTGCTTGAAGCAAGCCAAGGAATCGTTGACCGGCAGGTGGTAGTCGATCGTCTGGGGATTCACCGTGAGGATGAGGGAGGCGTCCCGCGGACACAGCTGGTCAATTACCAGCAGGATGAGATTGCTGTTCGGTATGGGCAGGACAACAAATGGCCGCTCGCATGCGTGCGCTGTCATATTGTAGACAACGTTGTCCTTCTCATTGAAGAGGGTGTACAGTTCGCGCTGCATGTCGCACGTTTTTAGCCTGGTGCGGTGCAGTGTCAGATACCGCAGCCAGGTGTCATCATTCTTCTTCTTCCCGTTCCCATGGCCATTCCTCTCGTGGTGCTCTGGCGGCGGTCTCGGCTCGGTGCCGTTCAAGTCGCCGTGCATATCGGCAAAATGGGCGGACACCCCGGGCGCCCATTGCATTAGTTGCACAATATACCACAGCGCCGTATGCAGCAGCCATTTGCCCAGACGCAGAACATGGACGAAAGGCTGGAAGGATATTTCATTATAACTAGTCTTAGTCTTACAAGGAAGTTAGTCTCACCGATAGCAACATGCTGGATGCATTGTTGTCGTTCTTCGACTTGAAGCACACGGCCTGGTAGTCGTAGACAATCACCCGCTTGTACACATTCTCCTCCAGCAGCCGCTTCATGATGGCTCCATTGACCTCGCCGAAGAATCGTCCCGTCTCATGGACCCGGGTGGAGATGACCACGTAGCCATTGTTGTCCAAAATATAACAGTCTTTGTCGTCCATAGCACAGGCCTTTAAGGGATTTTGTTAGAGTTAGAGTTAGAGTGGGTTTAGATCCTTGAATCCTTCTTACATTGCCGGTGATGTTGTGGAAGAGCTTGTAGAGAGCCGAGTGCTGGAATTGGAAGCCAACCACCGCGGCTGGAGCTGCCTTGCCGCCCTCGTTATGGAAAATGGCATGACTGGCGGTTACTAGAATCTCTGATTTGCTTTCTGAAACGTTTCATATTTAATTGATATTATTTTTAATTAGGGTTTAAATTTAACCCACCACCCGCATCGAAAGGCACCGAGTAAACAAAGCTCTCTTCTCGTACAAAATGTTGGTCCACGGCTCGTTTGTACCAAATCTCATCGATGGCTCGCGTGTTGTTCTGACTAAACGCCTCCCTGCAGGTGTTCCATTTAATTGAGTTACTAATACAATCTTAGGAAAGGAAAGGGATACCTACCCAATTCTAGTATCCTCGAGGCCGTTCGAATGGAACTCGTGCCAGCGGGTGAGGCCACTGTGGGTGGCCAAGAAGGCCAAAGTGACGCCGAAGCGCTGCTTGAATTCGTTCCTGTGCATAAATGAAATAAAATCGTTATCAACACAAAAACAATATATTTTTAATTTTTTGTAAACTAAAAAATAAATTAGACTTAGGACTAGATCATAGGTGGAGTATTGAAGTTTACTGTTCGTTGTTTACCTTGGCAGCAAACCCATTAGAACAGCTATTGGGCTTGATGCGCTTGTGCTAGATTCGTGAATGGTTTGGCATTTCATAATGGAAAGGCAATATGTTTTGTGGTATTAAGTTCAAGAGATTTTCCAAAAGAGGTATCAGTAAGTAGTACACATATTCATACAAAGTATTCATAGTTGTTGAGTTGTGGGTGCAAAAATTTGATATGAGAAAGATATTAAACGACAAAACGGCGACAAGGACGACACAAAGAATTCGTATAAAATGCAAATAAAAGTGAGAAAAAGAAGGGTGTACACAGAAATAAAAAACGGTTAATATGTGCTGGCTT